TCTCTCTCTCTCTCTCTCTCTCTCTCTCTCTCTCTCTCTCTCTCTCTCTCTCTCTCTCTCTCTCTCTCTCTCTCTCCAGAGAGTCAATACAATCGGTTCTGTCGGCTTCTTTTCTCTCGCCCCCTAGGTTCAACACTCTTGCTCCCTGAATCGATCACCTTTTGTGTGCTTTTCTCGGTCCTGTGACCTCGTCAACAGCCATGTCTCAGAACGCGGTTTGCTCAAATGCCGCGGAAAACACAAAGGCGATATTCTCCAAAACCTTTCCACGCTTCTATAAGGCATTCATCATCCTACTTGACCCCCTACTCACTTTTTTGGTTGAGTCCTTCTCTTTCAGCATGGATGCCAGCCAACTTCCGGAAACACTCAGCGAAGAAACGCCAGGCCAGACTCGAATTCGGAACAAACTTGTGTGGCTACTGATTCGGGAGTTCCGTCAGCACCACTTGAAACCTGAAGTGGACAGGGATTATGACCATGACATTTTTACCTTTGTTTTATATTGGTGGCTGAAGGATCGCTGGATCTGTGATGACCAAGAACTTTGGGCTCAGCAAAAGACCCGAATCGACCTTTACCAACTTGAAGACTACACCCCCAAGTCTGTGCCGAAGTTATATTGCCCTTTCGTTTTTGTCTACAACGCTGCTCGCTCCTCTGGTGACGTGGTAGATGGTGCCCGCCTACGCTCACGGCACTTTTCGGAGACTGGGCCAAAAGACTGGGATAAACACCGGCCGGTTTTCGACAATGAAGACCGTCAACAGTGGATGATTGATGTTCAACTCAGTTTGTCTTTGAAACAAAACACCGCGGTATCTGATAATTCTCCTTCTCCGATCTCAACTGCGAAGGCTGACACCGATAGCTTCCATAACGACCAGGGGCAGGAAGAAGCCCTGCAGGTCTCAATTACAGAGACTGCCACTGATAGTCTTCAGCACAGCCAGGGGCAAGCAGAAGTCTTGCAGTATTGCAAACTAGGATCGAACGATTTATCACTGGCTCGACCGGAGCGTAAGCCATTGGAACTAGCACGAGCGGTGCCGCCTTTGGGGATTGTGGACCATGTCCCAATTAATCAGATTTCGAAGATCGATATCGGATTTTTCAACAAAACACCACCGAAAATGTCGCAAGCCAACTCTGCCGCGCATTGGAAAAAAAGGTGGAGGTGGTATTAAAGGAAGGTATCTCCAGTGCAGAAGAGTATGTGACCACCGCCCTCCGATTAAAGATTTCACTTATACATACATACCTAAGCCCCGGGGTTGCCAGACTGACATCTGAACTTATCATAGCTTGAGATCTATTGATGTGGACCCGACCCATGACCCTGCCCCTGGCGTTTATCTTCATCTTCTAGTGGAAGATAGTTCGCTAGGTAAATTTGGAGCAGACTGTTTTTGGGTCTACGTGGGCCAGGCCATCAGCATGCAGCAGCGTATCAAGGACCACAAAAGCCCGGTGCATCGATCGAACCACTCATCTTTGCACTATCACGTTTGGCACCAGATCAAACAACCGATATCTGTTTGGATCAAGTTGATGGGCTTCAAGGATGGCACAGAGTATCTCCCCGAACTGTTGAACCTGGGGGAAATGTGGATGGCATGTGCACTCCAATCTCTCCAAGAATTGGATTTGCAACACTGGTTGCCAGAAGGGACTACAATACCCTGGGCAGGTCTACATCTCAACATCTCACTTCCGATTTGGCAGCCTTTTGTTCTTGGAAAGTGTTATTTTCAATCACTGAACACCCGAGAGGACTTCTCCAGAGCTCTTCAATCTCACGATCCTACCGAAAGAGCTAGAGCAATCAGCATTCGCGATTCTTATCATAGCCTGCGCCATTCACCTTGGCCCGAAATCAGGGAGTATTATGAGAAGGCCCGAGAATGCGGTTCGAGAGAATTTGATTCCAGCACATCTGATCAAGAAACGATACAGCGAGCGCAGAAATTTCTTGAATTGGGAAGCTGGTTGCAATACAAACCGCCCAAACATCAAGTGAACTGGGGAGACTTCCCAATCATAGTCGCGAAAACGAAACTTAACCTTCCATTGGAAGACTGTGAATCGATCTTTGTCAAACCCATGTTGGTGGATAGACCCCATTTTCTCAGATATGCTCGGGCAGCTCTACCGAGCGATCCAGCCAGTCGACTATTGTTTCTAGCCAAAGTCACAAAGGATGGCCACGATTACTATGATTGGCTTGAGACCGACGGCAAAACAATTCCACAAAGAATGAATGTCCTTGTAGATAGATTTGAGGGGAGAAAATATGCTGAAATTCGCGGTGTAGCTCGTAGGAAGTTGAAGCGAAAGTGCGGGAAAGAAAGATCGGTGTTCTACACTAGGCAAGAGAAAGAAAAAACCACCTAGCTGCGGAAGAAATGTCAATTCTTTCAATTTCTGAGTCCAGAGTACAATTCTTATTTGGTCATTTCTGACAAGAGTAGGGTGAGAGGCAAAATGCGTAGCGTATTGACTATCTACAACGCAGAAGGAAAAGGACGAGGGAGACGAATATATCTACAAAGAAAGCGGTCACCTGACTCTGGCGATCTAAAAAAAACTCCGATATACGTATTTGGTATCGATTTCTATAGTTGACATCTTCTGGAGCTGCCGTAAGCAACCTTGGGCTCCTACGGGGTGGTCGATCATCGTGATCCGCCAACGCATTATTGAGCGAATGAATCGGATATACAGAGAGAGAAAGAGATGAGCGCATGAAACGATGCAAACCACTTAAAAGTCTTGATTGATTCAATACCACAGAAGCAAGAAAGCAAGCAAGCTGCGAGGGGGAAGATCTAGAACAAGAAGAGTTATCTACCTACTTAGTAGTGTAGTGGGGGTCTGTAAATGGGTCACTTGAGCATATGATATCGGCGCCCTATATATGTCTGCAGACCGCTAGTACTACAACCCAGACATCTTCAATCTTCACGCTCCTCCAGGGTCTTCCTCTTGTAGAGCCCACTGCCTCCCTGGTGGAGTACCCGGCCTGTCGACTGTGGTCTTGAATCATTAGGTATCTATGCCGCGAATCGTTTTCGAGGAGCATCTGTTATTCAAGCTCTTTTGGCTGCGAAGGTACCACCACCCTGCAATTGCTCTATAATCGCGAGAAACTTGTTGACGATCTTAGAAAGTCGATGGTATCCGCCCACTATTTACCGAAATGTTGGGAGCTTAAAGTTGGTTCGCTACACCCCAACTTCCGAGAAATCGTTGAGATGAGGGTCAATGCCCACAAAAGCGAGGAGGATACCCAGAACAAGCTCGACTACATGTACAACGCTGAATTCGTCCAGGGGGAGTCACAATTCGTCACAGAAAAGGAAATTTATGTGCCTTGCGGTCATGGTATCTCTGCTGAACACCCGCTTTCTGTATAGTACATCTAAGGTGACCTTAGCTCATTCCATCCCTCTTATAGCTCAGCTGGAAGAGCGTGGGACTGTAATTGAAAGTTGTTATCCCAAGGTCCGCGGTTCGATCCCGCGTGAGAGGAAATTTTTTGCCTCCTAGTAATTCTCTACAGCTCGAAAACACACTTTTTGAATCTATGGCTAGGACAGGCCTGACGTAATCATATATCCCTCTTATAGCTCAGCTGGAAGAGCGTGGGACTGTAATTGCAAGTTGTCATCCCAAGGTCCGCGGTTCGATCCCGCGTGAGAGGAATATCTTTTTGCCTCTCAGTCATTTTAATATAAGAACTAAGTGTGTTAACGCTGAATGTTGTGACGAAGGCAAAAATTCTATCCAAAAGAGAATGTATCTGAAATAGTGTCCAAGCACAAAGAGATTTAAGATAGAGAGGAAGAAGGCCTGGAGGTCACTACGTAGATATGATTCTCCCTGCGCTTTTTCATCGGCGGGATGGCTCGATCTCCTAGATGCTAAAACCACAGAGATCTCCGATCAACCCCCATTTCCTATTCGGGAGACCACGTGACGTGACAAATATGAAGCAAGCAAAAATTTGCTGAAGTCATCCATCCTCTTATAGCTCAGCTGGAAGAGCGTGGGACTGTAATTGAAAATTGTCATCCCAAGGTCCGCGGTTCGATCCCGCGTGAGAGGATCACATTTTTTTGTCTTCCTAGGAATTAATATGTCCTCCATATAGAGTTGGTCAACTAACTGCAATCCGCAATATAACATCGGGTTGATGGGTGGTTTCTTCGAGAAAATAAAGCCGGAGGGGTGCACCGAAGTATAGACTTTGGTGTAGTTAACTATATGGCTTCGTCGCTTGGCATGTTCATCTCTCTCTATCTGATGTGTGACTGAAGACCCTCGATAGTATCCATGGATGTATTCAATGGTTGATAGACAATGCATGGACGAGAAAAACGATAAGGGTTTAGAGCCAAAGCATGCAATAGCGGCAGAACCGCATTCTAGAAATCGTCCATTTTATCTATGAAATTGATACCCTAGATCTTAAACCGTCTGTTCCTTAGGACGCGCCGCAAGTCCGAAGATTGATCCACACTCAATCATCAAAGAACCTCGAAGAGTCCGGATAACCAGAGTAAGAATGAAGAAATGATTTGTGCTCTGGATCACTGTACATATGTGATTGCCCTTCTTGCAAGTGTGTTCTCACTTGGTAGCCTTCAGATTTACAATAGGATACGATTAACTTCCTCAATGTGAGTGAACTTTAGAATAGCCGACTATGTGCTGGAACCTATGAATTATATTGCAAATTGGGTATTGGCAGATCCTGACGATGATTGACATGCCCGCGGGGCCGTAGACGTCCTGAGTCGCGATTCAAGTAGCTCCCAAAGGATGTCTATCAAATCGACAGCAAATGTGTCGATATTGATCGATTGGGAGTGAGCCACTTGACTCGCCGGGTTGTATTGCGGCCAGTCCCCCATATCGGGAAACTCATGCGCCGGCCTTCTCGTTTATTATTGAACTTTATGAAATCGCATTTCGGGCCCTGTCATCATAATTCCTGATTCCGGGCCAAAGTAAATGGTCAAGGCCATGATAAGAATCCCGAACGCTGATGCCCTGGCACTTTCGATATGATTGTCAGGTTGAAGAGTCTTGGCTAAGTCTTCTTGGGTGACCAGTGATCTGAAAGCTGAACTTCTAAATCACGGTTGTCATGAAAATGTCGGATGTATGTAGATGTTAGCTTAAGAAAGTAAAAAAAGAATATCCTCTCACGCGGGATCGAACCGCGGACCTTGGGATGACAATGTTCCATTACAGTCCCACGCTCTTCCAGCTGAGCTATAAGAGGAAGATATGATGACGTCAAGCTTTTTCTGACTAGAAAAACCAGTCAGTGAGTTTTCTACGTGTTAAAAAAGAGACACTCAAGAGGCAAAAATTTCCTCTCACGCGGGATCGAACCGCGGACCTTGGGATAACAACTTTCAATTACAGTCCCACGCTCTTCCAGCTGAGCTATAAGAGGTATTGGATAATGGGGTGCTGAAATAACTGCTCTATAAGGGGTTTCAAAACTATGTAGGTTACTAGTAGTCTAAGTGGCGGGCTTTTCTAGGCTTCGTTCATACCTACATACGGCTTGCTACCTACCTATGTACTCCACAGTAAAAATACTTTCCCAGTGAGGGGATTAAAGCACTTTCGAAGAAGCGCTAGGATTGGAGCATATAACGCAGCAAGCCCAATGGAAGTTTTCTAACCTTGAAAAGCACTTAAAGTATGAGTGCGGAAAGTCCGAGTGGAAATTATGAATTACCTGTGAACCCTTCAGGTAATCTGTGGGTATACCTTTTCTATGCCCAGCGAAGAGGAATCCGCTCATTTGCATTCAGCCGGCAGTGCATGTGTAGAATCCAAGGTTCATCAGTGTTTAGAATACATCTGAGCTATCCAAGGGGCATGTAGTAGGTTCGGTGAGACTGCAGGGTGCGGAAAATGGAGATGTATAGAGGTGCAAAATATCAATCTACCAATCACTCCTCCATCAGCAGTAATGTTTTTCGACAGGACGATTGAAGAAATGCCATAGGGCAATGCGTATTAGTACTTTTAGACAGGCATACTCGTCACTGCAGTGGGTGTGGCGTAACAATTTCATAAGGCTAGGTCTTGTTCGTTCCTTCCCGTCGTAATTATGACTGCCGATGTCGACGGATAGTCCTACACCTTGATTAGTTTTTACAACGTCAATTCCATGCAAAATCCATTTCATAAAGCATAGAGCGGGTGAGGCATAAAAAAGCAAAAATATATTCCTCTCACGCGGGATCGAACCGCGGACCTTGGGATAACAACTTTCAATTACAGTCCCACGCTCTTCCAGCTGAGCTATAAGAGGTATTAATGAGAGATGGTTTTAGAATTTAGTATTATCCTCCAAAATACTACCACTGAGCCCGCCGGCATGGAGTATAACTTTCAAATGCGCCGAACAACCCACCCTGCGGGTAGAATTGCAATGGCTACCTGCGCTGGTAGCATAGCCCCGTGGCTGATACAAAAGTGCGACCTTTCTTCAAAGCATTTCGACCCCGCATAGGCTTCAACATGAGGTATGCTGGTACACTAACATACATCGGACCCGTGGACTGTCTTTTTAGGCCTCGACTTTCCCAATTATTGCAAGATTCTTAATAGCAACCTAGGGAGTCACCTAAAGATGCGGACACACGGCTTAGATTGAAATGATGGGCTAGTCATCAACCAAGTTGTTGGTCTCCGGATCCATATCCATCCACATACATGATAGCAAGGTGCATCAATCCAGACCTGACTCGAAATTCACATGTAGACCTTGGCCCTACCTAAGTATGGATATTTCACTAAGCATACTCCCATACTCCTTTTATACACAAAGTAATCGCATCATTTCAAATACACAACAAGGGGGGTATCACATTGACCAAAGAAAAATACATCGCAAAAGACACAATTACGCCAATCCCTCACGGCCTCCCAACAACGCGATATCTCTCTCTAGCCAAACCACCATCAGCCCCTTCAACACCATACCCCTCCCCAACCTCCCCCACAATCCTCGCAGGCTTCCCACCAACAACACACCAACTCGGCACCACCATACCAGGCGGCACAACCGCACCATCAAGCACATAAGCATAGTCCTTGATAATAGCCATACTACCAACAACAGCACCCTTCCCAACATGAACATGATTCCCCAGCTGCGCAGCCTCGATAACAGCACCCTCACCTACAAAGACATGGTCGCCGATCTTGAGCGGGTAAAAAGAGTGTGTGCCACGGTGTAGACGACTCGGGGGTCGGAGAATAGCAGATTTGGAAATATAGCTGTATCGGCCAACGTTGATGGCCACGCTTGGTGTTGAGGGTGGTGGTGTGCTGGGGTTGTTGGGGTCGACTGTTGATGCACCCCGGAATAGATCGCCGCGGATGACAGCTTCGGCTTGGATTACTGTCTTTCCACCCAGAATGATGTGCTGGGTGCCGTGGATTTGGGACCGGCGCGAGATTTTGTTGCCGGTGTCCTGGTGTACGGGTTAGGGTTGGTTTTTGGGGTCTTGGGCTGGAGAGATTCAGGGGGCGTGTTGGCTTACTGTCTCGATGTATTCACTCTTTGAAGTCTTTGGAGGAGGCATTTTGAAAATTGTTGAGTGATTTGATTGCAATTGAGAGCTGCAGCTTGTGATGACGATGGAATAAACAGCTCGAGGATAGATGCGGCAGAATGGCGGGCTATATGGCGGTGTGGATGTGTAAACACAGTGCCGCCTCGGTACTTACAGTCTCATTGTCTTGATCTATTGCTACAAATTCAAGTGTCTGGGTTCTTTTTGCTTCTACGCAGATGTTACGGATATGTGAAAAAATAACAATCAATCCTTGGGATGTACACTAATACTATAAGTAAAACTTCAACAATTTCTGGATATCCTGACAACCAAATCCCAGAGAAAAACAAAAGGCAGAAACAAAAGCACAAGTCAATCGAATTCAACATTGGGGAATAACCTTCACATCACATGGCACGTGCGCAATCATTGCATTTTTTATACATTGGCATTACAACCTCTCACAGAGCAGCATCCCAGTGAAGCTTGAGGGACATAGGGAAGGGGCAGTAAGCAGTTCCATCACCACGGAGGTAGACGTAGTAGCCACCTTCCTGAGGAATCTTCTTAAGCTGACCCTGAGCACCAGCAGCGCGGCGAAGACCAGGGAGACGGGCAACGACACGCAGCATGGCAACGAGGGCAATCTTGGTGATCTCCTCACCGAAGCCAGTGGTGGGACCCTGGCCGTGGTCGAGGTAAGATTCAACAGGGCGGTCGAGACGAACCTGGGTAGGCTCGGGGAAGATGCTGGGGTCGTGGTTGGCCTGGTCGAAGGAGGCGAAGACCTGCTGGCCGGGCTGGATGGTGTGGGTCTTGCCATCCTCCTCGACGGTGATGACCTCCTTGGCCTCGCGGAAGGCACCGAAGTTGCCATTCAGACGGATAGCCTCGAGACAGTAGTGGTACAGCTTATCGTCGGAGCTGGCATCATCGGTTTGGGTCAGACGGCTGATGTCGGTCAAGTGGGCCTTGTTCTCGGGCTTGGTGTAGTATTCGATGATCTGGGTGAAGATCTGACCCTGGTTGGGGACCAGACCGACAATGGTGGGCACGATGGCGGACCAAGTGATATCGGAGGAGCTGGAGCCAGCCTCCTTCATGCGGCGGATGGCTTCGGTACCGAACTCGCGGAGGGCGTTGTCATGGGGACGGAAGTTGTCCATGATGCCGGCGAAGAGACCGCTGTTGGTGTCGGCCTTGACGGTGGCCTCGACGACCTGTCCGAGCTGGGTGGAGACAGCGGTGGCAGCGCGGTTCAGAGCGTACGAGCGGGGTGCGTCGATGTCGAAGAAGAGCGCATTGAAGATGGTGGACACGATCATGTACATCTCGTGCTCGGTGAACAGACCCTGGGGGTTCTGCTCGGTCTTCAAGGGAAGACCGAAGATGGTAGAGGCGAAGTGAACATGAGCCAGGTTACCGACATCGCGGGTAATATCAACCTGATTGATCTTGCCCAGACGACCAGTCTTCTCAGTAAGCAGGCGCTGGGTGATATCGGTGTAGAAAGACTTGACGAGCTTGGGGAACTCCTCAGTGTTGAGAGCCTTGCCGATGGCCTCGCGCTGCTTGGTGTCGAATTCACCCTTGCCGAAGAGCTCGGACATGGAACGGCCCCAGCAGGGACGGAAATCCGTCTTGTTGTCCAGCAAAAGCTTGGCACTCTGGTGGGAGGCCAGGTTGACACGGGGCTCAATGAAGGTGGGTCGGTCGTAGGAGTAATCCTGCTCACGGCCCAGATCCTTCATGATCACGCGGTTCTCGCTGGGGATAGTCATGGGGTAGTGGGCGTAGATGGAATCGGTCTTGTAGTGGTTGGGGAAGGCACGGTTAGCCAGCTTGTAGAAGACACATCCTTGGTTAATGTTCAGGTCGTAGCGGGCCTCGTTGTAACCCCAGTTGGTCAGGTTACGAGGGTTGTAGTCAATAGTGTAGTGACGGTCACCACGGACAAGCGCAACGGCGTCAGAGAGCACAGCACGGGAAATGGTGTAGGTTGGGGCGATACCGACACCAGGGACCATGGGCTTCTTGGCCTCCTCAGAGACAATACCAGGGTAAAGTTCAATGTAGTCGGGGTGCTCATAGAGATGACGCAGGGTATCAGCGATCTCGGGGTTGGAGTTAACCTCCTCGAAGGTCTCGTAAGTCTTCAGGCCGAAGTGCTTACGGAACTCGTTGAGGGAGCCAACGTTCCAACGACGGGAAGCCTCGATACCGAGGATCTCGATAGAGCGCAGAGCCTTGGGCACATTACGGGGGCCGAAAGAGCTGGCAACATCCTCAGAAGCATTGCTCAGAATGTTAACAAGCTCATTGTCATCGAAGTAACCAGACTCGTTACGCTTCAGGTGAGCGAATTCGCGCTTGGCAGGGTCGGCCTCGAGCATAGAGTCGACCTTCTTCATGCCCATCAACAACTCTGTCATGCTGACCTCCTCAGCAGGCTTGCCCATGAGATCGTAGTAGATCTGCTCGATCCACTTCTCGTCACCCTGACTGATGGTCGAGTGCCAGCGGTAGGCCAAGTTGAATTCAACGGAGCACTGGTTACCGAGACCAGAAGGAGTGGCACCGGCCTTCTCAACCTGAGCGCGGGGGTCCAGACACCAGGTGGAGTTGGTGCGGTTCAGGTTGACAATGGTACGCAGGTAATCGTACAGAGTGATGTTGATGTACAGACCACAGGTGATGAGACGACCAGTCTGGAAGAGGTCCTCATCGCGCTTCGCCCAGGCGGCCTTGGCCTCTTCCTCGGAGGCACCGGGACGAGGGCCGTTGAAGCGGCCGTTCTCGTTGATCTCAGCCAATTGAGTGACAACGTGGTTGTGGAAACGGTTCAGCATAACCAGGAGAACACCGCAGGCAGCGGGAAGGGCCAGAAGACGACCCTCGGAGAAGCAATCGGGCTTCAGCTTACCGTCCTGGTGGGAACGAATTTGGTCCTGTTGCTCCTTGTTATCACCATACAGAATGGACAGATCCAGGTAGGCGGAAGTCTTGTTCAAGTGCTGCTGGCGATAATCGGTTTGGAAGATGTCTAAAGAGGTCAGCCTGTTGGTTTATTTTCTTGCAAGTCCCATGGGGTCACAAACCGTGAATAATCAAAGAGGCCCAGTCGAAGAAAACACTGGACACCTTGTTGGGGTGAGGGGTGAACTCCTGACGAGCAAAGAGGGTATCAAAAACAAGACCAGCGTCAGGCAATCCGCTGGGCTGAATAGTCAGGGGGGGAATGGTGCGGCAGTATGCGGTATTAGCAGCTCCCAGCCAGGGGAGCGTAGGGTTGTTGTTTGAGCCATCAGCTGAGCGGTATGCGAACTCATTGCCCATGTAACTATTGTCCCACACAAAATTAGCAATTGCACATGAAGGACGAAGCCCAGTGAAATTCGAAGGGGGCTTCTTACGAAAGAGGAGGGTGAGGAATTGAGTTCCAAAGCTCATCCAAGAACACACTGGTGAGCTCGGGACGCTTCTTGGAGCTACCGGGCAGATCAGCAACCATCTGGATAATGCGCTCCATCAGGTAGGTCTTGTCGTCGATAAGCTCGCCGGAGGCCTTGTTCATGACAAGATCCTTGACGGTGTTGGCATCGCGGAATCCCAGGGACTTGATGTCTGTGATCAGACCTGTGGACTTGTCGTGCTGCAGGTAGGTCCCATCGCCAGTCTGGTTGGGCAGAGGCTCTTTTGAAGCGTGGATGGCCTGCGCAAACTTCTCGAATGTCGCGACAACTTCGGCGCGCTTCACGACGTGGCCCTCCTCCTGGTTGGCGGCAGATTTCCGGGCCGGGGAGATCTTAGAGAACCGCTTGCCCTTATCGGTGGGCTTGTCGGCGCTCTTGTCGGCGGACTTGTCGCCCTGGTCAGTGGGCTTGTGCTCGGAGTCGCCATTGGCGTCCTTAGACCGCTTGAATTGAGTAGAGAATCTCCTCAACATTGTGTATATATAAATTATAGTCTCACACGAACAAGTGAGGACGGAGAGGGAAAGGGAAAATTAATTAGGGGAAGAGTGGCTATCACCAGGGGAATGGGGAAGCTCGCGCGACGGTGCTCTTTAAAAACGAGCGACGCAAGTCAGCTGCAGGACTGTGGAGCAACCTCCAGGGTGGCGGATTTGTTATCGCCAATAGTTGATTGATTGCAGCTGGAGTGAGTACTAGCTTTGGATCTTTACTTTCAACCTGTAGCAACAGTACATTACTAGCCCCGCAACAAGCTTGTGGGTTGGGACAGACCGAGTAAAAGATCAGCATATGATGTGATGTGGGTTAGACTGGTAAGAGCTGACTCGTACGGAGTACTTGGTATTCTGTATATTGCAGTGTACGAGTACAGAGTACAATGGAGCTTAGTTATACGGAGTACTCCGTCGGGATCTATTACTCGTATGTATCATAGTGCGGAGTATTCTCGTAGAGTAGCTCTTAATCTAATGGGAACCGTACGGGATACGGAGGGCGTGTATGGTCAAATATAGCCTGCATGGAGGACCCGGCGCTATTGAGCTGAAAACAGAGTGCCACGAAGACCAGGGAAACACGAGGTCCATGGCGTACAGGGTGATACCACCTGGCGGTGTACAACTAAAACATTAGAGAAGTCATGACTCCACATGGGATCTTAAGATCGCGCTAAATCGGCCCTAAGTGGGGGTTCCTTTGCCGCTCTTCAGAAATTAGCAATTAGCAATAGTCGGTACAATACCACTGGTGGCTGGCTGGGAGGTTCTAAAGGTTGTCACAGGGAAGACCCAGGTTCAGGCTGACCGACATTGATATGCCCCAATAAGGAGCCTAAAGGTGTACAAGAGCCTTGGACCCTGGACGCAAGGTGCCAATGTGATAGCGAATATGTAGGTATACCCCGTACTCCGTGCTTGTATGGCCAGGCCAGAGGTACGGGCCGAATACGAGTATCGTACGGAGTACTGAAATGTTTGTTTGGGATCAGCGTGGCCCACCCGTTCGTGGACTTTTTCTCCTTGGCTGACCTGCACAAACCACTATGTGCCGTCTGTCATTGGCAGCTGAGCCTGCCAGTCATCGTCACGAATTATTCAGATTTGGATCTATCGGCTGGGATTCCCCACTCACAAGGGTCTGTCGGTACCACAGGCGGCTTGCCCGGGTTCTGCAAAACCCCCTTTTCTGGTGTATTTGCAGACAGATTCAGATTCCCGACTCCAGATTCCAGGTTTTGATTTCGCGCTTTTTAAAGGTGATGCAGTATGATTACATATCACGGCGAGATCTCGGATCGATAGCACGAACCACGGATCACTTCCGGGGCCGCTCCCGAGCTCAACCTTGGAATTGCCGGGCTTGAACTTCGTTGTACATACATACGAGTAGAAGGACTCCTTGTACATATCCCGTCGCAGATTCATTGAACTCGAGTACAATGGCATACGAGTACTCCGTACAGCGGACGAGTACATTAAATGACCTCCTTTCTGTGTTCAGCGGCCCACTAATTTCCAGCGCCGCGGGTCCAAGGGTTTTCAGCTGTCCCACACACGGGAAAAAAAAGAATCCTTGCGATGGCCATGACTTCATTCGAAATGTGATGTTAGGTCCGTGTCACTTGAATTAAAAAATATGTCACTCTCAAAGGTAAAAAAGTAGTAATCCAACACGCGAAACCTTGAAAGTATCCAATGGGGAATTTTCTCAGCGGGTCAGGTCGGTACCAATCTCAAGATCAGGTCCGATCGCTTCTCCCGGCGCGGCGGAACCTGCACACGAACCTCGCGCCCCTTACAACTTAGCTATTGGTGTCCGGCGCTCGAAGCTCGGTGGGGACTGATCGTCGCCATGGTGCTGAACACCCGATCGTCCCCTTTCACAATTCTCATAGGCGAAATCTAAGAACTGGCTCCATTGATGAGTCGCAATCAAAGCTTTGTCCAATCTGCAGGTCTCTCTTTTCGTCTGTCTAGCCTCGTAACATTCCAAATCCACTCATAGGCCCGAGCCGAGCAGCCCCCGTGCAGAGTGTTGTTTTTTCGCGTCAGGATCAGTCCAGACTATACGGAGTAAGAGAGGTGCATATTCAGCAATGATATCCGGTGCATGGTCATTGGATGGAATGCAACCCCGTTGTAATGCGCATCTTGAGGCTTTCCTGTGTCACCTGCAATACCAGGAGGGTGGGATGCCCGACATACTCGTACGCGGACTCCGTGCCTTGAACGGAATAATTGTAGTCTACGAGTATGAACTCAGACAACTTCAAAGGCAAAAAAAGTAGCCCATCCGTGATTGGAATGTGCCATGGCCCGCCCGTCAGCCCACTCCCGGTTTGACGTATTCTCTTGGTCAAGCTGCAGCGATCGACTAGTGGGTTAAACATTCTTATCCCCCTCCCCATCTGGGTCCGACGTAGGGCGCTGATTCGTGTAATGCATAAGCTGTAATCTGCATGCTCACAGGGCTTGATTTTTCTCTCTCCCCGTATATAGTCCCCTGAATCTCTTACCACCCGCCAAGTTCTGAACTTTCAGGCGATCACACCTTTCGTCATGGCTCACGGGTATGGACATCAAGGCCCGTCGGGCATGCCAAAACAATTCGTGCTTTGTTTCGACGGCACTGGAAATAAGTTTGCAGGCGATGAGTCTGACAGCAACGTTCTCAAGATCTTTCGCGTAAGTGGGACGACGAGCCAAGCCTTGATCCCGCGCTGACAACTCGCAGATGCTCGACCGCAGTAAAAGCCACCAATACCATTACTATCAACCGGGTATTGGCACATATGTGACATCGAAATCACTTTCTAGTCATGGTCGCCTGCAGCGTATCAAATCAGCGTATCAAAAGGCCAAGGACTCGGCGGTCGGCTCGTCCTTCGACGAGCATGTCATGGGTGGGTACAAGTTCCTGATGCGGTACTATTCCCCAGGCGACGAGATCTATTTCATTGGATTCAGTCGCGGTTCATATATCGCGCGATTCCTCGCGGAGATGCTGGACTATATTGGGCTTCTGGAAGCCGGAAATGAGGAATTGGTCCGATTTGCGTGGAAGACGTTTGCCAAATGGCAACAGCGATCCGATGATACCGAAGAGGAGCGCGAAAAGAAGAAGGAGCTCTTCAAGTACATGAAGGCTTTCCGTGAGACATTCAGTCGTCCCATCTCGCGCATCCGTTTCATGGGTCTGTTCGACACTGTCAACAGTGTGCCTCGCTTCGAGTCCGCATGGATGCAGCGCACCAAGTTCCCCTACACGGCGCGTAGTTCTGCAAAGGTCATCCGCCACGCCGTGGGTATTGATGAGCGCCGCGCCAAGTTCAGACAGGATTTGATTTCTGGACCTCGTCCTCGGGAAAAGAAGCACCACAAGCACCGCCACCATCTGCCACTGCCAAAGAACCCACTTGAGCACCACATGGAACGCCATCGCGATGAACATAACCATTTGCACCTCTTCCATCAGGATAAAGAGCGGAAGGCAAAGGCCGAAGAAGATCACCCCGATAATGTCCCTGCCATTCGCTTCAATGACAACCCGGAGATAGTGATGCCAGAAGACGAGAAGACGGGCCCTGAATTCCAGGTTCCTGGATGGGGACCCAATGCCGGCGAATCGTACTACCACGCATCTCACCAGGCCTCTCAAGCCGGATCCCGCGCGGCGTCTCGCGCAGGCTCTCACACGGGCTCCTATGCAGGAAGCGAGCCTGCAACGATGCAACCTCACGCATACCGCGCACCCTCACCTAAACGCAGTCTTGCAGTGCCGAAATCCTCAATGGAAGATCTGCACTCTGTCGCCAGCAAAGAGTCGTGCCAGAGTGCACACTCAAATGTACTCTCAGTTCAGATTCCTGGCGCAGACGACGAAAGCGACGACGAAGACGATCAGGACATTCACGAGATCTGGTTCCCAGGCTGCCACGCCGATATTGGTGGCGGTTGGAAGCTCGCTGAAGACGAGGATTGGGCCCTCAGCCACGCCCCACTGGTGTGGATGACGCAGGAAGCACACAAAGCCGGACTGGAACTTGACGAGCGCAAGATGAAGCAGTTCCAGTGTCTGGAGGAGTTTGACGGTGATTACACGCCTATTCAGCAAGAGATCAGTGCCCGTCGGCCCAGTCGCTGTGTTGAGGCTCATAATGACAACTCTGAGGCTTTCCGCTCCATGCCGAATGAGAAGGAGCGCACCGCGGCTAGTGCTGATTTCTGGCATGCGCTACACACCTCGAGCACCAAGGGCCTGAGTCACGATTGTTTGTTGTTTAACCAGGGCATTCCTGCCATGTCGGTCATTACTTGGCGTATCATGGAGTGGCTGCCGTTCCGCCGTATGGATCTGCAGGCGGATGGATCCTGGAAGCCTATCAGCTGGCCCCTTCCCCGGGGTGAGGTGCGCGATGTTCCGCTGAATGCCGAGATCCACGTGTCTGCGATTCGCCGCATGCAGGCCAATTCCAATTACCGACCCGGCAATGTCATTGTTGGTGGTGGTGGTCGGGGTTGCCGTGTGGCGCCCGAAGAGTACGGAATGGGTGAGTGGGTGGTGTTCCGGAATGAAGGTGATCCAGTGCGTGAGACATATGTCCGCAAAGATCTTTCCAAGTGCAAAGAAGGAAAAGATGAAGAGAACCCCCAGAAGACTCTTCGGGTCCCTTAAGATATCCCTGTTATTTTGTTTTTTATTTTTATTCCCGTACATGCCACTGGCTCTTGCTATACTGTCTAATACATAATTCACATGCAGAATTGACGTACCAGTACAGATTAATTCGTACTTCAGTACCTAAGTAAATAGATCCAAGGCTAGACCTGGCTGAAATGCGCAGCCAAGACTGAAATAGATGTGCATCAGACACACTACCTTTGGGTCTCCATTGGGCCTTACGAGGCCCGAATGCAGTGGAGAATTGGGAGTGACTTTCCTTAGTTCCATGGATATTTTCCGAACCTAATGCCAATGTCACCTACTTAAGTTTTCTAAGGTGTTTACCTACTAAATAAGTACTCAAGTAGTTCACTATGACAGTATAGATCAATTGACCCATGGCACAGGTGAAGCTGGTTCGGCATTTGCAAATTTAGATTCCAATTGTAAGCAATTGTAGTTAATCGTAGACATAGTATCCACTGCGAAACCGATGGAAATTCTGAAACAAAATGGATCAGGTTGAAGTCAAGGGGATCTAGACCAGGACGCGTAGACCCAAGAGTTGGGTATAGAATCTAGATGGACTTGTTAGTAGCTTGGCGTTAAGAGTTATAAAAACCGTTGAAGTATAGGTATAATCCAGACTCTTTAGTCGAACTTTGTAAAAAAAAGAGATCGAAACTTAGAAATAAAATTAGATGAAGAAATTAAAGGATCAAACAATAAAGAATCGGAAACAATAAATTAGAAGTAAAATAAATAGAAGAGGCTCTCGGGATCGACAAGCACGTTCGTAAAAAGGTCTTTAGGCTCCTTTCTCTTTCTCTCTCTTTTCACCCCCTTTAACATCTCGAACTCTCCCACTTGGCAGGCCCAGGAGATCTCTTCCACTCAACATGCGAAGCTAGATTTTAACTTCTTTCTCGCCATGGAGTCTCCACTTGATTATCCGGAGGGGGAAAAGGAGGACGTCATGACCCGATCCCCTTTGTCCCGATCACATCTTCGATCTCGATCACTGGCTGGAATCCCGGGCATGCCGTCGATGACGCGCGCCTATTCGTCTCCAGGGCTGGACTCCCGAAGTCGTTATATCTTCATCAATGGTCGGGCTCCGGACGCAAAGCGAAATCTACCCCTGCAGATGCGCCCCGACGATCACGTCGAATCCCGCATGGGCTCCCTCAATATCTCAGAGACCATCTCAGAGACCGCAGAGCTAGAGACTTATCCGCGCTCGCCCTCCCAGTCAGGCTCTCCCGTCCTGATGGCGCAAACGTTCCCCCGCATCGGCCGCCTACGCTCGACTTCCCCCTTACCCTTCAACTCGATCGGCAGCCCCTTGCATTCCCCGCCAGCATTGGGGGGCAAGTACAATGAAGCTTATCCAGTCAACTCCGCCTCGTCCGTCTCGTCCATGTCCATTCCCTCGACGCCGACTAGTCTGCGCTCCCGCAGTCCCAGCATCTCCTCGCTAGAGACCATCCCTGATATTCCCGATGCAGAGAATGAGGCGATAGAAGATGACCGCATCGCCGAACTGAAAGCCGCGGCCGATGCCGCCGACGCTGCCAGCAACGCCAACCGACGACGCGGGGCATCTGATGCGCCCAACTCCTTCACTACCACACGAGGTGGAACCAGTGGCTATGGGGCTCGGAGCGACAAGCGCAAGCGATGGAGTGTCTGCGGCGCCGAGCGAAGACAAGATCTCGACCTCGAAACCATCTGGGAGGACTGAGTGCGTCATCCCCCATACGAGTCCATACCCGCGTCCTCTGCGACCGAGCATATTCCTCGAGCCTCGCGTTCATTTTCCCATTGAATCTGGGACTTGAACTCTACTCATTGTCGCCCCTTTTTTTTTCTTACTCCGTGGCGCTCCCTTCTCTGAAATTCCTTGATACCCTTCCTTTACCTCCGACCCGTACATACCCTTCACTATCCTTCATCATTTTCAACGGCGCTTGAGTCACTGGAGTTTTATGACCGCCTCTGTCCGCTTTCGCGGTCTAGGAGGACTACAGGCATTGCGAGTGGTTTATTATGCTGGCCATAATCATTGTTTTCAAACTGCACCTTCTGCGTTGTGATACCTGCTAGGTTTACTTTAACAATGCAACTGGGGTTCAGCAGTCTGCACATTCAAGTCATTCACATGAACCTACCTAGGTAGTAGATCGTTGTCCGTAGACCTCCAATTGCTCCAACTCTCCGATAAGACCCGTGATAAGCCGATAAACGCTACAGAACCTCCAGGGCTGTGAAACCGTCCCGAGATATTCCATGTTCTTCTTCTTCTTCTTCTTCTTCTTCTTTTCTTTTCTTTTCCTTTTCGCCTTAGTCTATACATATACTAAGTACCTGATATTAGCATCATTGGCGCCGACCCTTCCAGCCTCCGCTGTGCCAACATACCCAATCCAAAATGGGACTCAAGTATCAATCCTAGAAATAAGAAACCAGATCAGCGGCAGAATATCTCCCCTGCATCGGCACATGTGGGGTCAGCTAAGACTTGTCTCAGGTGCACCAGTGGGAAACCATGTGGTGGATCTATATGTATACCCCTGCATCTGAATTGCCGGGGACGTTTCGAATAGATGTCCCAAGTGCCATGGCGCAGGGAGACCCTATGATGGTCGCAAAAGAAGGACAATCATGCAGATGGTGAGCATATTTCATCCCGGATGGCACGTGGATTTCAATTCTGTGTGGACTATCGAGGCTTTCGAGCGCTGTAATATCCAGTGAGTTCTTGGGCATACTGCAAGTATAGAGTGTTGTTCTGATGTTGGCGTTGCGATATCGGGGCCGCTTGGGGGTTGTGGTTTGCTGGTGAGCATGAGGCGCCTTTGATTGCATTAGGTATGATGGGACTTATTGGAGTGGGAAAAGGGTTCCGAGGTTGATATGTAGGGATGGACAGGGCGATGTTGATGTGCGGGATGGTACGCCCTCTGCACTGTGAGCGGTTCCAGGGGTACTTAAGTATTGCATGCTCTTTACTCTTTACTCTGATGCTCATCTTATAGGGCTGGTGCTTCCGAGGTTGAGCTCAAGTGTTGTCAGTCTATGATTTTAAGCTTGTTTCGCCCTCCAGGGTGAGACATGGGATTTGCAGTGTCTATAAATCCCATGATCATGAGGGTTTACATATTTTGTCACAGCATAGCCAGATGGATCGAACATTGCATTCATAGGTAATAATACTTCAATCAATGGTATTTCAGGTCGTTACTTGGACTCATTCCAGGATTAGTATATCTGTCTCAAGGGTTTCGCCCTCGCTTCCTTCACTTTTTCAGCCAGATAATAATCGGCAGGCTAGAGAGACCTAAACCGCACGTATAGAACTGAAAAAAGACCTTGGCCGAAGAGAAGAATGAGAACCCAAAAGAAAGTAGCATGGATGGACACGTGACGGGACTTGCCGACATGACGTGCACGTCGCGAATCATGAAGATAGAGAAGATAAAAAAATACAAGGCTGAAAGAGACGAGAAATTCAGTCACAAAGGAAAGAAAGAAAAAAGAGGAAAAAGAGGAAAATCGGTGAACAGATGGCAATCAAAGGCGCTTTGGCATGAGGCATGTCTATCAATCCTGTATCCCTTCCTTATCGCCAGGCCCCTTGGCTCAACGACAACAGACCCTGGACACAGTCAAGATCATCTTCTTGAGTATCGCCTGAGCCCCCAGCCATGAATGCCGAGACCTCCGCGCTCAGCTCTGGGGCCTTGCCTTGTGGGCGAGATTGTGGTCGATGGCGCTTGCCATTGGTTGAGATTCCTAGGCCGCGATTGCGGTTCGCATCGCTAAGGGCCGGCCGTGATACATGTGACGTGTTCCGACGACGAATATTCGCTGACCGAGTGCCTGGCACCCAGTTCTCTTTATCAGAGTCACCGGGGTCCATTTCCAAGTGTGTCTTGCCTGACTTGGAGAACACGGGTTTAGATATTTTAGGGGTGTTGAAGCTGGCTCTGTTTCGCCCGGTCTCCAGCCGCCCCAGAGATGAAACGGTACGGGCCAACTTCTGACGTTTCTCTCCCATGGACTGAGAAATTGGTGTTGTGGTCAGGTCGTGGTTGGCAGCAAAGCCATATCGCCCAGATGCACTGCGCGGTAATGATCGCTGACTGCGGGAATGGAAGAGACTGGGTGACGCATTGGGTCCGCTGCTGGGTGTTGATAGGGCGCTTCGTGCGTCCGTATCGCAGAATGACTCCCAGTTGCGGGGATCGCGAGAGCGACCGAAGGCCCGATCCTTCTCGGCCACACCTGCCCGCGGCGTAGCTGGGAAAACGGCACTGCTACTCCGTCGCAGGCTTGACATTTTTGTTCGGCGCACTGAGAACATCGCTACCCGATTCTTGGATGGAGAAGGTTCATTCTCGCCTCGGATGACTGCCTTACCATCCGCCGACATGGCAATGCGCAGTGAGTTGCGGCCCTTGGGTGGTGATGGCGTTTGTTCTCCTTCTTTGCGTACCATAGCCTCTCCATCAAATGACATCGACAATCTCAACGATGGTGGAGACTTGGTAGGTGTGGTTGGTGTGGTGTGTGTGTTTGCAGCCTGCTCATTTTCTCCCTCGCCTCTGATATCCGACAAAGACCGTTTTCTCTTGGGCACCGGCAAGAGAGAATCCTCCGATGAGTGATTCACATTGTGGGAAAACTCTTCTTGTGTAGTCTGCGGAGTGTCGTCGATGACCTCTGTGGCCACACTCGTTTGAGTGCTGGGCGGCAACTCCGGTTCTTGCTCATGTTCATGCTCATGCTCATGATCATTTCCATCTCTATCCCCTGTCACCGGGTCCGAATCATCAGAGAAATTCAACAGACCCCCATGCCACGGTTTTGAAGCCATTTCCTCGCGGTCGTCAAATTGCTCTGCCCCACTTGAAGACCCCGGCTCCGCCGACGCGTTATCGTCACTCAAAGGCTGACCAGATGAATCTAGTAAACCCGACCGCGGGGCTAGTAACTCGTGTGGTTGCAGTGGTTTGGATTTGCGGCGATCGTTTTGGCGGCGGTTTTGGAACCAAATCTGTGTGGTGACGATTAGAGGCGGCTTTTTTTGAGTGTCGGTTCTTGGCATCACATACTTGCACCTCTTTCTCGCCAAGCGAGACGCGATTCACAATACTGGTACGGGCTGCCTTGTCTGGTTTGGCATTCCGCTGGTATTCAGATTCTAGCACGGCGTGGTCCTCCGGGCTGTAAAATCAGTTAATTGACGCGTTCCTGGTAACCTGTAACCACGTGTGAGTATTTACCTCGTTCGCCGCCGCTTTTGGCGGGCAAGCAGCTTGTTGTCGACGCGTGGAGGAAGGTTCTGGGTGAGGGTCTTTTGGGAATGGACTAGGAAAGCGTAGTTGAGAGGATTGGAGTCGGTGGCCGGGAGAGAGGGCGAAGATGAGATCGCCACCGAAGGCTCCAGATCAGACATGGTCAAGACTAAAGGAGCATAAGGAGGCAGGGAAATTGAACAAAAGTAACACCGGAACCCCGAAGCAAAAATGAAAAGCAGAAGCAAAAGCAAAAGCAGAGAGAATTGGGAAAGCCGTGAGGCTGGTACAGAATGCAGAAAACGGCAACTAGATCGCGTCGCGGTGTAGACGCGGAGTAGCAAGAACGTGGCCCACGCTAGTAATTCACTGCACCACCGAGGTATCGGGTACTTGACCCACTGGAAATTGGTCTTTCATTTGTAGTTCTACAGCATCGCTTCATATACTACGGAGTATGCGCTTTAAACATGCTGTTCTCTTTCCTCTGTCCATTACACGCGTTGTGATCCGCTACAGCTAGCAGAATATGAGAATATTTGCTATATGTGCCCTGAAAAAGAAAAGCCTGTGTATTGGGCTCCAATAGTCCAGTCCTATTTGAAAGCATCCCATCACACTGCATGGAGTGTAGTTGAGTGTCTAAGTATGAGGACTCCGTACCAGACATGCAGTTACAGGCGATTTACGCGTGGATACGCGCCCTCACGTGACTCCACGTGCGCAAGCGCCCTCGTGGAAATCGGACTTTTTTTTTATTTTTTATTTTTATTTTTTTTTCTCAAGAATGCGACTTGATCAAGTATATATACTGGGTATTCTCTGAATAACTTGAGAAGTTGTTCTATTCTACTTTTGCCTGTTCAAATGCCCAGTTGGAAAAGCATGGAACGTGCGGGGGAAACTCAACCGGGGCAACTTGGGGGAAACTCGGGTGTATTGGATTCCCGGACCTGCTCAATTTAATTTTTCTTTTTAACTTAAGACGTGAATGTTCAGAGAATCGCCTTGCAGAAAATGGAGCCAATTCAGAATCCACGCACATCATAGTCTTTGCAATGGGCCGGCTGTTCGCGGTCTCGGTGGCTGCTTTAGCAGCAACGGGGTCTTTTCTATATGGGTATGACTCGGGCGTTATGACAGATGTGATTGATTCTCCGAATTTCTTGAATTACTTCGGGACAACACAAACGTCGGCCATCGTGGGAGCTATCAATAGTACCTTTTCGGGTGGAGGTAAGTTCCATGCGATACTGGGTTCAGAGATATGAGGATGTTGACCTCTTCTATAGCGGTGATCGGCTCTTTGCAGGGGGGACTGACGATGGATCGCTTCGGTCGAAAGGCGACTATTCAACTAGGTGCATTTATATGCTTGATTGGTGCTATCCTTCAAGCAGCCGCACAGAATCTGGCGATGATTCTTGTGGGCCGCGTTCTAGCAGGCTGGGCCATTGGACTCATGTCCATGTCTGTCCCTGTATATCAGGCAGAGTGTGCCCACCCCCGATCTCGAGGCATGATCGTAGGTCTAGCTCAACAAATGATTGGCATGGGCTTTATAGTCAGCACGTATGACTGACACACCCCGAATCAAACCCATAGCCCAAAGCTAATCAACTCTACTCTGCAGATGGGTGGGATATGGATCCCTTCATGCACCAGCCACCAGTCAATTCCAGTGGCGATTTCCCCTCGCTTTCCAGGTTGTACCAGCTCTAGCTCTGGGGGTTGGAATGTTCTTCTTACCGGAGTCGCCGCGGTTTCTCATCGAGAAGGAACTTTATACACAGGCTCGGACCATTCTCCACAAGCTTCACTTCGACGGTACGAATGACGATTGGATCGAAACAGAGTACATTGGTATTCGCAATGCAATCCAGACAGAGAAAAATATCACAGCACCCGGCTGGATGGCGATGTTCATTGTTCCGCAGTGGCGAACTCGACTGCTGTTGGTGCCAACCTGGATCATCTTTCATGTGTGAGATACTGACACTCTTCGCAGACATGGTGTCGCCGTGCAGGTCTTCACCCAAATGACTGGTATCAATGTGATTGGATATTATCAAACAATCATGTACAAATCACTCGGGATCACGGGGAGCCGAAACACCCTCGTCGCAGGCATCTATAATTGCATCGGTCCGTTGGCGAATCTGATCTCTATGTTATTCATTCTCGACCGGGTTGGGCGTCGTCGCCCCATGCTCTTCGCCACACTAGCAATCCCACTTGCGCTCATTTGCGAAGCTGCCCTCAATTCACAGAATCCAGAAGGAAACAGGGTCGGATATAGCGTTGGTGGAGTATTCTTCATATTCCTGGTCTCGGTCATCTTCTCAATGTCCTTTGGACCATGCAGTTGGTGAGTCCCGTTTAATTCTGATGTTGATTCTCCCACTCACCACAGTCCTTGGTAGGGTCTACATGGCAGAGGTTATGCCAATGCAGATTCGGGGGAAAGGCACTGCATTTGCGGTCGGCATTGGCAATTGGGCTGTGGGGACTCTTTGGAATCAAGTCTCGCCCATTGCTTTGGGTCAGATTCAATGGAAGTTCTACTTCGTTTTCGTGGCGTGGAGTAAGTTTTTCTTTTCTTGGGTGTTTGTATAGCGGTGCGCGTTTGCTGACGATTCAGATATCTGCATCTCCTTCCCCGTAATCTTCTTCCTCTTCCAAGAAACCAAGCAGAAATCCCTTGAAGAAATCGATATGCTCTCTCGGCGCCCGAGTGCATCTGGAGTTGCCATGGAAGACTGAGATCGGCAGGCCGCAGACACATGACAAGGAGCAAATAGATGTATCTGCAACCAATGTAGAAGACGTGCGCGTTGGGTGATCGCACTCAGCCAGCTTTGCACTCCGTACTCCGCGCGGATTACGATCATTTTATTTTCCAAATATAATATTTGCAAAATCCCTCCCATCGTAAGTGCGTCATGTGTCGCGCTCACATAAAATAATCTCAATTTGATCGATATTCCGTAGTTGACAGGGGGATGCAAGTTAGGGGCCCAGAAATTGAATACTGGGCGTTGTATCAGACAATCTAGGCTGATTGCTGTTAATTTTGGAGTGTTAGGCCCCTAGTCTCCTTCATAAAACGAAATGGCGTTCGCACCGTGGGATGATTGATGCATCTTGATTTTGCAATCTGTACAAGTACTTCGTGAGGTCGCTGTAGCCAGGCTGTGCAGGTATGGCGAGGAAACATGTGCATTGGACCATACCACTATGCCATTCAATTGAAAAACTGGACAGTGGAGACCATACCGACTGAATACTACGTGCTAGAATCTTCGAGGAATGTATGCAATTCTACGACCCTTGCACTGCTGAAGCAGGGGAGTGGAGCAATGAGGCGCATGACAGAGAACACCCCACAGACTTGGCAAAATCACGCTGTATTTTATGCAGAGCACTGAGTAGAACTCCATACGGAATAGAAAGCTAAAGAGTGTAAAGTATGGGGTAAAAAACAGCAGATCAGGCCAAGTATACCCCAGACTATTTGCTATTAACTCCAAGCAAGGGCACATTCCACACTCCTTGTATCCCTATATGCCATTGGCTTAACAATGCAGGGAGAGCGGGATATCGCTCTGATCTCCAGCTGATTTGAGTCCAAAAAAAAAAAAGGCAAAAGGCTCCACAACTGTCTTCCCCGCTCTGACGGGTCGATCACCCCAGTTTAACAAAGCTGATGCTCGTATTCTGTCTGTAGTGCGAGTACACTTGGATTTTCATTCTGTGCCACTCAAAACTGAGAAATCTACCCCACTGTGGCCAAGTTCTCGCTTTTCTTTCTTTTTTCTCTTTGGCACGGTTGCGCGACCAGCATCGTACCACATGAGCCTGTGATCGCCTGTTCGGACTTTTGCTCTCGCTTATGACCTGAGAAAAAACCGCATTCATCCGACCTACAATTTGACCTTCAACAGGACATCCCGGAAAGATGGGCGAAGAGAAGCTGAAGAAGAACCATCTGGCGATAGTGTTAGGCATCGGGCTTGGAGTGGTGCTACTGATTGTGCTCAGTCTGATGTGAGTGAGATTACTATGAAAATCAAGGGGATGCGATGCGATGCGATTTCTTCCCGGAAATGATTTCCTCCGATATTACATGCGATGTTTTTTTTGTGGATCCTAACCATTACATCTAGTTTGACTATCGTGATCAGTCGTCGTGATCGTCAGTCATTCCTGAAATCGAGAAAAGATCCATCTGAGCGCTTGCGCAAGTTGGACAAGGTCTCACCGACATGTACGCTCGAGAAATGGTGGGCTACCACCAAGGGGAATCTCGGGTTGTCTGAGGCTGTCGATGGACAGTTTGTTTGGTATGTCTTCATCCTTGCGGGGTACTAGAACTTTAGTTGACGCTTTTTTTTCCCCATTAAGCGCGGTTTGTTTGGAGCAAGTGGATCGCACGCAGGAGATACGAGAGCTTCTATGCTTGCATGTCTTTCATCGGGAGTGTTTAGAAAAGTGGTTTTTGGGAGACCACTATAACTGTCCGCTGTGTCACCGCGCCTATTATGTGAGCGACACACCTCCCACAAACGATTATGTGTGGATGGTATGACCAGATACCGTCCATCGGTCGGCGAAGGGTTGGGCTATTAACGACGTCATGAATTAAACGTTTTGACTTGAGATGGGGCTTCACGTCTCCAAGCCAGGTTTTCAAGCTGTAAAGCTCTCGTTCAGGGGCATGTACCCGGTCGTGAAATCCCAGGTTGTATTGTAATTAGACCAGTTCAGAAAGTCGTCGAGACCCGAGGTACAATCATCGACGACATGCTGCTGGACAGGTTGAGGATCGAGGATTTTGTCGAGGATGTGAGCCAGTTTCTTTTCAGCTTGTTGGCAGGTCTTGTAATTGCCGTGACCGGGGACGGAAACCCATGACAGGAAGGTAACAAACACACTGAGGTTACGAATCAGTTCAGCCCGCGGCAGAGGAACAGCATGTGGACCAGATTCGTGAGATTGACGCAGAAGTTCAAGAAGAAGAACACTCGCTGCTGGAACCCCAAATGTGAGGACCTGCACTAATCAGTATATCTCCAATCAAATCTTAAAAGCCAGTGATACATACAATCCAAGAGAAGTGTCGATCGAGATCTATCATCGGAGTCCGAATATTGATCTGGATGACAATGAACAACATTCGTCGAGAGACGTCACAGAGGTCTGCTTGTCCGGTACCAGTACCCTTCACAACTGCCCGGTAGAGTAGAAAGCAAGTGTAGAGATAATCTAAATAAAAATATGTAACGGCCAGCGCTCCATGACGAGCACTGTCATTTGTCATTCGGTCGTACCGGGTGTTTTCTGGGAAAGCAGCCCACAAAGCGCGCGATTTCGCTTGAATGTCACTATGGAGAGAGTAAGCATTTTGAAATGTCTGAGGATCGCAGAGATGATATACTTGGACTTCTGGATCAGATCAGGCTGCTGGTGGGTTCCGAGTACTACCTCGAGGGTTTCCTCCCGAATGATCGCTAGAAAATAGCGAATCCGTGTGGGGGTGACCGTGTGTAACTTGCCCTCTCTATTCCAACCAGAACTGTCAAGCTCTGCGATGGCCTTTCCGAGAACATCACCACCCGCAACAAGGACTTCATCGCTCAAGTCCAATGGCGCAGTAGGCGTGCAGAACCGCCCATTCATCAGTGGCGGTCGACCAAAAAAGGTTGCGATCATTTTATCCATAGAGTATGCCGCAACAAAGCATCGCCTGCGCCATTGCCGAAGAAAGAACGGAAGATTCTCGGCACCGTCGTTTTCCAAGTGCAGTCCAGCTGCATAGATCGTGGCTACCAGATCACTTAGTCGACGCCACGCCTGGTAACCTAAGAGCAAAACCGTAGGTAAGTGCATGTAATTTGAAATCATTTGGAAGGGTGTTCATACTTTGATCACCGTATTGCTGCGTCCGTAGCATTGTGTCGTTGAACTGCAACATTGCCAGCAGTTCATTTGCCGAAGACGCCTGATCACAGAACCCGAGGCAGATTGTGCTCACCACTGTTATCTGGTGCAACAGACGATCTTTTAACCTTGGCTCGTCAGAGGTCTGGACAATGTCGGGGTCATTATCCAGTGTGACCATCAGTTGCATGCCACAAAGGGAGAAGATAGACCCGATGGCCTCCCATCGCAGATTGGGACCAGTAAAGGAACCGCAGTATTCATCTATGGTCATTGTCTTGTGCGTTTGCATCGGTCGGGAAGTATTTTGGAATACCTGATTTGACAGTTCCTGCAGCTGTGCTGTGGGATCATCGGGAAGACTGCTGAAGATGGTATGCACTGAGCGCATGATCTTGTCCATGACTATCTTTGGGACTATGGCGTTCCATGTTTTGTGATAGAACTTTTCAATCAAGGTCTGGCGCATTGTGAGATGGTAGAGAAACTTCAGTACGTCAACCCCGGATTGAAGACGATCGGGATCCACCACTAGACCCGCGGCCGAATCAGTCTCCTCGGGTTCGGGTGGTATCTCATTGCGATGTTCAGCTAAGACTGACGAATAGCTGATCGGGCCTAGGTAGCCAGGAAGTGCTGAGGGTGGCTCCAGTGGCACAAACAGACGCCCATTGCCCAATGAACCGGGGCTTGAGGTACTGATATAACGTCAGATTCAAGTTCCGGCCTTGGAGTGTTGCAGGGGTGCATACTTTGAGGTAGGCTGGCTCACCAGCGGGTTCGAGATGACTTCAGTATTAGTTGAATCCGAGGGCCTTCTTCTAGTCATAGGAGACGGATGATAGAAGCATTTGTCACTAATTCGTTTGGCGGCGCATCTGCGACAGATTGGCCGATCATGGTCACATCGCTGCTTCGATCTGCGACAGGGCTCACATGACTGCAAGGTACCATTTCGGCGCGTCGCTGGTGATCTTGAACGGTCATTGCGCCTCATCTTTGAGTGCGGCAGAGTCGAAGTCGCAAAGAGTCAAGTTGGAGCGGAAAGCACTTCCGAATCCGGTATAGCGTGACGCCGTTTGTATACAACGGCCTGATTGCTACATTTCGATCCATTTATATTCAGGGGTGTCCGCAAGTTTGAAAATCAGTCATATTTTCGCCTTAGCTATAGAGCTGGCTCATCCTATATGGGGACTTGGAGATCCAGTGGTGCTGTGTGTCAGGTCTAAAACCGACAAGTTGAACAACATTAAACAATGTCCTTCCTCATGAAAACTGTCTTGGTATCCCAGACTTTCCCGGTACTGTCAGCTACTCCATAGAAGTTTTGAATTGTCTCAATCAAGCGGTATCCTCGTCGATCGTACCAATCCTGGTTGCTAGACTGCGGACAATGAGCAAGTGAAACCACACTGAAGTAGAAAAATTGTCCTTACCTTTGGAACACTGCCGAATGTCGCAATTGCAAAGTCTTCTCTCATCTGATCGTCCTTTTGCACGGTATCAAGCATCAGTGTCTTTGCCAAAAGTGGTTCCCGAACTGCCATGTCTTCGACGTGATCCATGGCGGCTCGCCCAATACCCTGGCCTTGAATTTTATGGCTGACAAAGAATGTTTTGATCCAGAATACACCCTCAGAGGGTATATCTAAGTTGAGTTTCTCTATTTCGGGATTGTATGAGTCGAGTGAGATATGGCCGATAGGAAAGAAGCTTTCTTTGGTTGGTTGGCGGGGGACAGCATTCAGTGTGGCGGCTGTGTCTTCGAGCTTTTCCTGTCGACAGCCTTCAGTCAAATGTGTCTCAGATTAGAAAGTATAGGGTTTTACCTCGATCTTTTCGTCAATTTCTGAATTGGCTTGTGAGTCATCTAACGGTAGTACCTTTGATATCGAAATTTAGCGACGTGAAAACTTGGAGACAGACTTGAATCTCAATTGAGCTCAATTGGATCCTTGGATATAACTTACAATCCAAAAAATGCACTTTTGACCCTTGAGCTGCTGTTCCTTCCATTTTGTTTCCACCTGCTCCTTGTGCCAGCCGCATTCTACTCGCTGCCTCACGAGCCAGTCGCGGTGGGCCTGGGACTCAGCATCCCACGGAATCAACACAAGCTTAGGAGTAACCATCGTCGAAATTTAAATAGAAGCCAAGAAGTATTTCACAAGTATATTGAATAGTCAAAGTGATTTGACAAATTTATACACCAAGTCTTATCTCACCCCGCGGGCCTCCTGGGCAGGGGCAAAATAGTCTGAGTCATTCGGCTAAGATTCCGTATGCCGTAAACGACTCGTTAGCACGGAATTATATGGATTTCACCACGAATCAAATATCCTTGAACTCTTTCTTTTTGGGAACCTCAATATCGGAATGTCCCCGTACGTTTGTCCTACATCACTTAAGGCCAAGTGTCATTATCATTGTGCTCAAGTGCCAACTTTGGTTCCCTCTGGCCTTAAAGCCACCTTTCTTATACATAACGCTATGACATATTCTACTGGTGCTCTCGCGCTTACGCCAAGTTGAAGAAAAATCTAACTAGGTGCTATCGAAGGTGTCGCTGAGAAGTGAGAGAAGTACTTAAGTATTATTTGACAGCGACTTGATTGATCCACGACTAAACGCCCTAAAACTATCCAGCAAATAAAGAATGCAAGTAGTTCCTCTGCGCAGCAAGTAGAAAAAACGTCATATTCGTCCAATAGATCGTTAACTTTAAAATAGAGGGTGCAGTGGGCTGCATGAAAAGTGGAGTGGTGTCAGCTTTATCGCAAAGCTGTAGGATGTACTCGGTACTCCGGGTTCCGTCGCCTTTGTATGAAAATCTATAGATGCTGCTTGGCATCAATAATATAGGTTTTTCTATTCTAAAGTTTATTCTATTTATTGAAGTTTTCTTGGGGAAAGTTTGGTTGAGGGACCACAAATTAAAATCAAGTCAAGGTTGTCCATTCTGGTTTTCAACATTATTGCAGATAAAAACGGTCGGTAGTCTAGCTAAGCGATCTTGACACTCGATTTATAGCAGTCATTATTTAGGTAACATCTCATAACACCGGGGCCAAACACGGAAACCCGTGGATCATTCGACTAATAGGCCTGGGGCTTGCAAGAGGCATCAGACCATGAAAATCCTTGGCCCCCTTCTTCATGGTAATCTCAATATCGAAACACATCCCAACTTTTACTCGGTCTTAGGAACAGTCTCGCTATCAACGGGAAAAACCTCGGCGCTGCCACCCGCATTTCGAGTAGATTCAGAGCTCACGGCGGATTTCGTGTTTGTGCCCGGCTCAGCAAGCTGGTTGTCAAGTTGGGCCTTCTCCTCGTCGGTGGCATCGGTGAGGTGAACGGCAACTTCGTCTCCGAAGTTTTGGGCGATCTCTTCCAGGGTGAGACGGGCGGTCTCGGGGAAGAAGAAGTATATAACTGCAAGAAGTTAGACGTGGGTCCATTTCAAATCACAAATTTGGGAGTTGTGATGATCCATACCTGGAATAAAGAATGCGGACCAGCAGATAATGACCAGGTAGTACTTCCAGCCAACGTTACCGAAGCCCATGGGCGCAGTCTGCAGGAGAATAAGGGTTGCTATACAGTTTTAGCTTGTGTTCCCATGAAAGTCGAACAAAAAACCTACCGGCAAATTGACCAAAGAGGGAGACGCCCATGCCAATGGGTCGAATCTCAGTGGGGAAAATCTCCGACACATAAAGGTACATGGTGGTGTCGCAGAATGTACTGTTCAGCAGTTGTTAGTTGATAATCTTCAACGAATAGAAAACCTGGAGTCGACTCACCCTTGGAATGCCAAGTACAGGTACATGAAGAAGATGCCGAATCCATTTCCGACTTTGTTGGTGGTGCCAGAGTATTCGGCGGTCATAGCTGCTAGGCATGATGTAGAGATAATGATGCCCACAAAACCGGTCATGTACATCCCACGTCGGGAGTTGACTTTATCGTGCAACCAGGCACCAAGAGGATTGTAAATAACACCTGAGTTACGTTAGTATGACTCAAAGAACAAGAAATTGTCCGAATAACTCACCAGCAGTTGTCAGCCAAACGGCACTCAGGAGGAGAGGCATACTGCCCTCCATACCCAAGTTTGTGTACAGAAGGACAGCATAGTTGTTCTGTTCGATGATTAGTAGGATTCAAACATGGCAAAGGTCTCAATCGAACATACGATAATAAGTGGTCCACCAAACTCAGCGCCCCATTGAGTCAAGAACCCAATGACCATGCGCTTCCGGTAAGTCTTCTTCTTGAAGACGGCTTTCCACACACTTCCATAAGTGGCCAACCTCTCCGCCTCCAATCGAATCTGCTCCTTGGTCTGGAAGAACTCTTCTTTGGCGACTAAGTTGTCGGGATCATCGGGTGATTCACGAAGTTTCAGGAGGACGAATTGCGCTTCGTCAAGTTTCCCCTTCGAAATCAACCATCGAGGCGAGCGCGGCAGCCAAGGAGATCCCAGAAGGAGCACCAAGGCAGGTAAGCACTGCAGGGCCAGGGGAAATCGCCAGCCAAATCCTGACAACGGACCTGTTGCGTAATAACAGGCGAATCCAACCCACCCTGCGAGCATGTACCCGAATACCAAGAAGATCGCGTGGTGGCCGACGAGCCAGCCGCGGCGCAAAGCACTTGACATTTCAGAGAGATACATCGGGCACACAGTCACGAGGATACCGATTCCAAGACCGCAAATGAAGCGTCCAGCTTGGAACATTCTGAATAATTATTAGCTTTACCATACCGCGATCAGGGAAAGGACATACGCCAAAGAGTTGGAGCCTGCTTGGAGCGCTCCACCAAACAACGAAAAGAAAGCGCCGAACTGGATATTGGCCTTTCGGCCAAAGAAGTCGCACGACCACATTATGAAAAGGGTGCCCACCGCGCCACCAGCGCTGAACACACCGTTGGCGGTTGAGATCGCAGGGGTGGTAATAGTGGCGTATCCTGGCTCGCCATCAGCCGGTAGTTTGAAGTAGGCGTACCATCCCGGTTGGCCGATTGTACTGGATATAATAGAGGAGCAATAGCCATATGTCTGTAGGGAGTTTGTTAAATGACTGGCATATATTCGCAGGGATGAGAAAGCGCACCATAGACCCAATGGCCACAAAAACAACAACCAGCCTATTGTAGGTACTGGTCTGCGACCCGAACCTGCCCATGGCTTTGATATTTTCGTGTCGCTGTACAAATCAGAAGAGGTTCAAGCCAAAGGAAAAAGAGATGTCATCTGTTTGACACTGAAATGAGAGGAAACTGAGTTGTCAAGACGAGCAAGGGGTCTACACTTGACACAGTGGAGCTGGCCCACCACGATGCATTGAGTTCACAAGAACACGACCCGCCCACGGCAACAGACTTTGTATGGTAATACAAGGGGAGGACTCGTACTTTGAACAAAGTCGAGAGGGCCGGAAAACTTAGGTCACGCTGATCTGCAGATCCCTCGAATCACAAGTGAAGAATGCTGCAGCTCCAACGTGTCTACGTGCGGAGTCGGTCCGAGACCGCAGAGCGCATAAATTGTCTCTTAGAGTGTGCTTTGAGTTCATGTTTCGGTGAACTATTTAGCAAGATCAATACATTGGCTTGATATCGCTCACCAAACTAGCGATTCATTTTGGTTTCATCACAACTTACCAAAAAATGACTTCGTTCGATACCCCGTTTGATGAACTTCCAAATCCGAAGCAGGTATGGCTTGGAAAGCCTGGCAGTTACGAAGAAGGTCTGGGAAAACTAGCTATCCTCACCCCGGAGGTTGTCGCAGCAGCATCTGCCAGTGAGATCAGATGTGGCCGCCGAGTGACTATGGGCTGGGAGATGACGAAACTGGATTATCCCAATCTCAACCGTCAGCCATGTCACCATAATATTATACCTCTCCTGGGAGGCATCGCATTCGACGATGTTTATACTATGGACCCACGTAAGCTGAGATGGCTTTTCATTCTTCCCTCTGACCCCTTACTTTCATGATTAACACCGAATCAGAGCAAAGTAGCCAATGGGATGGCCTGCGTCATTTCTCTCAAACTGTCCCCGGGCAAACTGAGCGAGTCTTCTACGGAGGGACCAAGTCCGACGAGATCAATGATCGCCAAAATGATCGGATCGGTATGCAACATTGGGCGAAAGAGGGAATTGCAGGTAAGGATACCTTCGCTCACGGGTATATCTGAGATGATAATTGTGATATTGACCAAATTCAATAGGACGTGGAGTCTTGATTGACTACGCGACTTGGGCCGAGAAGAAGGGTATCACTTATTCCACATTCTCAACCCATCAAGTGCGATTCGCCGATATCCTTGAGATCGCGCGCGAGAACAACATTACCTTCAAAAAAGGCGATATTCTGTTCGTTCGTGTGGGCGTGACCAAGGAGTGGGACACATCCATGACAGATGCTCAAAAACAAGCCTATTCGGATAACGCCAGCCCGGAGCATGCTGGAGTAGAGGCCACCACGGAAGTCCTCCGTTGGCTGTGGGACACTGGATTTTCCGCAATCGCCAGTGACGCAATCAGTTGGGAGGTGAGCGAGAGACGGATTGATCTTGAATCCGTATCCCTGAGCAAGTCGAACAAGGAGAGGAGATCCACTCTGACTGACATCCCTGCAGGTTTACCCACCTCAATCTCCTGATATCTTCCTCCACGAGTATGTGCTTGCTGGATGGGGAATGCCGATCGGTAAGTTACCGGGACATGGCATTTATCTCCCGCAGACCCATTGACTAAGAACTCTCCCAGGGGAACTATTCGATCTGGAGGCATTGGCGCGTACATGCCAGGAGCTCCAACGGTGGAGCTTCTTCGTAGCATCGGTGCCTTTGAACATGCCCGGCGGAGTTTCCTCGCCTCCGAACGTAATGGCCATCTTTTAAGACGCTCATAGTCACATGAGCACTTCAAACATGTGAAGAGACCCATTATGGAATCCTTCCGCAGACCCGTCGACCAGGGTAGTGTGAGTAGTGCTGTCACTACTTAATAGTACAATGTACAGTAAAAGTAGTTTCCAATGACCCACGCAGCTGAAGGGCAAACAGGGCAAGTCAAGAACGATCAGATACAAATAAATTAAAATGTGGGCCAAGGCCCGGGGCGAAGAACCACACATCGGAAGGGTAACAGATTCCGCTTTTAGTGAACAAAGCTTTTCCGTTTGACATACGCTATGAGTAATGATATGCAGTGTCATTGCCTAGCAGAGCCAATACTTTCTAGGTGTGGATTAAGCCTCGTATTTTCGCTCTCGGTGTTCTTTCTGGGCTGCCAAAACTTAGTCAAACCCCCCACCGAGTCCGAATCCTTCGACCCACTGCCCATATTCCACTTTCATTGACTTCCTATGCCGTCGTGGGGCAGTGGTGAAATTATATCGCATGATCCCGGCAATCAAATGGCTCCGTTGGGGCCGTTAGGACCCACTCCTCGCCTTGTATATATTTTGGCCCCAACTTAGAGTCGGAGCGGAGGACTAGGCTTTTAGGATCGGCTTGCTGTGTACTCCGTATAATTCAGACAGACGTAATGTAATGATAGTTATCGCACTGAGGTGCTCCGTACTTAGTAGAAGGAATTGTGCACTCAATAAAATCTTGGAACAGTATGTAATATTCCAGGGTTCATAAATAACCTTGGGAGGCAAAAAACCATTGGAAACTTCAGGATACCTCGTGTACTTCCAAGGTTACGTTATAGACCTTCGATACTTAAGTATCGCCACTTGAGCAGTTTAAGTAGGAGCCTCAAATACCGCCTTCCAAGGGTGGTGGCGGTATTTCATAGTTACTTAAGTATACGAGTAGATTGGCGGCGTGGTTGGAACTATGTACTCGTATTTTGCATATATTCGCCCCCACCGTGTACTGGGGGCCATGCAGCCGATGCATAGAAAACAACTGAAGAACCATTCCAAGAACCATGTAAAGACAAGGAAGATCAGCAAACGATCAAGGACACGATGGGCGCATTCTAGTCGAATATTCCACCATCAATGCACCTCGTGCTCGAACACCAATCTAGCTTGCCCCGACAATCGGGCAACCTCTCACAGCGGCCAATAAAGTTCTCTTCAGACTGTTAGCCTTTACATCGTTTCAGGAGAGCCGATCCTGGATGCTCAATAACCCGAATGGTATTGTGCAGACTATGGAAGCATGTCAAGCAAGATAAACTAAACCCAATTTGCGTTTGTTAAAATCACTAATATCTTGGCTGAAGAATTTCCAAAACGATTCCAGGCTTGTTAAAGACTTCCGTCCTGGAACTGTTGGCCCCTGCCTAGTCTTTCAGCCACCCGCCATGTCTCCTACGCATCCCATCATGTCGCTGCTATCAGCCAGAGGCTCTGGGGATGTGGATATTGATCGAAGTGTGCAACAATGGAATTTTGCTTGTCAGTCATTATGTATCATTGGCATGATACTCTTCTTTGGACTTCGACTTTATACTCGAATGTTTATTCTGAGTGGGTTAGGCAGAGAAGACTGTAAGTGACCTGCCCGGACGCAACTGACCTGAGACTCACAACGACTAGGGGCATGCTTGGTAGCAACGGTACTACTATCGCATTAGATCGTGTTCTTGGCTAATAATCTCTTGAATAGGTACTTGGAATCACCTATTCTGTCATCGCTATAATCAGTAAGTTCAGCAATGTCACCGCTCGCATGATAGAGTCTAATTCAAAGACAGTGGGACACTATGGAGGAGGCTTACATTGGTCTGATGTCGCCGAGGAGGATAAAATCCCATTCCAGAAGGTAAGCAAGTCTCAACCCCGCGCTGAAGCAATGCCTGACCCCCCAGACCATCTACGCCACCATGGTCATGTACGGACCAACAGCCTACCTCACAAAAATCTGTCTACTCTGGATCATGACACGAGTATTCAGCCCCTTCCGAAAATGCGTCATCTTTATCAGAGTATTCATGGGAATCATGTTGGCATACTATATCCCAGCCGTTATTGTCAAAGTCCGAATCTGCAGCCCTATTGCCAGGTTCTGGAATCAGGAAATTGATGGCTCATGTCTCGATGAGACTGCAATCATCATGGCTGATGCTGTGGTCAGTGTAGTCAGTGATTTGATCATTCTGATCCTGCCACTGCCATTGACTTTGACTCTACAAATGTCGACCAAGAGAAAGATGAGAGTCATGGGAATCCTAGGTGCGGGTGGCTTGGCTGTTGCAGCGAGTATCATTCGTTTGGCCTTGATTGTCGTTACTGGGCAATCGAAGGATGTCTCTCTCGCTTTCATGCGAATCAACATGTTAGGGTATGTATGAAGCTGACACAAGTCCCAAAATCATTGCTAACACATGATCTCTTGTAGAAATGCGGAAGTCGCCATCGGTGTTATTTGTACCTGTCTCCCAGCACTCTCGGCCCTCATCATCCGCATGTACACCGAATACTCCAGCAACAAAGTCGAGTCCAACTATAAGATGAGCACAATGCGGGATCAAACCGCGATGGAACGAAGCAGACAACAAATGAGCGTGCGACAGACGGAGTCTGATGAAGATGTGCTGATGTATAACGCACAAGGAAACCCCAAGATTGAAACGGTCATTCGGGGCGATAGTGCGGGACGCGATGAGTCTCCGAGTATGGTGTTTGGTGGCATAGGAGTTACCAAGACGGTCAATGTGTCAACCTCTGTGGAGCATCGATGAAGCCCCGAGGAAGCACGAAGCTGGAAGCTAGGATGGATCTGTGGTGTCTTTTTCACACCGCGTTGTATATAGAATTCTCTGTCTTTTTTTCTTCTCATTACCATTAATTACCTTGGAACAAATACATCTAAGAGACGGTTGGGAGTTTTCATCCATGGATGTTCTTTAAGGTTAACATGAGTACTCGTGCTTCAATCCGTGGATATAGACCCCAAGACCCACCTAGACAGAAAGGCATTATCTGCACCGTACCCTTTGTCCCTGAACAAGCCAAATGAGGAACACACTTCCAAGATTCCCAGATACTAAGTCCCCGAGCCAAGAGCCCAATTGCCGATTGACATAGATGGATTGACATAGATGACGCTAATAAATCGCAGCGATCTCCAGGGCTTGCAGTATAAAGTTCCCTAGCACGGCCGCGGGACAGTGCAAAATTGGCTTTCCCCAAGACAAATGAGCAAATCAACCTTTGCCAAGGCCTAACAAGCGACCCATGGACTTTTCCCGCCAGCCAAGCCCCGGAACCACAGTCCCATTAAGCTCTGGGGCTCCTCCTTTGGCGATTGGCTCGATAAACAGGCGCTTGGACGATGCGGCGTAACGCGGTGTGCCCCGTTCTTTGTTACCGTGGCTTTCCATTTGCTTCGAATTGTAATATATTGCCTGATCTGTTGGTTGTGTATGCTTTAGGTTTGGTGAGAGTGAATATGGGCCTCAAACCATCTCTAGGCGGGGCGCGCCGAGCCTTTGTTTCGTGGGAGACTTTTCAGAAAATAATTTATCTTCCTGTTTTTTCCCTTTTCACCTATTAGCCTTTGGAACTCCACAGAGATATTAGCTCTGCCAGGAGACTTCAGCTATTGAAAATTGCTCCGAAGTTGTACCGTTGCGATACTGTACATGATGAAATGCCTTTTGGTTGAGAAAGCAGAATAACGAACTGGATTTCAAATCGACCGTCCAATAAACCCTGGTACCGGGAATGTCAGAATCACTGCGACATTCGCATGATGGTTGGCGTGCCTAAAAGCAAAGGATGCCAGACGTGCATTCAACGGCGGGTGAAGGTGAGACTCGTTCTCGAAAAATAATACTTGATACAAACGACTAATCCCGTTATGGTCTTACAGTGCGATCTCTCACGGCCGAAATGCTCCCAATGCCACCGATATGGCACCGACTGCCCCGGATACATCAGATCTCACAAGTTCATGGACGAAGGACCACAGCTTCGAACCCGGTATGCCAAGACGGGAAAGCCATCAGAGTCCATTGACGAGTGCATTGCCCCCGCGCTCGTTGCCCGATCAATGGGCAAACAGCAGCCCGTGATATTTGGCGATTTCGTCATGGCCGCGTTCACACGCTGGTTCGGACTGAATAAATACCGAGTCCACGTACCTTGGACAGGCTACATCGCCCAGCACAGTGGAAAGAGCCCTGCATTCGATGCAGCAGTATACAGCATGAATTTAGTATTCATGGGCCACACTCACGACGATAATAAACTCCAGCAGTCCAGCCGTGAGATGTACAGCAAGGCGCTACGACTCTTCGGCGACACGATTCGCACCGAGGCGGCCATGAAGTCTCGCGATAGCGTCAGTATCACGATCGTGCTCAGTTTGTTCGAAGCGTACTCTCGTACGAATCCGGACTCGTGGGCTCGACATGCTTCCGGTACGGCGGTGCTTATGGCTCACCGGGGTCCGGCTGCGCATCTCACGGGCTTTGATCGATGCTTGTATCTTTCTTTCAGAAGCTTTATTGTTGCGGAGGCCTTCGTCAATGACAAGAAATGTATTTTCGAGCTACCCGAATGGCAGGCTCACATTCACCAGGTTCGCAGCGAAGATATGACTGATCCTCGAGTGGATGGTCCTATTGCTCTGTTCATCGATCTGCAAGATCGCATCTTTGTTGAGGTTGTCAAGATTCCAGGGATGCTGTTTCGGTCTCGTCGGCTACAGCGAGAATCCCAGCCGGGTGATGCAGCAAATCAGGTATTGGAACAAGTGCTTCAATGTAGCAAGACGATAAGCACGCTCTCGGCCCATCTCCGACTCGCTGCTGCGGTGCAAAAGTACAATTGGTGCAAGCCGGAAGACAGAGGAAGTGTCGAATCCAATGACAAGGCTCAATTCATCGGACCAATTCCCTCGACATTCCCTCAACAATTTGCAAACAGTGTGCTTCACGGATGCGACATCTGTCTGTTTCTTCTTGGTCTTCTGCAAGACCACTTACAAGGCTATTGCCACGTTGGTATTGCAAGTGGCGCTTCGGATGGAACTCAGACAGCCCCAGCAGACCGTCTCCCTTTTCGAATTGTCTCCAAGCTTCGCAGCAGCTCGGGCAATGCGATGCCATCAAGTGTAATTAGCGCCTTGCACAAAGACTTGCCATCGCCAGACAAATGGCTCGATCTCGTCGCAGCATCTATGGGATTAGAGGCATTTGATATCATCACACACACTACCAAGAGCCATCAGACGACTTGATTGGCAAGAGACCGAAGCTGCCTGTTTTCGGTCTGTAGAATAATAACTGACGCCGTTGCTAGAAATATTACATAGATCAAGGTTCAGCTCTTCCGTGAAGACTTTGGATAAAATATATCAACATGCTTAATTCAACTGTTCAAAAACACCCGCTGAGTGGTATAGATGGAAAATTCAAGTCGTATGCTAGATCACTGTTCAAAAAATCACTCACAGGGAGAATCAAGAGATCTTTCCAATCCTCTTCCTCCCAACATCAAGCTTGGCTTTCAGTCTAGACATTTGGTTAGCAATGCAAAAAAATCAATATCAAGAAAAGGGCATGAACGAACACATCAGTCTCTTCATCCGCCAACTTGAGCAGGTCATTTTGGATCTCGAGCTCCTCGTTAATCTGCGTCCCCAGCTCCTTCTGACGAATAATAATTTTCATCAACTCATCCACATTCTGATCCTGACTCTGCATCATCTGCTGCTGCAACTGAAGCACACCGTCGTTATCAAGCTCGCGTGTCCGCTCTGTCTCTTTACCAAGGACTCTGCCCGTTCGCGCCGGCGCCCTGCGCCCACTGCTTGCACCGTCTCCTGCCGCATTGCCAACATTCATCAAAGCCTCTTTATCCTGTACCGATGCCACAGCATGGTCCAGCCGACTCTTCGTTGCCATGGCATGCAGGAGGTCTTCCAGGCCGTCCTTGTCCTTGCGCGCATTGATCAGCAGGTCTCTCCGGCGGCGAATCTCACCAGCGCCTATTGTAGATGTTGAGTGGGATGTGGAAGATCCGTCGCTGCGTCCGATGTTCTTCAGTCCCTCGTCCAAGGTGGTGATTATGGTCCCTGCGCGAACGAGGCTTTTCTTCGCCTGCGCGGAGCTTTCATGCTGTTTTTGTGGCGTTGTCTCTTGATCTCGGCGGGAGAGTTGGAGTCGGGCGTCATGTAGATGGGACTTCATGTCCCGATAACAGTCTAGCCATAGGGTCGGGTCTGTGATTGGTGCGTTGGTCGATGCTGGGTCTGTGATGGCTGCGTGGAGACGAGTGGATGTGTTTGGGCCAGTTGACGTTACTGCAGTTGGGAGGTTCAGGAAAGCTCGCCATGCTGGTGAGGTCCGCCAGCGGCCATCGTCGGATTGATTGATTGCCTGGAGGTATTGCTCTAAACCGCGGCGGCGTTCTTCGCGTAACCGTTCGTTCGAGACTGTGTTGGAGAACCAGGTTTTCGAAGGTAAGGGAGCTGGTGGAGGGGCATTTGTTTGAGTGATGAGGGTAGTGTGGAATGTTGAGAAGTCGGAGTAGCGTTTGGGGACCGTGAAAGAGCGGAGTGGGAGGCGCAGGGTGATGTGGTAGACAGTGTGTGGCGGAGATGTATGGGATAAAGTGGTATTTGGAATGGAGATTTCAACAGTAGGTGCCATTTTTGCTAACTAAAAAGAAACATTGACAGAAGGAGAAGAGGTAGAGGTAGAGAGAGAGAGAGAAACAAAGCAGTTGGAAGTGAAGACAACTCCGCATGACGCAAAAAGCTTAGACCAGCTGAGCAAATTGACCAGTTGACCTTCGACCTCAGCTATGTCCAATCCTTCGAGGTCTCTATGGGCCTTTTTTCCTTGGGTATGACTCTTCCAATGGATACGATAGCTAACTATATCTGTTCATTGAGTTTATTAAGTATTCTACAAAGCCGATCAGATTATTTGGGTTCCGAAGAGAGTCACGATGAGAGCTTCCATGAAAGATCGGCGACGCGCTAGGTGTGACCCTGCAGGATGATAAAAGTGACAATATATGAATCGGAGTACTGAAAACATGGGTGTGTGATTTCCACGGGGAATCAGAGGAAATGTCTAAATCATCAACACGATCAATCATTCATCTTGGTCATATACTCTAGGGTATACTCGTACACTCCGTATTGTGACCTAGCAACCTCACATCTGCAAGATGCAGAGGTGGCTGGGCCATGACCTCTAGGATCTACGGAATCAGTGCATGAAAATTAATGTATTTGTTGTGGGTATCTGGTGCACAGTATTATCTAACTCCAAATCTCTCGAGTCTCCAGCAAATCGCGTTGACCATAGAACTCACCCACTACCGTGATGACCATGTCGAGCAGAGCGCGAGTTTGTTTGACCAGATAATCGTCATCAAGGCTAGCGGAAGTTGCAACAGGTTCATCACTGTTCTGCAATCGAGCTTGCAGAGCTGCTTTAGCAGCTTCTAACTCAGCTTGCTCCAGAGATGATGCATCGGGCAAGTTATCACATTTCACTTCGAGGATATCCTCTGTGGCAGATCCCGAAGCGTCTTGGGCTTCGTCTTCGTTGGTTGTTTGATCCGCATTGGGTGCCGAGCCATCTAATCCATCTTCTTCAGCCTCTCCATTCGAAACAGAAGACTCGGTCTCTTGGGATCGGTTATTCTCTGTCTCTTGCACTTTGCGCAAGATTGTCGCGGCTCGTTTCCCCAGGTTTCGAATAATTCCAACCTCCTCCGTAGCGAGCTGTCCGACCTCGCGACATTTGCCAAGCAAAGCCCACGCCCAAGCTCCGATGCGTCGTATGCGCTCAGGGTCTTCACTCCGCACGACATCAGACATCATTCGCGCCAGTATCTCCAGTACTTCCAGCACACTGTCCATGTCCATACATGCCACTTGGACCATTTGCGGATCGACTGCCATCAGGAGGCGACGCCACTCTTTGTGCGCAGCTCCGGCATTGTGAGGGAGACTGATGGGGTGGAGGTCGTCGAGGGCACGGATAGCTTCAGCGGGTGGACTACACCGAAGAGTTGACCTCAGGAGGATAAAGCGATGTCGAAGGAGATTGTAGTAGGAGACTTGCGCGCTGGGGTACAGTTCTTCGAGTCTGGATGGAGAGTGCACGTCCTGGAGTTTGTTTGTATCCACCGCAGGAGCGACGTAGGCAGACTCCTGCGCGAAAAATCCAATCGGCATGGAAGGTCTTGTTGCGCTAGACTGTTCCGATTCATTCTGCTGACTTGAATCCGACTCTTGTGTAGCTGAGTGTTGAGTGCGCGCGAGGAACAGGGTAGGTAGGGCGTTTGCTTCCGATCTATCGAACCACTGTCAGTTTGGTTCTAATCATGGCGAGGAAAGAAGTCTTGGTCGAGTTTAGTGAAGGAATGTATGGGTGTGCTCCAGGGTAGACCTACCGGACCATGCGCAGATATTCTAACCCATCATCCGCTGGGCCATAAAAAAGTTCATCGCCGCCGTCGTCCAGACCGGGAAATGCGCCTTTCTGCCCGTAGACATTATTCTGACGTGGTTGTTCGTATGGTTGCGATGGACCCTCTTCGTTCTCATGGGATAACCGAGGGCGTTTGGCAGAAGGGGACGACATGCTGCCCTTTCTCTTGTCGGGCATGGTGAGTTGGAGGTGTTCAAATCATTAGGGAGCTTGGGCCGTCAGTCGCATATCTTTTTTTTTTTGCTTTTCCCATGCGACACATGTCAAAGCCACTGCATAAAGTGGAATTCTTTTGTTAAAAACGAAAAGAAAAAAAGGGAAACAGAGAAAGGGTAAACAGAAAGTCACACTTGAATATCCGATGCGACAGCGTTTACTCCCTAGGCGGTATGTCACTGCGGGCAGATCATCTTTAGACTTGCGCAACTTCTAAAGTTCAAATGTTGCGATTCTTGTATTCGCATCTCTGAATTCTATTATTTCTTTTAAATGGCTCCATTATCCAAGATTATATTCCTTCTGTTACAATGCCAAAATATATGAGCCGTTCCGAGGCGGGGCTCTCACGATGTGTACATCTCCCCACTGAGGTTTTGATTCAAATTGCCAGTGCGATTCTTGATGAGTGGCCCGAGGATGATACTCCGGTCTATCAGTCCACACTCCACGACTTCTGTCTTGTCTCCCGTCAGTGGTACTCTGCTGGGATTGGCTTTTTGTATCACCGCCCTCAGCTTGCTAGAGGGAACAGCTTTACGCAGTTCGCGAACACAGTGTGTCCGCCACTTCGCGCAAAGGACAGAAAAGTGGACTTGGGCTCCCTGGTCCAAGTCCTGGATCTTTCGGGCCTGGTTCACCACAGCTCCAACAGTATAACAGCACGGCTGCTGGGTCGTGTGAAGAAAAATCTCAAGTCATTCATTGCTCCGAGGATTTCATTTGCGTATGTCAATCTATGAGTGTATATTGGATTGTTAACTCAATTTCCATCTCAGATTCAACAGCCTTGCCCCAATTTCAAAATGCAAAGAGATGACCCATCTCTCGCTTGGCCTAGTAGCCGAGACACTTGCACTTTCAGACTTAAGAAAGGCTATCGGCCCCCTCAACCGGCTAGAGTCATTACAGCTGCCACCTTCAATGGTGATCACCAGTGATGGTTCAAATGAGAGATGGCCCCCGCACTTGAAACGACTTGCTGTGGGTGGATTCTTTGATTTGGAGGCAATGCCAACCTTTAATTGGCCCCCAGCCCTAGAAAGCTTGACCTTGGTCGACTGTGAATATTTGGCAGCAGTCCTGGATGTAACATCCATGAACCAGCAGCTTTGCACCTCGTTAAAAGAATTGGTCATCCCCTCTTATCACTGTGATGCGCTTGCGGAAGAGCCTCCGGTAGGGTTGAGTCAATTTGCGGCATTACGATATCTTCAAATACCTATCGATGGAATGTTTGGAGCTGACATAGCTCCCGTGTTCGATGTGTATGATCTACCTCGGTCTATGCGTGAGCTTGTCCTCACCACAGCGATTGACGAGGCATTTTCGAGGGTTGATACCGAGGAGATCTGCAAGGCTTTAAGAGGAGAGCTCTCCCAGGTTTGTGGGTTTGGCATGAGCCCTAGCTGCTCTAAGCTAATACCTCGAGCTACACGTGCCAACATCGACAAGTTGGTCTGGGCGAATATTGATGATTGTCCTGAGAATGAACTGGATAATCTCTATGATCTGGGTCTCTATATCACAGAATCATAGCGATGAGACTGTTATTACTGTATTCTCCCTTCACTTCGGTATCGCAGTCTATTCTTTTTAGACCGCCACTATTGTCACTAATAGCATTGATAAGTACATATATGCATGTATATACTAAAAAGTGCATCAAAAGTGTTTGATGAATGAGGAATTACTTGTCATACTCAAATAGACCCCAGAGGAGAGAGACATATCAGTGCGTCGATGCTTTCAAGCAGTGATGTGCTCTGCATGGAGTAGATGCTGTGGTCTTGGCATGGATGGACCTCGGGGGATGGATGTAGATCCGATAAGCCGATAAGGAGCCTTGGCAACGGAACCCAGTAATGACGTACCGTCATACACGTCAACAGGTCTCTACACATAGCGCGACTTCTTCTCCCCTCTCTCGATCATAATGAGACCGCAAACTGCTTGGCGGTCCCTTGGCCTCCTGAAACGCAATACTGCATGCCAGTACTCGCTCATTGGCCGCCGAGCCATCCAAACGGCCAGTTCTCGGCCAGTTCCGAACTTTGCATTTGCATTTGAGTGAGCCAGCCAGTAGCTGATAGAAGACATAACTCTGTGACAAGATCTGACCGCTTCTTATAGTATTGATGGTGTTCTTCTGCGATCTTCCAAGCCCATCCCAGGTGCCGCCGACTCACTGGCACTGCTGAAGGAGCAAGGAATTCCCTTCATCTTGCTCACCAACGGCGGCGGCAAACACGAGACGGAGCGCGTTGCGGAAATCAGTGAAAAACTTCAAGTTCCTTTGGATGCAACCGATATTGTACAGAGCCACTCTCCCTTTGCAGAGTTGGTCAAAGGACCAGACGAGGCAAGCGCGCTGGAGCACAAGTGTGTTCTGGTGGCCGGTGGTGACGGTGACAACTGTCGACGTGTAGCAGAGCGGTATGTTGGCTGAAGCTGTTAAATTACCAAAGATATTTACTAAGCTTCGCTTCAAGATACGGATTCAAAAATGTCATCACGCCAGGAGATATACTTATGGCGAATCCTGCAATTTCGCCGTTCTCCAAGAACTTCGGTGACTACTACAAGACTTTCGCACGCCCACTCCCAAAGCCAATTGATCCAACTGATCTGGCAAAGAGTTTGAAAATCGACGCTGTCTTTGTCTTCAATGACCCTCGAGACTGGGCCTTGGACACTCAGGTCATAATGGATATCCTTCTTTCATCGCAGGGCCGTATGGGCACTTTGTCCGAAAAGAATGGCCGGACAGACCTTCCCAATCACGGTTACCAACAGGATGGTCAGCCCCATCTCTATTTCTCTAACCCAGATTTGTGGTGGGCCGCTGCTTACCCCTTGCCCCGCCTCGGTCAAGGTGGTTTCCGTGAGGCTCTCGAAGGTGTCTGGGCTGCGACTACCGGAGGTCCTAGCAAGGGCATCGAGTTGAAGAAGACTGTGATCGGAAAGCCTTATCAGCCTACATACGAATTTGCGGAACATCAATTACTTCGAAACCGGCTGAAGACATTCGGCAACTCTGCAAATCTTCCTCCTCTGGAAAGAGTCTACATGGTTGGAGATAACCCCGAGTCAGACATTCGGGGTGCCAACTCCTATCGCAGCGGCTTTGGCAGCAACTGGCAATCAATCCTTGTTCGGACTGGAGTGTACAGCGGTGGTGATCCTGCATATACCCCTCACACAATTGCAGACAATGTGCATAAGGGTGTTCAATGGGCGCTGAAAAGCTCTAAATGGCCTTCTTCTTGATTCCTACCAAGAGCTTGTTGGTCACTAGAGGTGGTGGCCATGACCAAAAGAGCGTCAGCCCTATTTGCACATAGTGACAAGCATATGTTTATTTCCATACATTATTAATAAACGCATTGAGTCATCAATTGACCTGGTAATTGTCATTCCCCAGAAAACCGATCAGGATATCCATGACATGAATGTAGCTTTTGTATGCGTTTTACATACAGAAGGTACTTTATATCGGGTCAGGTGACATCCCCTCTTAGGGTTAGGGCTTGGCATTCGGCGGGGTGAGTCAAGGCTCCATCTGCAGCTTCACTAGAGCCGATCAGTCTGCTACTCTTAGTCTTGCAAGCTTCTCGTGATAGAGTATCATACAGGTTAGACACATTGCTTACCTACCAGTCAACTCCACGCTCTAATTGCCGTCTACAGCACCATGGCCGACTCCGAACTCCCCCACCGTCCCAAGCCCGAGGAGACTCAGGATGCCTCCGCGCCCGCCGCGGAAGGTGAGACCAAGAACGCCAGCAAGAACGCCGCAAAGAAGGCCGCTAAGGACAAGATTAAGGCCGAGAAGGCCGCAGCGCGTGCTGCGCAAGAAAAGGCGCAGGCCGCCGCTCAGGATGCCAACGACACAGCCAAGGATCTGTACGGCGCCATCCCCGAGGCTGAGGGTCTCGTCGCTGCCACAAAGTTCACCGAGTTTACCGAGGAACACTACGACAAGGAGGTTACCGTTGTTGCACGTGTTGACAATGCGCGTGTTCAGAGTGCTAAGCTTGCATTCCTGATGCTGCGCCAGCAAGGACAGAAGGTGCAGGCTGTTATCGCAGCCGCTGAGCCCATCTCTCGACAGATGATTAAGTACACCGGTGGATTGAACGTCAACTCCATTGTCCAGGTCACCGGTATCGTGAAGAAGCCCGAGATCCCGATTTCCTCCGCATCCATCAGCCACCTCGAAATCCACATCCGCAAGGTCTACATGATCTCCGAGGCTGCTCAGATGCTGCCCATGCAGGTCAAGGATGCCGAGCGTCCTCCCCCCGAGACCACCGACGAGGGTGCCCAGGTTGATGCCGACGGTGCTCCCATCGTCACTCTCAAGACCCGTCTCGACAACCGTGTTCTCGATCTCCAGACCGAGACCAGCCAGGCTATCACCTGGATCTCCAGCGGTGTGTCCCAGCTCTTCGCCGAATACATGCTTAAGAGCGGTTCTCGCTGGATCTCCACCCCCAAGCTCGTTGGTGCCGCCACCGAAGGTGGTAGCGGTGTCTTCGAGGTCAAGTACTTCAAGCGCAACGCCTACCTCGCTCAGAGCCCCCAGCTTTACAAGCAGATGTGTATCGCTGGTGATATGGATAACGTTTTCGAAATCGCCCCCGTGTTCCGTGCAGAGGACAGCAACACTCACCGTCACTTGACAGAGGTAAGATTGAAGAAGGAATGGAAACGGACATGAATACTAATTTGAGATACAGTTCTCCGGTCTCGATTTCGAGAAGACCTTCCGTGGTCACTACCATGAAGTTCTGGACTTTGCCGAAGACCTCCTTGTCTTCATCCTTACCCAACTCAAGGAGCGCTACGCTCCCCAGATCGCCACCGTCCAGAAGTCCTACCCCAAGGCCGGTGACTTCAAGCTGCCCAAGGACGGCAAGGCCCTGCGCCTGAACTACATGGACGGTGTTGCCCTTCTTAAGGAGGCCGGCGTCGACGTCTCCGAGCTCGAGAGCTTCGAGAACGACTTCTCCACCGCCATGGAGAAGCAGCTTGGCCAGATCATCCGCGAGAAGTACGACACCGACTTCTACGTCCTTGACAAATTCCCCATGGCTGTTCGTCCTTTCTACACCAAGGCCGACCCCAACGACAAGCGTTTCTCCAACTCCTACGACTTCTTCATGCGTGGTGAGGAGATCATGTCCGGTGCCCAGCGTATCAACGATATCAAGGAGCTGGAGGAGTCTATGCGTGCTAAGGGCCTCGAGCCTAACCAGGAGGGCTTCGAGGACTACCTCAACGCTTTCCGCCAGGGTTGCCCGCCTCACGCCGGTGGTGGTCTTGGCTTGAACCGTATTGTCATGTTCTTCCTTGGCTTGCCTAACGTCCGTCTTGCTTCGCTGTTCCCCCGTGACCCCCAGCGTCTGCGTCCTTGATTTATGCCTGCCAAGGCATTGCATTTTTTTCCACAAAAATATAGCCCAAAATCAATCTTTCTATGTTCATATTACCCTCGATCATTTTCCCGGCTCCCCAAGTCATTAATCATTCCTTACCCAAGGGAGTAGAGCATAATGTACACCCCAGAGCCGTAGATCAGATAGAAATCCAGGTAGCACATCAAACCGACGAGCAACATGCTCATGCCTAACCTACGGTGAGCGCCCAAGTAGGGCCGGGGTATGATCCATAGATGAACGGCTGTTAAACCCAATGCTTCGTGTATGCTTTACAGATTTATTTTGAAACAAACTAGATCCAGACATGACTTCGGAAGGCGTAAATATGATATGATATCTGGAAGAAAAGTTGCATTGACAGGTTTTGAGGGGTGGACGACGCAATCTAACGAACCAAGACACATGAAAAAACACACGCTCTTGTCCCCCCGACCAAATTAAGCACGTAACGACAAAGAAAGATGAGAAAGATTAAGACACAGAAGCAATCACAGCTGCGGCAACGCCCTCCTCTTCCGCCCGGACGGTGATCTTGGTCGTGACACCAGCCTTGCTTGAGTAGGCCATCTTGATCAGGGAAGCAACACGGCCACCGGACACAGTCTTTCCGAAGAGCTTGAGAGTATGTGTGCTGCTGTTGAGAGCGACGTCGGTGCCCTCGAGAGGCTGGAGAGACAGTGCAGAGATCAACTGTTCCGTGGCATCTGTAGAGATTGTTAGTTTCTGCAATGAAAGAAGTTGGAGTGGAGTAAGACATACCGTTGATACCCTTCATGTTGCTGAGCTGCAAAGTCTCACTCTCTTCCTCGCCGTTAGCACCGGTCTGTTCCCAGACGTGGTCAAAGCTTCCGGCGAAGGTTGGGATAACGTAGTCGCTGCCAGTGAGCTCAAGGTCTTCCACTTGGTACTCATCTTCGTAACCACTGTCCTCAGGCTCGCCCGTTGTGGGGTCGATTTCCTTGCTAGTGAACTTGAGGTTGTTTGTGAATGAGGTGACGGGAACACTGTTCTCGCCGGCGAGCTTCTTGAAAGCCACATAGACAACACCAGGCTCATTTGTGGGAACCTTGGGGGCGGGAATGATAAAGTCGTCCTCCAATACATCCTCCTCCTCTGGTGTGGCTACCACGGTGACGTTCTCGAGAATGGTATCTGGGAGTGTGTTCTTGATATCATACTGCACGACAATGTGCTCCTTGAAAATGTGCTTGACAGCTGTGACGACATACTCGGTTTCGCTCTCGGAAAGTTCGACAGGCGAGGAAGACTTGAGCAAAGTGCCATAGGCCTTGATATCGGGGAACTCCAAGAGTTGCTCTGCGTACTTCTGAGTGGCGGAAGCAGAGGCAGCTTCGGCCATACCGCCGGCGGCCGCACCCTTCGGAGGGCCGGTTGAAGGAGCCTTGAGAGTGGGTGTGGCGGATGTGAGCTTTTGTGTTCGCTCTGCTGCCAGAGCCTGCTCTTGGGAAACAACGGGAATGGTTGCAACGTCGAAGGCAGTAGCGAAGGTCTGCTTATCCCCGGACGTCACGTACATGACAAGCTGGTGCTCGAAAGTGGAGAGAGAGTACATAGAATCTATACTTGTTAGCAAAAGTAAAGCTGCCTGCTGTAAGGAAGAACGCTTACCATTCTTGATGAAGGCACTAGCCGCCTCATCTTCCTCCGCCATGAGTCGCAGATTGAGCGCAGCACGGTCTCGCACCTCATCATCGGTATCATCAAGACAACGAGTGAGGAGAACGTGAACACTAGATTTGACTTCGGGGTCCTTCTGGCCAACACCAAACTTGGCCAATGCAGTGACAGCAGCAGCGCGTACAATGGCGTTCTCAAGAACAACACGGTTGTAGATGTAACGTATATACTTGGTGGGGTGGGAAGTCTTGGGGCCCTCAGAACCGAGCAGGTGGAGGATTCGGACGGAGAGCTTGGTGAATTCGCAGTCCTCGATGAACTCACAGAGGTGGGCAAGAGCTGGGGTTCCGGGTTAGCGTAGGAATTATGGGGGACCAAACTCGAATCTTACCATCTTCTTTACTTTCAGGGACGAACTTGATCAGATCGAACATGCTTTCAACAACAGTGCGCTTGAACTCATAGCCACCCTCGTCACGCAGGATACCGCTCAGGAAAACGAGCATACCAGCCTGCTTGCTAGGGAACTTCAAGCACAATGTGCGAATGGCCTCGACAATGGTGACCTTGAACTCATCGGTGATATCGGCCATGAAGCCCGAAATTTGCTTCATCAAACGGTCGACACTGGCCTCGTTACCGGTCTTGAGCAATGTGGTGATGGCGAATGTAGCGATGGAGCGGTTGGAGTTGGAAATAAGGGACTCGATATCGGGGTTGCACACGTTGACAACGTGCGGCTTGAAAGAGGCAAAGTTGTGGAGAATACGGATAGCAGCGAACTTGGTGATGGACCGGGGGGAGGAGAGGAAGAGCTGCAGAACGTGGACTGCCTGGGTTGCCTCTGCATCGGTGATATCGCGCATGTCGCAAATGGCCTTGGCTGCCTCAAAATTGACCATCTCATGCTTGTGACGGAGCCAGCCATCCAACATCTGCATCATTGGTTTCCGGAGACCTTGGTCTTCTTCCGCCAGCTTGGCCGCTAGACGCACGAGCAGAACCAAAGCAGCCGGGCTCTTAACCACACCCGCAGCGCCGTATTGCTGCACCATCTTGACCAGGGACATCCGATCGTGGGAGCGCATCTGATACAGGAGACCGATCGCATGGTACTGGTTCATGAAGTTCGAGTTGGAGATAGCGTGGTTCTGGGCGCTTCCACCGAAACCAAGGAAACCGGTTGATGACTTCGATGAAGAGGCGGCTTCTTGTGTTTCGCTTTGCCATCTCCGGACAACGTCGCGCGCGATGGGGAGGAGGTGGTAGGAAGACACCAGGGCGGCGGAGGACACGGAGGGTGTCTTATCAACAATGGCGGTCTTGATCAGTCGCTCGATACCTTGAACTGTAGAACCCTGTTATTATTGTCAGCAATTGCGTAGGCGAACGAGTCTCGCTTCGCCTGCCACCTACATCAATAATGCGGCAAAGCGCCCTGATGGCATTGGCCCGGTATAGAACATCGCTTCCCACCGCAGTGTCCTTCATAATGATACTGGTCGACATGATCACATCTTCAGCAGTACCAGACAGCTCCTTCAGGATCAGATAAACCATTTGCCGCAATGACGGGTCCTTGTTTTGGAAGAGCTTCGAGATTCCAAAGAAGAGGGTAGTGGCTTCATTCGTGGGGAACTGCTCTCCGGTGAAGAGGAGCACGGCAATTTTGGTCAACAGGGTGCGACATGTTCGTGGCGAGATAGGAGAGGAGTTGAACAGGCGAGCTAGAAGAACGATCGAGTCAGTGTCGAGTCCGGGAAGCGCATAGAGGCGCCAGGGGGTAATGTTGATTGCGCACCATCTTGGAATACGGAGGTCCGATCAAGCTTGATCATGACCTGGTCCGCGTCTTCATCTTTCTTCATGTAGCTCATCTTGCCCAGCAGCTGGGAGCACACCCGCAATTATGTGCTGTCACTTTCGAAGAGTCGGAGTGGATGCAATTGGAACACGGGTCGAATACTGGAGTACACAGGATCTAGGGCGGTGTAGGCGACTACAACATTGGCATAGCCACCCAATTGGAAAAGAACGAGAGTCTGGGAAAACAAATAAATATTCAAGGGAGGTGATGAATATCCAGTGTCTATTGGAGACAAGTTGAAGGTGGCCTTCCGTGTGTTTGGCCCGAATCAAACACTGCAAACAGGTGGCATCATGATTGAAGGCATCTCCCTCACTTTCCCCATATTTGATTCTGGACATATTCTTTTCTTTTCTTTTGGAAGCCTGCTCATATTCTATTACCGGCATCCATCATGCAGGTTGAGGTCGACCCTAAGGAGGACACCGAGTGGTTAGTTCCATCACTGCCTCACTGCATATAACCCCCCGCTACCTGCAAGGTATAAACTAAACTCAGTGTGCTAATATTTCTTTACAATATAGGAACGATATTCTGCGCCAACATGGTATCATTCCCGAGAAACCCAAGGACCCGGAGCCTCTCATTCAAGAGGCTCTAATCGCCGCACACCACAGGGCGCACGAGAACCGACTCGAGGATAAAGACCTTGACGAACTGGACGCACTGGAGGAGGAGGAAGATGAAGAATTCCTCGCAAGCTATCGGTGAGCTCGTCTCTATATTCACCGCCTTTAACCAAAAGATCTTGCGGTGTTAACTGCCCGCGCAATTAGGGACAAACGGCTCGCCGAGCTATCCCAGCTTCAGAAGACCAGCCTGTACGGCCAAGTGTACCCGCTTCAGAAGGTCGACTATGCTCGCGAAGTTACCGAAGCATCGAACAGCGCTTACGTTCTCGTCAACCTTACATCAATGGGCGGCAATGTCGAATCGCGAGTATTGACCGAGCTCTGGCGGCAATTAGCCGTGAAGTTCGGTGACATCAAGTTCTGTGAAATTCGCGCCGACATGTGCATTGAAGGATACCCAGAGAAGAACACGCCCACAATTTTGGTATACAAGGATACTGAGATCCAGAGGCAGCTTATTACACTGCAGCAGCTGAAGGGTCCTCGGACCAAGGTTGAAGGTATGATTCTCTGTCCTAGCAATCCGGCGAAGGAAGGGCTAGGCTAACGATTTATACAGACGTTGAGCGTCTGCTGGTTGACCTTGGTGCCCTGAAGGAAAGCGATGTCCGCTTGAAGAAGCGTGACGACGAGGACGATTACAAGAAAGATGATGACTTGAACGTTGAAGATTATGACGACGACTGGGATTAAATTCCCTGCGATTCAAAAGTAATGGGCATATCATGATCACGGCACTTGTGTATATTACGAAAAACACTCAAAACACCATTGACGGGAGCCTAAGGGAATTTGGAACAAGCTATCGGACATTGGGTTCAAAGTTTGGGAATTTCGCCTTGTTGAGTTCTTGCAGTTTACAACTATGAATATGAGATGACCTGTGAATTGATACCAAACTGTCAAAATGACCGATGAGGACAGAAACTTGTGTGTACCTAGGAGACTAGGGCCAATTGGGGGGATAGAGAAGATTTGATTATGCCGGGGGCCCGGCGCTAGCCCTGGAGTCCAGAGGGGCGTCTCCCCGCACCCCATATCACTCCGCGCTACGTCAATCCACATGTATGAATTCTATGGACTTCACTATGGCTACAACCTCTTCCCTAGAGCAATCAAGACAAACCAAGCGGGCTATAGGAGGTCAGAAAAGATTGTCCAGGGGGAGGGCTTGCAACGAGTGTAAACAGCAGAAGGTATGTGATGTTTAATCTCCAGGGTCAAGTCAAATCAAGACGCCTCATACCATTGAAGTTAAGGTGCAACTTGAGCACGGCAGACGATGAGGGTGTTAACATCTGCACTCGCTGCGAGAAACTGGGGCTGGAGTGCAAAGTGGAATCAACATTCCAGAGGTCGCGAAAGCGGAGGTAAAGCGATAACCGAGGTTCCTAGACGAATTCACAGAAACTGACTGCAAATTTTCACTTTGTTCAAGGCAACCTTTTGAACTGGAGAATGAAGTGAGAGAACTCCGACGCCGGTTAGAGGGCAATCAACATGGAACGTCCGTCAACACACCCAGTCAAGTTCCACCTCGACCCCACTACATCGCTGGAGACGAAGTTCTCAGTCTAGAAGTTACAAATGAAAGCTGTGTGGCAGTTCCGTCGACTAGTGAAAGACCTGAGATATTACCCGATGCCACAGATCATCTTTGGGCGTCTAGTCTAACCACGAAGCCAGTGATTGAGCCCCAACAGCCGTTGCGAGCTGCGGTGACGGTTTCCCAGGCGAGGTCATTGGGCAATGTCCATTTATCTGTTACTGAAATCGATGAATTATTTGCGATGTGAGTGTGTTTCATCCGGAGTATGACAGCACTTCTCATTTTGAGTCAGTTACATGAATCATTATCACCCATTCCTCCCATTCCTGGATCCAAGCACCTCACCCCATGACTACTACGAATCCTCTCAGTTGCTTTTTTGGGCCATCGTTTCCACAGCTTCACGACGCTTGGAAAGCCAGCCTACACTCCTTCCGAGACTAGCAAGAAGCGTCACAGATCTCGTATGGCAGACTATTCGATCTATTCCCCATTCATATCATGTGGTCCAAAGCCTCATCATTCTTTGCGCCTGGCCATTTCCCACGAGCAGTAGCACAGCTGATCCTACTTATACGCTTGCCGGGACGATGGTACTGCTAGGCTCGCAGATGGGTCTCCATCAGCCTTTGGATGCTCAAGACTTTACCAAAGTCTCGCTGAATCTGGAGGAAGATGAGTACTCCAGGTGGGTGAAGACATAGAAGGCCTGCAATATCGTTGCCCACAGGTTGATAATAGCTCTGTTTGCACCGCGCCAGTTTATTACTAACAAGTATTATAGTGTGAGTATAGGTTGCGGTTTGCCTTCACCGGTGGAGTTATACGACAGGTCTCTCAATTTCGAGTCCGAGTACACGGCATCCGCACTCCATCACACCACCCTGAACTCTCATATGCAGATTGAACGGATCTGCCCGCTACGTGGCCTCGTTCCTATATGTGACAGGCTGCTTTGCGGCAAACGGATTGGTCTATAACTGGGCGGTCAGTGTACTCAACAAAACACCGGAGAAGAAAGCTTTAGCAACTTCGATGATCAATGTGATCGGCCAGCTGGGTAATATCATGAGCCCGTACTTCTTTCGGAGCCAAGACGAGCCCCGGTATGTGCTGGCAATGATTCTTCTCATTGTTTTTGCTGGTTTGAGTGCTACTACTTGCGTATTTCCGAGGTGGGATCTTCGACGGGCAAATCGCCACCTTGCTGATGAATCGGTAAATTCACAAACGGCCCCTAGGTTCTTTACGACCTAAAAGAAAACGAGTGCTTTGAGTCAGCTGTTAGGGTAATGCCGTTCCATATAGGAACAAAATTCCAGTTGAGGGCTTACTTGTTTTTTTTTCTGAATAGACTTACAAGAGATGTGGGATGGTCATGAGTCGCTTTGTGTTTTTCCCTTGATGAAGCACTTGAGTCCATGACCTTTCGGGCTGGGTATTTCCGGATGAGACAGGACAGAACCTCGAGAGTCAGTATACATACTACACCGGTTATCTCTCTGTCGACCGGCCAAATTATCTCCTCTTTCTCGATCAAGTCCTCTGTTAGTTCTATTTCCCAAGGCGGGGGCGACCCCTCACGCAGCATTGCGGCTGAATGACCAGCCCCCATTTTCGCAACACAACATCTGAACCACGAACCCCTGACTGTGTCTGTGTCACCTCACTATGGCGAGAAACACTCATTTCGGAGATAATTACCAAGGACTTCAGGTCGAAACAAATGAAGGGTCAATCACATTTAATCAGTGTGAGTCCAAACACCCGAGAGCAACATCGTTGTACGAAACTGACCAGGCGCTTAGCCCAAACCGTCGAGGAAATCGATCGATTGTGTCTTAGGCATCTGCGCTGCCCAGACTCACGGGCAGTGAAGAGCAGACTGAAAGAAAGCAAAGACAAATTACTTCCTGAATCGTTCGAGTGGATCCTGCGAGACGAAAAGTATGAAACTTGGCGAGATGGGGATGAAGTCTGCCTACTGTGGATTAAGGGCGGGGCTGGCAAGGGGAAGACGATGATCGCCATCGGCCTTGTTGAGGCACTTCATCGATTCTGCAACGATAAGTCGAGTGCGGTGACATACTTCTTCTGTCAAAATTCAGACAGCGAACTCAACACTCTCGAAGGTATGATGAAAGGATTGATTCTGCAGTTGATTCATCAGCAACCGGCCCTCAAAGAGTGCATACGATCTCGCTGGAATGCTGAAAAGAATTCATTTGATGAAAATCTTACTTCATGGAGAGCTTTGTGGTACATCCTTCTTGAGATGATAGACCAGTGTGACTCCTCAAAAGTATACTTGGTTCTGGATGCCCTCGATGAGTGCCATGATGGTGATATGGATGAATTCCTGAAGGCCCTCGTGCGAAACGGGCTTCACTCTCCTGCCAGGATAAAATGGCTTCTGACAAGCAGGCCCCTAGACAGTGCAGAAAGGGCATTACTGGCTGGGCATGAACAGATCCAACTGAGTCTCGAGCTGGAGTCAGATCGTCTATCCAGTGCGGTGAAAGCCTACATCACCCACAAAGTGAACGAACTCGGCCACCAACAGGGGTACGAAAGGCCTTTGAAGGAGAACCTAGAATCTCAGCTCCAGGAAAGATCCGAGGGGACTTTTCTATGGGTGAGTTTGGTGTGCAAAATGCTTGAGAATGTCTGTCCCGAGGAATCCTTGGCTGCGATTCAAAACATACCACATGGCCTACAACCTCTATATGGGCAGGTTTTCAGACAATTAGGCAGTGGTAGGGCACAGGAAGTACAAATGTGCATGCGGTTGCTCAAAGCGATGATGTTGGCATATCGAGCATTGACAATGGAAGAGCTTGCGACTATTGCTGCCCTGGTTGATGGCAAAGATGTGAGCCTTAGGTCATTAATCATTCGCTGTGCTTCTTTTCTCAGATTCCGGGGGCAGATTGTTGAGTTTGTTCACCAGTCTGCCAGGGACTATCTATCCGGGAAACGTGCACAGCATTTTCTTGACTCCCATGGCACATTCGGACACCATGAAGTTGCTCTGAACTGCCTTTCTTGTCTTTCCAAATATCTGAAAGTCAACCTTCTTAACCTACGACCCGATTCGGACAAAAGGACAATCAAAGAGCTGAAGGCAGATGGTGGAAGCATTGTGCTGGCTACTTTGGAGTATGCAGCTATCTTCTGGGGGCAGCATTTTCGGGATAGTGTTAATGTCAAGGCTCCGAGCCAAGCGCTTGACAAGGACTCAATCATTGACTTTCTCCACGCGAAACTTTTGGAGTGGGTAGAATGCTTAAGCATACTGGATACGCTCCCAGTTGCTCTGACGACTTTGCACCTTTTGGAGAACGTATTCAAGGTTCGTATTAAGGCTACTGTTGACTTTGATATTCCCTACTGACAAAATTGGCAAAGGATGAACGATCATCACTCTTATTTCTTACCGACTCTATTCGCTTTCTCTACTGGCACTATATTACCCTGGACAATTGGCCAGCGCAGGTTTATGTCTGCGCTGTAGTTTGGAGTCCTGAAACAAGTGTCTTGAGAAAAAAGAATTTGAGCCGACTCCCATGGCTAAGGAATGTCAATGGTCTGAAACCTACATGGGGATCTCGGGTGCGGACAATCAAGCTCGACAATGAAGTTCTAGCATCGAGCTTTTCTTCAGACGGCAAGAAGCTTGCTGCCCTCTGTTTGAAGTCTGAATTGGAACATACCAAAAGCATCACTATCTGGGACGTCGAAACGGGAACCATACAGGGAGAGCTTTCCTTGAAATCCACAGATCATATCAGCCAAATGAGCTTCTCACAGAACAACCAGAAATTCATATGGATTTCACAAAGGACAGATACCATTCACTTATGGACAATCACGAGTCAAGATGTTCAAATCATACCAGTTGCATATTCGGGATTTGGTAAAACCGTGGCCATTTCATCTACGAGAATGCAGGTTGCATCTATAGTCTCTGGTCATGGAATCCTTATTTGGGATATTGAAACTGGCAAATTTCAGTGGCGTTTACCAATATGCTGGTCATCTTCCCAGACTCTTACCTACACAACTGATGGCAATCGTTTAATTTGCGATTATTCTGATCGGGAATTTGGCTTTTGGGACGCCACAACCGGCATATACCAGAGAGTGCGAAAGCCCCCAGGCTTTCTCCATTGCGCAGGTCATTCACCAGATGGATATCAGATGGCTTATCAGTCCAAACCGAGTGTCTCCAACGGATATGCTACTTTCATTTGGGATACTATATCAGATCGCACTAGGCTGATAGAGGCTCAAAGTCCTAGCACCCATCTTAAACAATGTCTGAAATTTTCACCAGATGGAAAAAAGATCGCATGCGGATCCACAATGGATGGAGATATCAAAGTTTGGGATGTTTCGACAAATAGACCCCATGAGATACTCTCGGAATCGGGCCACGGGATCATTCGTGCATTGGCATTTTCTTCCTCAAGTGACCAGATCATATCTTTGACATGGCAGGGCCATATTGATCTGTGGGATGTGGGAACCCCGTCGGCAAAACAGAAAGAATCGCCTCTTACAAACCACCACGACATCACTTTCTCACTCGATGGCAGAATGATTTTGTGCTGTAGTTCGTGGAAATTTATGATTGTAGATGCCAGGACTGGTGTCACTCAGAAGACAATATCATCACCGCGTGGAGGAGGAAAAATCAAAACTGCAAGGTTCCTACCCGGCAGCGAGAACATTGTACTTGGGCTCGAGGGTGGGGTGATGCTTTGGGAGGCTGCAGCCGGTACTTTTCAATGGCTACGCCACAGTTCAGCCCTCAACATAGCCCCATCCCCAAATGGCAAGTATCTCGCGGGTATCTTTGATGCGGGCAGGATTCGCATATGGGACAGCCGGACAGGAGCTCTTAAAAAGACGCTCAAAACCCACAGCCCCTTTTTTGGTCGTCTTGCTTTTTCTTCGGACAGCAAGCAAATCTTATCTTGGTCTGATGAGGATCTTAACATTTGGGACATTTCTCGATCTTTGAGGGCTTCCAAGTTCTTTGGAGATATGATCAGCAGTCACATCCCATGCAAAATGCCAAAATATATCAACTTCGAAAGATTTGAAATGCCGGGGGAATTTCACGGAATTTCAGCGGATGGCCACTACGTTTTGTTGAACGATGGCGCATTTAACGTGAATCACCTTCATCAAAGAAGATACCCAGGAAGGGCCAGAGATGATTTGCTACCTTTGCTCTATCTCAATCAAGAAGGGTGGATATGCTATGGAAGGCAGGCTTTCATTAGGCTCCCGCGGACGATTATATCTTCTTGTCAAGATCAGCGAGACGAAGAAATTGTCATCGGGTTCAAAAATCGAGAATTGATTGTCTTGTATATTGATACAACGGTTTTGTCGGAGATGTTGGACTTCTAAGTGGCAATCTCGATGTATAATAGTGATGTCCAGAATGAGCATGGTTCGAATCGACGAAATTTGATATCTACGCACGCTTATCTAGGTCTACAAGTACACCTGGGCACTTGATATAAATCCAGGCGAGCAATATAACCTTTGAACAAGAACAAAACCATTTATATGTAGACCAGATCAATAAATCACAACCCTATAAATATCACCATCCAGCGCCTCAATACTCCAATTCATAATAATGGCCCACGCAAGCCCAATTCAAAAACCATTACTCAAATCAATTCATCCCGATCCATAGCCGCACTCTCCTCAATAGCCCGCCGTACCTGACCCTCTTTATAAGCCGGGCCCTGCCCATCACACTGTGCCATACCCTTCAAGATCTCAGTCACATTAGCAATATCAACCTGACCACGCTTAAACAACTCATGCCCCTGGATCAAATCCCACGTAGCACCAGCATCCAGCAATTTCTCACCAGTAATCTGGCACACCGTGACCCGATGCTGTGGACTCCTAGGCAAAGCAGATCCATCTGGAACAAGACTTGTATAGAAATCCGTAGGCGAGTAGCGCATTGGTCCTGTGACCGTTGGTTCGGGGGATTCATTTATATTTCCATGCGCGCGATTCGTATTAGATGTTGCGCGCAGGATTTCATTCTCGGTTGTATATTTTGCCAGTTCGCGCTTGAGACGCTCGTTGTCCGCGTGGAGGGTGTCGGATGCTGTTTCGAGGTTGTTGACTTTGTCTTCGAGGTCTTTCACATGGCGTTCTTTTCTTTCGCGGAATGCTCGCTGGCTATATGGCGTTAGTTTTGAGTGCGGAATAGAAATGTGGGGGTGAGATTTATCACATACGCTGCGCGATTCTGGGCTTTGCGCTTGCTTTGCGCTGGCACTGAGTCCTTTTCTTCGCTGCTGCTTCTGAGGGGGTCTGCGAGGTTGGCTTCGTCGCCATCGAATGAGATGGGGTCTGTGTGTTGGTTGTTGGCGTCGCTTGACTCTGAGTGCTTGGTGAAAGACTCTGGCGGTGAATGCGGTGGCGGGACAAAGGATTGGGAGGGGTCGAGTCGGAATGAGGGGTCAAAGCCAGGGAAATTCTGGTTGAAATTATTCTGGATTATCGTCAGCTCAGTCGTGGTAGCTGGGACAAAGAACTCACTAGGGGAGCGAAGGCTTCATCTTGCGGGGGTTGCTGGTTCGGGGTGGGCAACCCATAGAGTGAGTAGGGTTGCGATCTGGGTCCGCTGTAATAGGAGTAGTCCATTCTATTGATCTTGGTATCGCGTAGTACACAACTAGACTAGGTTGGACAGTTCGCGGGGAGAAAGGTGAGATATCGGGGAAGTCTTGGGAGATCACCACAAGTACTCCGTACTCCGTGGTTGGGCCCCGAAGACGTTTTTCTTGGCCACAAATTAGAGTCTACCTTACACCACATAGCCCTGGAGGTAATCAAAATACAAATTTAGAATATTTTACTATTGAAATCTTTGAGTTTAATATAAAAAAGACCTGGCGCAGTTGAGTTTGGTCCGTGCGAGGGCCAGAACAGTGATGATCTCACCGTTCGAGAGATGACTACACACTACCAAGTACAGCAGAAGAGTTGGAATGCAAGATAAAGCAGAATAGAAACTAGCTAATAAATGAATTGACACACATCGACGCATACCACCCCGGAAGCGACCCTAACCATGTCCGTCGCCAACTACCACGAGAACCAACTTCCTCCGAGCAGGATTGCACCAATGAGCATCGGTAACATAGACCTGCAAGGCAGCTTGGGCTGAAAGTGACATGAGCCTCAAGCAATACCTCCGAAGAAAGCGCGTCCCAGATCTCCATAATTTGACCAGACTTCCGGTCACACCTCGTCCCCATTTAGCGTCGATGTACAAAAACGATTAATAGCCAGAGAAAGCAGAAACATAAAGCGAAATGAAAGGGCATAGGGGGCACGGGGTTAAGAATTCGTGAAAAAAGGAAAAGGGAAAGTGATGGGTGTCACATCCGAGGATGTATCCCAAGGATCACCATAACAGCAGTCAAGAAGATTTGAGCTGACGCTGTCATTTGCATCTTCCCCAGTCGTGCCCTTTAGTCAGGCTGGTCAAAATTGCCAGGCTGTTGAAGACATGAACTAAAGGGTCAAGACATAAGAATAAGCCGCAGTATCCAAAGCGTTTCGAGGCCGGATAATCGGTGGTCCCGCAGAACGGGTACACATCCGAAAAGAAAAATAGTCGCCAGTCATCACATGCTCAATGGGAAGTCGAAACACCCAGTTGGCGAGGGATTGAAGATGAGCAGGCGATGAAACAAGGGCAAGTCGAAACGGTTGAAATCGACGTAGGATCGAAAACGAGATAAGAGGGCTCGGGGAGTGCATAATGAATAGATCCAAGGAAAAAGAAAGAAATATCCGAGAAGGTCGTGTGCGATGTGGTCCGTTCCAAGGCGCGATGGAGGGTCCCGGGTTTCTTAGTAGGCAAGAGTGTGAACACGCAGGAGAAAGATTCTCACTGCCACATTACACGATTAGTACCACTGGGCCCCCGATCCATCGTCCCGCTTCGAACGGCCACCAGAGGGTCCGTAACCCATAGCAGCACCTTTCGAGGCAGAGCGAAGCCTAACGCCGAAGACTATGCGATTAGTCAGATTCAGAACTAAAGGGTTCCTCCACGCCAGCGTCACAAAAAAGCAAATCACTCAACGTAGGGAGTCAAAGAAAGAAGGGGTTCCCTACTCGGAACCAGGTTTCATGTACTCACATCCTGTCGCTTCCTCCCACGGCACGGTTGGCGTCCGGAGCGTTGTCGAGAGTGCCGCGGTCGATGACCTTACGACGCTGGCCGGAGATGGCACCGGGCTTGGCGGCACCAGCGGCTCCCATAGGAGCAGCGGGCACACCCTGGCGGCGCTGCTGCTCCTCGGCATCCTTGTCCTTCTTGTTGGCGTCGACGATCATGGCGGCGTTCTTCTGGTACTTGTAGACGGTCCAGTCGAAGACGTAGTCGTATTGGAAGGATTCGCGAACGAAGAGATCACGGAAGATCTTGCGGAGGTAGGAGTAGTCGGGCTTGTCGTCGAAGCGGAGCGAGCGGGTGTAGTTGAGGTAGATGGCGAATTCGTTGGGGAATCCACGGCACAGAACCTCGGTGGGGGTGGTCATCTTCTTCTCCATAATGCGGTCGTACTTCTGCTTCTTAGTAGCAGCCTTCAGACCCTGCCAGGGGAGAGAACCACGGCAGAAGTAGAGCATGACATAACCGAGAGACTCCATGTCATCACGGCGAGACTGCTCAACACCCAAGTGAGTGTTGATACTGGCATAACGGGCAGTTCCAGTCAAGTTCTTGTTCTCACGGTAAGGGATGTGGAAGTGAGTCTTGGGGTCGCGGTATTTCTTTGCGAGACCAAAATCGATGACGTTGACCTGGTTTCCACGCTTACCGATACCCATCAGGAAGTTGTCGGGCTTGATATCACGATGAATGAAGGACTTGGCGTGGATGTATTCGATGCGGGAGATGAGCTGGTCGGCGAGAAGAAGAACGGTCTTCAGGGAGAACTTGCGGTTGCAGAAGTTGAAAAGGTCCTCCAGACTGGGACCAAGGAGATCGATGACCATAGCATTGTAGTCACATTCGGTACCGAACCAGCGGACGAAGGGAATACCGACACCACCGGCGAGAGACTTGTAGACACGGGCTTCGTATTCGAGCTGAGGGTGCTTGGCCTTGACGTTCTCAAGCTTGATGGCGATTTCCTCACCGGAGATGATGTTGGTACCTATTGAGGATGAGTTGGGAGCCCAGGAAAAAGCCGGAAATGGTACATACCCAGGTAAATGTCACCGAAACTACCACTGCCGATCTTACGGCCAATGCGGTACTTGTTACCGACGCGCAAATCCTGCTGAGGTGTTAGCAAGATTGAGGTCCTGGGCGGGTTGGGGCTTCCAGAAGTGCCGGTTATGAAGCCGGTCTCTTGTTTCCAGAACGCGTTGGCGCCCAGTCAAGGAAGAATAAGTGAAAGAGATAAGGGGAGGCTAACACTGACCATGGTAGTCATCTTGAAGAGATGTTGCCCAGAGCTAGGCCTTGGGAAATGACTTGAGACTAATAAAGACCGAAGATGTTAGATGAGCCAGATGGCAGAAAGAACGTTGTGAATCGGTGCTGATCAAGAAGGAAGGGAGAATTCCTGGACAAGAAAGAGAGATGGGAGACCGGAGGACGCGTTGGAAGGAAACAGGGAATGGGGGAAGAGGGGGTATCACAAGTGAGCCTCAGGCCATATGAAAGGCTAGACCACACCACTTTCGTGAGAGCGTATGTGACAAATGGGAATCAAAATTGAGGTGAATAACGCGACAGATCGACAAAGAAGAGATCCAAGCAACATCGGGGATTGTCAGAAGGATTGATATCGACATACCTGGAGATGACGAAACAGGGTCAAAGAGGAGAGTTGACTCGGTAGGTCAGCCCAGAAGAGCAGGAAGAACAAAGAGCTTTAAAGAAGAGAAAAAAAATCAAGGGCAAAGCCTTGATAACGGCTGGAGGTGATGGTAGGAAGGGAAAGGGGAGAAGAGTGAGAGGGGCGGGTAAGTAGGAGTCGGTGAGCTGGGTATTTTTTATTAGCGAAAGGTGGCTGACGGGGTTACAGGGCGTAGAGTCGCCCGAGGCTCGTTTTTGGGGCCTTGGTATGGTAATTTTGGTATTGGGCTGCAGTGTCTTTTTTTATTTTTTTTATTTTCTTTGGTAATTAGCTTCTGAGTGTCAAACAACTTACTATGTTCTTTATGACATGTCTTGAGCAAGCTCTTGAATGATTGGATTGGTCTGGTGGCGATTCATTTGGGCAGCTGACAGGGTTGGATCATAGCCTCAGTTTCATCAGTGTACATATGTTGGACTGAATTGGTACATTGGACTATGTACAGAATACTGCGTAATTAACTATAAGGTAAAAGGCCAGTGAATTGCTTTGATTCCTATAATGAGCCCCTCGAAAAGATTTATTTATGCCCTTGCTTATTGCTTAGCAGTTATTCCAATATCAACGAAACCTCACTATGCGCGATTTTCTCGAAATGGCAAATAAGATATTCTCGCAGCCTATTCTAGGCAAAGCGGGTTATCATCATGCAATGTCATGTTGGTAACCGGTTGTCATGTTCAACATTCTACTTCTAAAGTTGTATAGTCAACTCAAGCTTGACCAGGCATCGCTGCAGAGCATGTTTGTGCCTATCGAATCGGGCTGGGGACAAGTCATCAGCCGGGGCTCACCAAAGCCTCAAATACATCCCGGATAATTCTTTACAATGAAATAGGTCTCGATGGATAAGAGCCCCACAAGGGCAATTAAGACGATTTCTGACTATAGATGAACAAGGAACCTGCGTGGAATATGCTAGTGGTACAACCAGAGTCCCATGAACATCGGAAAACCGGGGTATAAGAAGTGCCGCAGACAAAACAGAATCAGACGGTAGATGAAGAGACACAAATAAAGACAAGGGGGGATACAAAATCAAACGAGATAGGATGGGAACAGGAAATACAAACCCCGTCCATCCGTGTACCAACAACAAAACATAGAGGGAAAAGACACCCGTCATGCATTACAAGGCAGAAAAACACAAAGAATGAAACAGGTGGGGAAATGGTGCTAATACATGTGCAAAACGCTCAGGGCAAATCGACAAATCTCGGGGCACGTAGTCGTAGAACGACAAACGGAGGGACTTCTAGATCACGTTGGAGCTGTCAAGGTGACCTGACCCAGCACTCAACGGCGCACCTTTGACAGGAGCGCCAGCCCGCTCATCCTCGTCAAGCCTCCGTCTCCACTCAGCCAGACTGTCACTCATCATCGCAGGTCCCTCGCTGTCATTCTTGGTGGGAGTGCGCTCCAGATCCAGCTGGCTGCTCAGACGGTAGTTTCGGTTCGTGCTTTCCCAGTGAGAACGCAGACTTTCAAGCTCGTTGGCAAGGGAGTCCAAAGCCATAGAGCCTCGGTTGTCAGGGAAAGTGGAATCCTGCGAGATATTGCTGTCGGCTCGGGGGCGTCCTTGTCCTCCGCTGATCGTGTTACTGGAAGCGTTGCTGTGAGTGCGAGTGATGCCATTGAGACCAGGGCCGTGCTGCGACTGACGACGGTAATGACCGACAGATGTCTGCACTTGTTCCAAGAGCATGTTAACCTTGTGCTCGGCATCCGAAGCACGGGTTTCAAGGTGGCTGTTCTCTTGCTTGAGCTGGTCCAGTTCAGCGCGACTCCGCTCTGCGGCTTCGGACAGCTCCTGCTTGAGGCGCTCATGTTCAACTTGAGAGAGCTGTTTCTCAGATGCAGCTTGATCAAGATCCGCCTTCAGCTGCGTGAGCTGAGCCTCGAGACTGGCGATGGAAGATGAGGTCCGCTGTTGAAGTTCCGAAATGGACTGCTCGAATTGAGCGCGTTCTGCCTCCCGATCAGCCGAAGATCCAGAGGTCTGGCCGTCGGAATTCTCGAGGGCCTTGTGAGCAGCATCAAGATCAGTTTGCATCTTGGCATTCTGAGACTTGTAACGACTCAACTCATCCTTCATGCGCTTAAGCATCTTCTCGGTGCCCTTGACGTAATGAACGGCTGACTGGTAATCATTCTCGAGTTGCTCAAGCTTTTCCCGGAAGGTCTTATCGGCTTCCTGCTCACGAGTCTCGAAGCTGTTCCTCAAGTCATCGTGGGCCTTGATACTCGCCGATAGCTGCTGCTCCAGTTCACGCAATCGGCCCTGTTCAGGGGTTCCGAAGCGAGAACCAGGTGAATCAAGGCGTGGGGACCGTCTGTTATCGCTGCTAACACCACGCTCACCAAGAAGATCCTTAAGAGCGGCGTGCTGAATAGCCAGAGCTCCCGACTCACGCTGGTGAGACTCGAGTTGGCTCTTCAGATCACGGCTCTCAGTCGCCGAAGTCTGGCTTTCCTTCATCGCCGTTTGGAGCTGTCTTCGCAGCTGTAAGCCCTCACGGCTGGCCTGCTCTTGGTATGCCTCCAGTCCGGCGATGCGTTCTTCCGCACGTCTGAGTTTATCGGCTGCCGAGTTGGCGGCTGCCTGATTGGCCTTCGCGAGAGTCGCAGATCGTTCGATCTGAGCCTCCAAGGCAGCGACCCTCTGATCAGCACGGGACCTGATAGAGTTATCAAGATCCGTAGAAGCAGCACGCTCCAGCCCGGCCACGAAAGCCAACTTGTGAGTTTCCGCTTCCTTGGCGTGACTTTCTGCTAGCTCCTCAGTCTCCCGAAGGCGACGGGTCAGGTTCTCGACTTCTGAGGTCCGTTCTTCATAATCCGAACGAAGCTGCAGTAGCTTCTTCTCCAGCCCCTCACGACGTTCCCGTTCCTCGAAGAATTGTCTTTCAACGAGAGTAGACTTTGCGGCTGAGGCAGCCACAGCTTCCCGCAAACCACCAAAGTTGGTACCGTACTCCTTCAGGCGAGAGGAGGAATCTTCAATCTGAGCCAACAGCTCCTCTTTGTCCAATGTTAGTTGCTTAAGCGCAGCTTCGGCTTCAGCGCGGAGCAAAGCATCTTCTCTAGAAGAAGCTTGTGCTTGGTGAAGCTCGGCACGTAGGTTCTCAGCTTCCAAGGTGTTGCTCTGCATCTCAAGCTCTGCCAAGTGTTTCCGGGTTGCCTCGTTGGTCTCTTCGGCGAGTTCCTTTGCCTGACGCTCTTGCAGAAGCTCGGTCATCTGAACTTCCAATTTGGCCTTCAATTCAGACTGTGAGGCCAGAGCGAGAGCAAGGCGACGACCCATATCAGTAGGCCGTTCGGCAGAGTCATCGTCAAGGTTACGAGGGGCATCGGGCTGGGGTGTTCCACGTTGGCTTCCGCCGTGGGCAGCAAGCTTAGCACGCGAGTATGCTGCCTCATTCAGAGCCATATCACGTTGGTGTTCCACCTCTGCGACTCGCTTGGAAGCGATAGCCGCCTGGCGGTCCACGGTTGCCTGCATTTTGTTGAGGTCCGCTCGCATAGCCAAGAAGGCCTCCAGTAAAGGACGATCTTCATCGGTCAGTGCCTCGCTGGTTCTATCCTCCAATGCGGTGTTGCTTGTGGCATTGGGAACATATCCTCCCTTCTTGGCGAGGGCAAGTTCTGAGGCGTACCACGCATTTCGCGCTTTGGTGGCCTCCAACTCCTTGATCAGTGCTTCTTGGTGAGGTGTCAAGCGAGGAGACCGAGGCTCGTCCCCGAGAGTTCTAGAGTTGCGGTAGCTGCGGGAATCAACTGACCCCTCGATGCTGGCCTGCCGACCCAAGATGGACTCTTCGGCGCTGTCCATAGAACCGCGCTGCCGCTGAGAACGGAGAGAGCGTTGACGCCCCGGGGTACTGATAAGTGGGGCAGCCTCGCCCGCTTCCATCGCTTTGGCCGATGGCTTTTGGTGCTGGGTAGGTGTGCGTCGACCAGCAGATGGGGGGCCCTGAGGATCTTGTGGAACTTCCTTGGCAACGGGCGATTCTGCACGATGTTCCCCATTAGCCACCCGAATGTCAACAGTAGGTGTGTTTCCGCGCTCGCTTGTCGTTGGAGTCTTGCTGCGTGGATTGCCGCCTGGTTGGGGACCAGGCTGAGGGCCATTGGCTCGAGGCCCCGGAGAAGGTGCTTGCCCGGGGGGTGGTGGGCCAGCAGGGGCTTGAGCGATGGAGGCTCGGGGAAGTCGGGATCCTGGTCCCAGGTTAGGGTTGGAACCGTATTCACCCGGCCTGCCGCCATTCGCAACCTGGGATAGACTCTCACGCGATGGGCCTCGTCGCATTTGCTGGTCGTGGCCTATATTTTGCGCCTCGCGAGATGTGCGCCCAGACGAGGGTCCTTGTTTGTCCACACTTGTCTTCCGGCTTCCGTCAGGCACGCGTGTCCCGGACTGTGAATCATTCGGGTAGCGAATTTTACTCGTGTCGAGAATATAGGACATGCTGAGTTCTGTGGGATCTCGTGGAGCCGAGCTTGGCTCGCCTGCCATGACAATGATCTGTTTTCCAAACGCGGTCATGCTGTGACCGGACCGGGGAGAAGGCGCTGGTCCCATGTTCTGGAATGAGTACCATCGTCGGGTTGAGATCCTAAAGGCTGAAAGGTCACCGAGATCGACGCCTTCGTCGGTTCGACCTCCAAACACATACATCACGTCATTGACCAGGGCAGCTGCATGGCCCTCTCTAGGCGTCGGGATAAATCCAACACAGTCAACCTCGGTCCAGCTATTGGAGATGTGGTCGTAACACCAGACATCATTGAACCACTGTACTCCATTTGTACCACCGAACAAGAACAGCTTATCATTGTAGCTCACAATAGTGTGGTTTGTTCTCGGTGGGGGACTTTGGCCTAACGGAGGCCCTCCCTCATGGGTGTTTGCGATCAGTACTTCCCACTTATTGGCGGGGTTCTGGAGTTGGTTTAGATCGAATGCGATCAGATCGTTAAAGAAGAAGCCTTCCACCTGTCCTCCGAAGACGTATAGCTTAGAGCCGAGGATATTTAAAGTGTGACCGTATCGACCGGAGGGTCGAGAACCCGGAGGAATTGCGCGAGACCATTGGCGGGAGGCTAGGAGAATGTCAAGTCAGAATGCAGGTTCCCAGAACCATTAGAAGATGCACATACATGTATTGAGCAGATATAAGGTGTCGTCGAGGGAATCGTTTTCGTCGATTTTGGTGTCACCGCCGAACACGATGAAGGCATTCCCAACGAGCAGACTGGCATGGCCAACTCGTGGACCCGGTCCCTCGGAGACAGTGGCAACCTGAAGACAGTTCAAACCACCGCCACTGCTCTCGATCATCCACAGATCACCCTTCACAGTAGAGCCATCAATCAGGCCACCCATCATATAAATATCGCCCTCTTTTGAGGCCACTGAGTTGATTGCCGCTCCATAGCGAGGGAATGGGTTTGTTTCAGGCGATGAGAAGTTCAGTCGGCGCTGAGACCACGGGTATAGGGACGAATTAGGGCTCGGGGGTGGAATTCCATTGGGTGGTCCTTGAGGTCGTTGCATCTACGAACATTAGCCAATTGCGCTTGTGGGAGAGGTCCTCGCTCGGACCAAACAAACACCCACCTGGGACTCAGACTCTGCTCGCGGCCGGGGTCGCACCATCTCCGGGCTTGTGGGACTGGCTGTATTCAAGGAGTGGCTGAAGCTTCCGCTCGGCGTTGGCGTCTGCGATGTGGGCTCCTTCACCGGATTTGAGCTGGATGGTGATCCTGACGCGGGAGCTGGTGCCGGAGCACCCTCCGAAGTGTGAACATTTCTCGCCGCTGAGGGAAGTGCATTGCCTTGGGCCTTCTTCGACTTGAATAAAAAGGCCATCGTGAAAGGGTCGTAATCGGTCGTATCAGGGGATCTGGCGCAAAGTCAAACTGCGCCAGAAAGCAGTGTATCTGCACCAGAACAGAAATTCAATGGCGTCTGGGGAGGGTAGAAGACACGAGTTTAGGGGGGGTCGTCTTTTTCAGATGTGGAGTGGGAACCAGGAACCACAAGGAACCATAAAACGGGTGTATGCAAGCCGCTCGTAGGGTTTTTTTTTTCACTGTGAAAGGGGAGAATCAAAACAAGACAGAAAAAAATAATCAGTGGAAAAAAATTAAAAACAGCCCACGCCTCCGGTATTTTGCCTGGGCAGGTAGAAAAGCAAAGCCCAGGTCTAGAAAGGGGGATGTCAAAAGGAAAAAGCGAAGATGTGTTTCAATTTCCCTGGCGGAGATGCTCTAAGTCGATTCCGTCTTAGTTGCAGCTCAGGGGCACGTCCGACCTCATTTGCTTATTTCGTTGACGTTTGATATTCTATGCTTTTAATGACATTCAGAGCCTTTGGCTGGTTTTTTTCTCATTCCGTTTCCCAGCCCGACAACCCCAGCCTTTTTCCACATTCTTCAGGTCCAGCATGTTCATGTTGAGCATATCCAGCATGACCCGCATAATATTGAGTGTTAAGAAAAAAAGCAGGCGGGGGAATAAATAAAGGTTTAGACAATACAGTGTGCATACAGACTATTCAGGAAAGGGTTAGCTGCAATATTTTTTGTCCACACACTCGACTCAGAGTACCGAGTATACTCGGACTGCGACGAGTACTCCCAATGACTGGGGACTCGTGGAACTGTCTGCAGGTCCAATGCTCATTCGTCACACGGCATTCCACTCTGTGACTCCACTACTCGCACTGTATACTTGGTAGCGGTCTAGATGGGGTATGGATATACTACTAACTATTTAGGTACTTGTGCGAGTTGGGCATCCAGGAACATGGGCATTTTGTTTCGTACAGAGTACTCCGTAAGGCATGTTTCTACGAGAAGTTCGAATTCGACGCATATGCATGAAATTCAAAAGTGGTAGGGCTTGAGAAAAGGGGAAAAGAACCCGGGCGATCTCTCTTTCCCGTCTCTCAAGGGATGGAAGGGCAATGCACATCGCATCGGACTGCAATGTATCGTCATTGGGCAGATGCCATGTGTTAGGGGTCTTTTGATTGCATTGTCTCGATGGAAAATCAGACATGTCCAATGTCTGGGTTCTCTACGCCGAGTCTAGAGTATAGTGAGACTTTCCTGTTTCTCCCCAGGGCTGTCTTAGACATGAATTTGTGATGATTTCCGAGCTGATCGCTCTTTCCACGACTTCACAGAGAATACTCTGTACAAAGTACAGAACTTTCCAAGTCTGGCAGAAGCAGTTGCGGACGTGCGGATTTCCTGTGGTGGATTTCTTGCTGACCGTGCTAGCTTCTATGATGTAACCGATGCATTCGGAGAGCCCGTGACAACAGCACAGAATAGATTTATGCTCAGGCAAGAATCGATCGGATCGGATATCAGATGAAGAGCCAATGACAATAGGAATTTGATGAATAACCGTAGACCAGACGTATTTGTAGTTCGCAGTCGATGCCAAAGGAACTGTGGAGTCGGAACATCAACCGCACCGGAATAACCATATTCCGACTTCGGAGTATCGGGCTCGCCTGAACCACCTCCAACTAGACCAGAGGATTAGCTCTTTAGGCCCGAATCATTAGGCTGTGCGCTGAGCTCTCTGTGCGCTCCTGGACTCCAGGACAGTCGCGATTTGAGACTTCAAGCTCTCAAGCTCAGTGATCTTACCGCCTGCCAATTTCCCCATCTTTTATCGTCTCATTTCAGGCCCAGCTGCACCCGACGCATCTGGACCTGCCCAGTGACTTCAAACGGCAAAGTCCCGAAGTCGAGCGATTGAGTGGACTTTCACTTCTCGTGGATACTCGTCGCGGGGTTCCTCTTACCTTCCACCCTCGCGTAACACAATGAACCCGCATACAACATGAGAGATCCCACCACCGATATGGAACCAAGCTCGCAACAAACGACCAACGGGTCGACAGGCTCTCGTCGGACTCCCCACAAGTCGGTCCGTGTTGCTTTTGGTCCTGATTTAGAAACCACGATCCCCGCCCGCGAAAGATCCCCAGCCCCGTTGGCTGGTCACCACCGTTCCTTCACCACCGTGGAACACAGACAGCCTACACTCACACCGCCAGCAAGACCGACAAGCTCATCGGGTGATAATAGTGCTGTCGGAGAGGCTCCTCCTCGTCGCCCATCACCTCGGAGGTCAGAAAGTAGCCGACCGGCTATGCTCAAACGGGCAAAGAGCGACTATGGACCCAGCCGGATTACTTTCGATAAGGTAGCAGGCGATGATGATGAAGACTTTGCCATGCGACATGGATGGCAAGAAGAATACACCTCAAGCGAATATCTCAAGATCCTTCATTCGGTGAGCGCAATTCATCTAACCATGAACTGACTACAGGCTAATATGAATACCCGCTCGACCTAGAACTTCTACATGTACTTCACCGAGAAGCGTCATGAGACGAACGGTGTTCCCAGGGACCCTGTGGGGAGCTGGCCGAGCCAAGACTGGCGCATGAAAGATCGTCTAAAGACTGTCTCCGCGGCACTCGCCATTTGTCTCAATATTGGTGTCGACCCCCCTGACGTGGTTAAAACAAACCCAACGTCCAAGCTCGAGTGCTGGGTAGACCCCACATCCACTACTGGCGGCGGCCAAAACAAGATCATGGAGCAAATCGGTAAGAAGCTCCAAGAGCAGTATGAGACTTTGAGTCTCCGCACCAGATATAAGCAATACCTCGATCCCTCGGTGGATGAGACTAAAAAGTTCTGCATCTCCCTTCGCCGAAATGCGAAGGATGAGCGAGTCCTGCTACATTACAACGGACATGGAGTGCCACTGCCGACTCAGTCCGGTGAAATCTGGGTTTTCAACAAGAATTACACTCAGTACATACCGGTCCCATTGTATGATCTCCAATCATGGTTAGCTGGGCCCAGTCTTTTCGTCTTTGATGTGTCGCATGCCGGTAATATCGTCCAAAACTTCCACACCTTTGTCGACAAACACGAAAAGGAAAACATCGAGGCCAAAAAACGAGACCCAAATGCCGTTGTCCAAAACTATGGTGATTGTATCATACTTGCCGCTTGCCAAAAAGCAGAGTCTTTGCCGACCAACCCCGATCTCCCTGCAGACTTGTTCACTTGTTGTCTGACAACCCCAATCGAGATAGCGTTGCGGTTCTTTATCTTGCAGAACCCTCTCCGGACTGACATCTCTATTGACGACTTCCGGGTTCCCGGTCGACTCCAAGATCGCCGAAGCCCTCTTGGAGAACTGAATTGGATCTTCACCGCCATCACCGATACCATCGCCTGGAATACGTTACCGCGGGCCTTGTTCAAGAAACTCTTCCGGCAGGATCTGATGGTCGCGGCTCTGTTCCGCAACTTCCTACTCAGTGAACGCATCATGCGCACTTACAAATGCCATCCTATCTCGTCACCAGAATTACCAGAAACACACCACCACCCACTGTGGAAGAGCTGGGACCTTGCCGTTGAGATGGTTTTATCTCAGCTTTCTGCTCTCATTGACCAGGAAGAAGGGCGCCGGCAATATGAGTATCAGCATTCAACATTTTTCGCTGAGCAACTCACTGCGTTCGAAGTCTACCTTTCGTCTGGCCCTACAGAGAAAAATCCTCCAGACCAGTTACCGATCGTATTGCAGGTGCTTCTGAGTCAAGCACATCGACTGCGAGCTTTGATTTTGCTGAGCAAGTTCCTGGACCTTGGCCCGTGGGCTGTTCACCTTGCTTTGAGTATCGGAATTTTCCCTTATGTGGTCAAGCTATTGCAATCAGCAGCCCAAGAGCTCAAACCCGTCATGGTATTCATCTGGGCGAGGATTATGGCGGTTGACTACACAGTACAGAACGATCTGCTCAAAGACAACGGCATTCACTACTTCATCTCAATTCTGAACCCCACCTCTCCCATTCCCGTTGGAAACGCCAGTGAGCATCGTGCCATGTGTGCCTTCATCGTCTCGATATTCTGCAAGAACTACCCGCAAGGTCAAAACGTCTGCCTCTCGGGAGAGCTATTCGACTCGTGCCTCAGACATCTCAGCGATGTTGAAAACCCGTTACTCCGCCAGTGGTCCTGCCTGTGTCTCAGTATGCTCTGGTGTGATTTCCCCGAAGCGAAATGGATGGGCATCCGGTGTGCGGCTCCTGCCAGACTCTGTGAATTGAACTTTGACCCGGTTCCCGAAGTTCGTGCCGCCATGCTGCATGCTGTCACCACCTTCTTGGGCATTCCCGATCTGACAGACCAGGTGGCTCAGATTGAGGAAACCCTAGCCCTCGCAGTCTTGCCCATGTCTTCAGACGGTAGCGTTGTTGTGAGAAAGGAACTGCTCGTCTTCTTCTCGACATTTGTCCGACGCCATCAAAACAAGTTCCTGGTCGCGGCTTTCGAGGAACTGCAAGAGGAAAAACAATCTCTGCGTCAGCGTTTCGGAAACGAAAGCTCTCAAGCTGTTTCCACCTCAAAGCAACCCCAACTTTCAGCTAACACCACTTTCGGAACTATCTGGAAGCAGTTGCTGGCGCTTTCAGTCGATCCTCACCCCGACATCGCCCAGGATGCAGCTGTTATCGTTGACTACATCCACTTGGCTCTGTTGGAGTCCCCGATGGCGTCTATCGCCAACAAGCTTCAAACTGAGATTTTGAACATCACAGGCTTGTACAAAGTGCAGCCTCATGAGCGCTCCGAAACAAAGAAAATCGCGCCCCCATCTACACCCCCCACCTCATCGGCAGCAAACTCTAGACAGGAGGGCTATCTCTCACTTGGTTTCAAGCGAACCGCCAGCGTTGCAGCCTCTCTGAAAAACCTTGCCTTCGGCAACTCGGCTAATGGAGAGGCCCCGTCCGGTGGCTCTAACCCCCCTTCACCTTCAACAAGTCGAATGCCGATCACACCCCGGGGCAGAGCCCCTATTGAGTGGACTCGACCCCCCGAGGTCAATGACTCTGTTGCCCCTGCAACAGCATATCACCAGGCCCCAACACCCACATCCCGTGGTTTCGAGCCTAAAGGGGTCGACGCCCTGCCCGTCATCCCATTGAAGAGCAGATTCCTAGACTGGTCTACGGAAGTAAGTCGTGCTTCGTCCAGATACCCATTCGATCTGTGTCGCATTTACTAACCATTATTCAGTATTTCCGAGAGCCCCAGATGAAACCCAACGAACCAGATGAGCCAGGTAGCTCAGACTATAACCAGCGCCTCTGGAGACGTGGTCGCAATGAAAGAATCATTGCCGAGACCCAACCCCTCAAGGCCAAAGCCGGCGCGAGCCGATGGGATAACTCCGTCGCTCTGCTGTCAAACGGCAGCCAACCTCACAAGATGTGTTTCCATCAATTCGAGGACCATCTTGCGGTTGCAGATGACCGAGACACTATCGCGTAAGTTATGCCTCCGTCGCTTACACTCTACATCATCTAACCACTAACAACCTGCAGCATCTGGGATTGGCAGAGCCATAAGCGCCTGAATCAATTTTCGAATGGCAACCCTGCCGGTTCAAAGATCAACGAGATCCGGTACATCAACGAAGACGACCAGGCGCTTCTCATGACTGGCTCTTCCGACGGTGTAATCAAGCTTTTCCGCCACTATGAAACCAACCAAGACATCGAGGTTGTAACAGCTTTCAGAGCCCTCCCTGAGCTGATCCCCAGCAATCGAAATGCAGGCCTCGTGCTTGATTGGCAACAGGGCCAGGGCAAAGCACTTGTCGCCGGTGATGTGAAGGTCATTCGTGTCTGGAACGCCGCCACGGAAGTGTGCACAAACGTAAGAACCCTTCTCGCTAGTTTCATCTCCCTCTTTATTAACATCTGTCACCAGGATATCCCTGCGCGCTCCGGCTCCTGCATTACATCTCTAACTTCCGACCAGGTGGCCGGCAACATCTTCGTTGCAGGCTTTGGCGATGGTGCCGTCCGGGTCTTTGACCAGCGTTTGAAGCCAACCACCTCTATGGTCAAGGTCTGGCGGGAACATAAGCAATGGATCACCAACGTCCATATGCAACGTGGTGGACTCCGAGAATTGATCTCAGGTGGTCGCAATGGTGAAGTCCGTCTGTGGGATCTCCGCATGGACAATCCCATCTCCACCATATACGCTACCAAGGACACACTTCGGACCTTGAGTGTTCACGAGCACGCCCCTGTCTTCAGCATGTAAGTTAACCCTCCCCATTCAACTCTCAGATTTAGTTCAAAACTAATCTCAAAACACAGGGGAACGAACCGCCACGAAGTCAAGACCTTCAATGTGGACGGTACCTACCTATCCACATTCGAGCCTTACTCGAGTTTCCTTGGCCACAACCGGTCATCACCAATCTCTTGCACGGCTTTCCATCCTCATCGGACCATGCTTGCCTGTTCCGCGCTGAATGATCATCATGTCAACCTTGTGTCCTGCTAATTCTAATTCAGCTATGAAATTCATGATACGTGTGGTGGTTTTTGTGTATTGCCCTTTTTCTTGTCTTAATATTCTTCTTTTTGTAATATGCTCTTGCATACCCAACAACCACATCTTCACGGCGTCTTAGCGACTGTCTCGATTGACCAGATATCCTTGGCTCTGTGATGTTGGTTTTTGTCCCTTCGATTCGGCAGATTACCTCTTGACATTCGTGATGACTTGTTCATCGTGAGTCAAGCAGCACTCTTTCGGGGCTACTTAGTGACTTGGTCCTTTCTTGGGATTTTGTTCCTGTCTTTAACCTTAATATATCCTTGCTGACCGACGTTGGTATGGATTTATCTATCATCATCCCCGAGGCTCGCTCGTAAGTATCAGGTAGCTGAGTAGACTTCCATGAACGGCGTAACGAGTTGCTCAAGTGCGACTTAAGTGCAACCTTGGAACAGAGCTTTACTGCTTCTGCTAGGTAGAAAGTCCATCCATATCCAGGGATCTTATAGCTCAACAGCCCTTGTATCCAAGGATGACCATAGGAACAGGGGACCTACTTAAGTATCGAGGGTACTGAAAATCTACACGGTCATAATAAGAAATTTGAAAAATATGAACAGAAATCAAATTGATATTTGGGTCATTCTCATGAAAAAAAGACTAATTAAGAAGCCTAGGAATACAGCTCAAGAAAAATCTCGTGAAAACATAACTCATCAACAGCTTAGTACCCGCTGCGCTGGTTGTGAACAGGGTTGCTCTTCTCATCAACACGAGGGTCAAGCTTGTTCAAGAGATCAGATCCATGGGGACCAGTGGTCTTGCCAGTCTTGGATGTGTTCTCATTGTAGCTGCTGTTACCAGTGGAGTGGCCACCGTAGCCCTGGCCACCTGTGCGGCTGTCAAGGCCACTGGTGTTGTGGCCATGAGTGGAGCTACCGTAGTTATCACTGCCAGAGATGGGGTTGCTGGAGCCGTAGCCGGTTTGTCCACTGGTGTGGCCAGTGCTGCCGTAGTTGTCACTGCCGGAGAGGGGGTTGGAGCCGTAACCGCCCTGTCCGCCGGTGGTGTGGGTGGAGCCGCCATAGGCACCGCTGCCAGAGATGGGGTTGGAGCTGTGGCCGTGAGAGTGGCTGCCAGTGCTTCCGTAGTTGTCACTGCCGGAGATAGGGTTGCTGGAGCCGTATCCAGAGTGACCGGTGGAGGTGTTGCCCAGACCACCGCTAGAGAATTGGGAGCCGGAAGTTCCGTGGTTTCCACGGTTGTCTTGATTAAATATTAGCCAAGGGAGTCTTTTTGAATATACTGAAGAGAATTCGACTTACCACGATCGCTGTCTACACGGGGGTCAACCTTGTTGGCCAACTTGGAATCATGGGGACCAGCATTGATGCCCCCGGAGCCATAGTTGCCGGTGTGGGATGAGCCGTAGGTATCGGAGCCGGAGCCGATGGGGCCGGAGCTGTGGCCAAGGCCAGAGCCGGTGGATGAACCGTAGTTGTTACCAGTGCCAGTAGTGCCAGTAGAACCGTAGGCGCCGGTTGTGCCATGAGTACCGTGGGAGCCGTGAGACCCGTGAGTACCATGAGTACCGGTCTCGTAGCCAGATCCAGAGTTCAAACCGGTGCCAGCACCAGCGCCATATCCACCGGCTGTAGTGGAGGAGCCATGAGTGCCAGTCTCGTAGCCAGGGCCAGAGCTGAGGCCGCTGTTACCTCCGTAACCAGCTCCTGTGGAGGAACCGTGGGTGTTGGAGCCAGTAGAGTATTCGTTGCCACCGGTGGAGCCGTAGGTGTCCTTGGTACCTGAACTACATTAGTATATCGAAGCAAACAGGAGATAAAGGAGACCACATACCGTGTGTCTTGGAGTCATGGGAGTCCTTGTGGCCAGTAACGGCATCCTTAACCTTGTGGATGATGTTCGACATGATGAGATCTGGGTATGATGAGATTATGGATTGAAAGGTTGATGGATTGAAGGTTGATAAAAAGGGTCAAAATTGTTGTAGTATTAAGTTGAAATTGATATTGAAGAGAATGAGGTTCTACCATGGGGTTTATATGTTATTTCAGCTTTGCTTGTCTTGATCGGATCACGATAGATCGCGACCTCTGCACAGTGACGACATAGCGCGGGGGTCAATACGAATAAAATATCCTCAAACATGGATGATAGGTGTACGATGGTGCCCTCGCCAGCAGTCATGACGTTCTAAACGGGTTTTTCCCTGAGAAGATAAACCTCTTGGCATGAAATGAGGAGCTATGACTGTGTTTCATCGTCATGTCCCGGATCGGCAGTGAAGTTCAGAACGCCACTGAGCCACACATCGCAAAGCACGCCACGCCTGGTTGTCGATGGCGTACAGGAAACACATCATGATTGCTGTTCAAATTACTTAGACGGGCATCTTTGTCATCATTGTCAGCTTAGGCTGTTGTACAAGTACAGTCGCTTCAGATTTCCCAAACCTCCAAGCAAGATTCCCAAGACATCTAGACTGGTACTCTGTAGATCGAAATATACGATCTACGTCATCCCCCACCACGAGTACGTACACATGGGAAGTGGGGCCCAGCCCTATCTATAAATATCTGCTCTTCATATGGGGTACATGAGCTATACTTCTAAAGTTGTACTTAGTAAGTATTTCTCGGCCATTCCATCATCTCTGTCGCTTTTATGCGCTCAGAGTAGGTCCCTTGAGAAGACATGCCAGTTTGGACTGGTGCTCGGGATTATCACGTGAAACAGGGGCCAAGCCAAGATGACGGCTTTTAGTGGGTCTCGGAATAGGCTGTATATTAAATGGTTTTAGACACCTTAGGTTGATATAGTTCTCATCTACAATGAACATAATATTCATGGATAGTGTGAGAATATTGATATCTTTACCTAAGTGTGATTGAAAGGTTAGAAGTTCCACCTGACTTATAAAGTCTACCTCCAGGGCTGGAAGGTATTTTTAAGTACTTAAGTAGAAAGCTTCTAAGATTGGTCAATGAATTAAACAAGAATTTTAGAATCGGTTGAATCAAATAGATCAAGATTTCCCCCACACTTGCAGCGCTATTTCAAAGTAATAGTATGTGTGACTCCAACTTAAGAATTATTATCCATAATTGCCACGAGCAAGTCAAAGCAAAACTGTGGAACCGGATCCAGCAAACCATTCTTCAAAATTTCTCCAAGACCTGAACATCCCATTCTATTGAGCTTTGCCAAACGGGCCATAGTCACTCTCACTGCAATATCCCGTAGACCTCGAACGCCCGCGGGAGTGGAGCTATATATTTCCACAATAGCGCGTGGGAGCAGACATTGATCAACCTTTTCAATCAGCTGTTGATTCAGCTCTTGTTCAGCTTTTCGACTTGACTGATCTTTTAAGCCTTCGATGAACATTCGGTCCGCGAGTGAATACATCAAAATGTGGAATGACAAAGGGTCAACGGCAGCCTGTGGATACTCTTTGGCGTCACCAAGCTGACTTGCACTATCTTTGGCCTCTTCTCCTTGTAATTGTTGACAAAGAGCATGTTCATCTGCGACGATGTCGTCAGCCTCCGAGGCATCGGGCAAAGGAGTATTGCTGGAGGTATGGCCGTTTGGCGTCAAAGACAAAGTGACCATTCGATAGTCAGAGGTATAAAGATATTCAATCATCCCTCGGACCAAGGCCGGGTCTTCATGTAGTACAACTTGACCTGTGGAAGCTTCCTGCTACGCATGAGCCCTCTGGAGCTGTAAAAGCCTAGGTTCATACCCGCGAGCTTGTTATCTTACCTGAAATTCGCCATCGCAGGCCTTAGCAAAAAATGCGGATTGGGTACAGACTATGCACTTGTGCACAGAAAAGACTTGATCTGAGCATAAAATGGTCAAATCCTTGTATTTTGGGTCATGATAGATTCTGCGGCCAAGTCAGTACACTTGCTCAGGTGCTCAAGTGGGTGTTAAATAAATCCAGGTACCTTGATAAAGCATCGATGAGATCTTTTCTGGGGGCGGGTACAGCATCGGTGGGATTTTCTGTAGCACCGTTTTTTCTTTTATTCCTCCTGTTGGACATAGCGCGAAAGATGTTGGCTTCACCAAATTGTTAAAGTCCTGGAACCCTTTTTTGAGGGAGAGAGGTAGACGAAGGTAGAGAGGGAGAGAAATATATGGAAGGGCATAAGAACAGGGAGATATATAAGCCATAGAGGATAAAAAGCTGCAATTGTGACATCGTGGAAAGTTTGAACAACTCAAACTTTCTAAAGTTAGAGCGCTATATTAAGTGGTTTTAGACACCTGAGGTTGCCATATAATTTATGAACACAATTTATAGATTGAATTTGAGTCCATTGATATCTTTGTGAATGAAGAGGCCTTTAGTGGAATTCTATCGTATTGCAAAAACACTTAAACGTCTTATCCATCAACGCCACGAGCAAGTCAAAGCAAAATTGTGGAACAGATTGCAGCAAGCTATTCTTGAAAATCTTTGTGATGCCTTCATCTCGGCTCCTCAACATCTTCAGGTGGTCCATAGTCACTTTCACCGCAATTTTCCGTAGACCTTGAACATGTTCAGGGGTGGAAGTATACATCTCCTTGATAGCGCGCGGAAATGAGCTCGCGTCTAGCCGTTCAAGAAACTCCTTTTCAGTCTTTTGACTTGACAAAGCCTTTAAGCCTGAGATAAACATTCGATCCGCAAGAGAGTACATCGAAATATGGAAGGATAAGTCATCAAACACGGCCAGTGGATTCTCACTAGAGTCAGTGCCGTCAGGCACCGAAGAACGACCATCCATGATGTAGTTAGAGGTGTACAAATATTCAACCATCTTTTGAACCAAGGATGGCTCTTCTTCAGGTAGCTTGATCTCATTCATAGATGCTTCCTGTTATGTATCAGTGAAACCACCTAATATTACCACCGCGGCCTTGCTATTCCGAGGTCTTGCATGAAACCCGCCATCGCAGGCCTTGGCAAAAAACTCCGATTGAGTGCACACTATACACTTGTGCACAGAAAATACTTCACCTGAACACACAATCTTTAAATCGCTGTATTTTGGGTCAAGCAACATCCTACGGCCAAGTCAGTACCCTCCAACCTAGTTTCAAAGACATCCACTGAGAAAGTACCTTGGTAGGGCATCAAGGAGATCTTTCCCGCGATTTTGACTTCTTTTCTTTTTGGCCGGGATGTGAGAGGAGTGGTTATTAGCAGAATTGAGCGCAAGCGTTGCCCACGTCATGGGTTCTCGAGGGAGAGAGGTAGGTGGAGGTAGAGAGAGACGCAGAGAGAGAGAGAGAGAGAGAGAGAGAGGCATAAGAACAGCTAGAGGGAGATATATAAGCCATAGAGGATAAAGAGGTGTAATTATGACATCGTGGGGAGTTTGAGCTCAACTCAAACAAATGTTTGCCAGCCAGCTCTAGGTGGTCGTGATTATTGTTTGCTACCTGTGCATTTCCCATAACTGACAATGCATGTGTGAGCTGTACAAGCTCGTGAATAACTCTAAAAACATGGTTCTCTATGTCATGACAAAGAACTTCAAACGAGTGGAGCTCCGGATCTCTCCCAAAGTATGCAGGGACGTAAATGATTCATCTTCGATGAGCGAAGAATCCATCAGCAATCGCCATATCTCCTCTGGTTCGCTGGCAAAATAACCCAATCTTGAAGGCTGCAGGGGCGAAGCTTGTTGGTCGCGTTTTCAGGAGCCATGCGTACTGTATCTTATCCAGCTGAATTCTGATGTGAGGGTAAGGGTACTTGTGGAGACCATCAAGGAACATAGAGAGGTTGATTTTGGAAATTGATTGCTAATGAGCCGAAATTTTTTGCTCAACGTCTGTTACACGGCGCCGTAGCCTTTCGATTCCAGACATTTCGACTCATGAACGCGTCGACGCGGTGACAGGTGTGGGAACTTTCAGAGTGTACAAGCAGTTGACACGTGATTACGGGTAATCGCGGGTCATTGCGGGTCATTGCGGGACCCGGCCATTCTTATTTGGGGCGAGACCAATGGGCTCAATCATAGAGGATCCTTGTAGTTGATGGAAGTAATTCTGACAATCTTACTTCTCTTCATCATTTACAGGGAAAATAGGAGCCTTGAAAGCTCATTGGGGTATGTTGATCATCATAAACGGGTTTCCAGCTAACGACCCAGAGCTTGAAGAAGAACAAGTGAGCTCCAGATCGATCAAAAACTGCATACCAACACTTCTCAAGCCTGATTCTCTCTGATATGGTACCTCTTCAGCTTGGAGTATATTAAGTTATATTGGGAGTAGCCTTGGTTTCTTTTGCGGCCTTTTCTATCAGGCAGCAAATTTAGCTGGAGTTTGTTGTGTAGCCAATAAGCAGGGTCATGTGACGCAGCTCTATATTTACTGCAACTTCCACGGTGCATTCCTAAACTCACTGATTTTATGGTGCCGTCAAAATGCCATTTTACCTCTGGAACTGTTTCTCCGCCGTGCGGACGGCCTGGAAATCCTTTATTGAAGGCACATTCGGTATCTGAACTGGTATATTTCCGTTGTTCATTAAAACCTATCCATCCAAACCTCAGAAATCGAGTGATCTTGAGTCCAATAATACGGTCGGCGTCGCCTCGAGAAAACTTCGGACCACGTCATCTATACCATACGGCCACTATTTCAGTCTGATTTGAAAATAGTGGGCATAGGAGCCTCCGGTCAAGTCTACGAGGTTGATGAGGAGATAGTCCTCAAGAGTTGTCGCATTTTCGAACAACCCGGGAGCGACGCCTCTGACAGCGACCGGTACCACTATGCCTCAGATACCATTTTTCACTCTAGCTTGTTGCAAGATGAACGGTTTATTTTCCGAATACTTCAACAGTGGCCACATCCTCATATCATTGAGGCTATCGACACCGATCAAGCCGAGGGGATATTTCTCCGCAGATATCAGCCGTTGCCGGAGGGTGAGATACCCGCACAGCCCACTCGAATTCGATGGTATCGCGATATTGCCGACGCTCTTTGCCACCTTCATAAGCTTGGAATAGCTCATGGAGATGTACGGATTGACAATGTACTCTTCGATAATCGAGGCTCTGCTATTCTTTGTGATTTCAGTGCCGCTAGTCCCTTTGGTCAATCAAATCTGGTCATCTCGGATCTTCCGCTTCCAGTCAATGGCCCTTCGCCAAATCTGTCGGAGGCAACTGATATGTTTGCAATTGGCTCGCTCCTTTTCCAAGTTGAGCACGGAATCAAACCTGAGTCTTTCTGTTGACAGGGATGGTGTATTGATTTTGCCTAGCATACAGACAAATCATCTAGGCATTGATGCAATTATCCGAAACGCTTGGCTTGGACAATATCGCAGCACCTCGGAGATGCTAGAGAACCTTCATGCACTTGACGCTCAGATTGACCAAGTTGTTCATGATACCCAAATACACTCAGAGCCAATTTCTTCACTGAGAGAGCGGGTCAGAGCATGGAGAAAAAGACGCGAGAACAATGTTGGTAAGAATCGCCCATTATATGATGCCTGTCTCTGTTTTTCGACAACCAACATGATCTATAGGCCGTGTACTTGATGGTATACTCTCAGAAGATCAGTTGCAAGTACTAGCAGATTGCTATGGCTTGGATAGAGATGCCGAATTGCGTTTCACTAGCTATGATGTACCCACGCATGGAAACTAATTGTAGGCTTGCTCTCTGCATAGGGAATGACTATTTGACATAATTCTTAGAGTACTTTTGTAGCTAAGTGAATACTTAAGTAAATATACAATCCCTTTTGGACTTATAGTTAACTAGTTAGTTGAAAGGTTTCATGAGTGCCTGATCTCTTAAGCCTCTGTTTCTTTGCTCCATTTGATATCTGGATCCGTATATCCTTCTTGTTGCCTTCGTGTCTCTCTTCTTTTACCTTCACAACACTGATTAGCTTCACGACATCTGACACAGAGAAAAGACCTATAAGTACTGTTTTTTTAGGTCACTGGATAATCATGAATAGAGTGAGGTATAAGGACTGTATTTTGCACAGAGCTATGTAAAGACAGGAATTCAGGCAGTTTCCAGGCAATTCTCGTACAATGGAAAACTCATTGAAAAGATAATGGTAAAGAGCCCATGGGGTCGGCAGTGCAACAGTACGATCTCGACGAGTTGGAGACTGATGTTATCAGTGTGATGTCGAAAACAGAATCCAAATGCTGGTTAAACATGCAGTTGAAGGAAGAAGGCCTATAGCGAAAAAGATTAGATGCAGCTTAGCAAATACATGGTTTTGTTGCATATGCCTTTGGTTATTTACGAATTATTCTGTTTCTGTGAGAGGACCCTAGACCTTACTTGACTCCTCACTCTTGGTATGCTAATATCAACGTGAATGCGGTTTTTCATGTTTGCCTGTTTCGTGTATTTCATAACCAGGACCCGAGGGTTGAATTTTCAAAACACGGATTTTCTTCTGTATCCGTTTTGAGATGCTTTGAATTCTGCAGATTATCCTCATTCTCAGGTGAAGGAAATTCACACCGAGCCCATTGCCATTGTGTACTCTGCGAAGACCTCAAATTCTCGCAAGCGTGGGCTCAGAAAATTGTCGACCCAGTCTCGTCGCCACTCGTCCTCGTACCAGCAAGTGTAGAGTGCCTTACAGTACTCCCAGTAGTCTGGATACCATCCCGCTTGTCCCCAGTCCACGATAGCAAGGATTCGAGCTGGTTTGCTGGAAGAGATCATGATGTTCCCTCGGTGGAGGTCGCCATGAGTAACTTTAATGTCTCCACCGTCCGGTAAAAAATGCCTGTAGGGGTCGTTGTATTTCTTCGAAGGAGAAAGCCGTGATTGTGGTAAGCAGGAGAACCAATCGTTGAAATCCTTGATAGTTAAGAAAGGTCCGGTCTTCGGGTATGATTGGAAAACATAATCCAGGAGTTTCTGGTGATTTAAGGAACCTGAAAATTTCCGATTAGATGCAAATAAGACCCTTCTCATTGTGACTGGGGCGTACCAATATAATGATCGGAAGGATCTTGCTCAAGTCGGCGCAGGCGCTTGAGTATTTGACATAACTCATCGCAGAGTGAGCTTTTGTCCAGGCTATTGAGCCCACTCCAGCCATCCTGCAACGTCTGGCCTTGAATAATTTCCATATAGAGGAACACATAGTTCTCCTCGTCGACTCGCCACCCAAAAATTTCTGGAACTGGAATTTCGTCACCCAAGGCCCGTTTGATCATCCAAAGACACTGCACTTCTGCTATCGTGACATAAGGGCCAAACTTAACGAAGACGTTGGGCTCTTCAAAGATTATAGGCCGCGGCTGAGGGTTCGCGTAAATATCTTTCGATAAAGCTCTCACTTGTGCCGGGGTAGGAAGACTGTTGCCAGGCTCTTTGAAGAAGGAAGAGTCGAAAAAGTTCATCTCTCGGATCGACTCATCAGGAAGATTTTCTACAATTGCAGAGAATTTTGTCATTTTGGCCGAGGGAACTCCTCAAGGTTTGCTGAATGATATGTGAGCGCCTTGGACGTGACTACTTGTTGGGTGAGGAAACAGCTAATAGGAACCTCCCAGATCGGTTTGCCCAGGTGCCCAGGTGGTATAGTTGGCTTATATCAGCTGGTACGGCAGTACATAGTCGCCATGAGGACAAAACACATTTTTCCGTAATCGGAATTCAGCGAATTTACCAAATTTACCAAAATGGCCTTGTCGTTAATACAGGTAACATAATTGTATAAGACGTAATTAATCTGAGCACTCTCATCAAAGCGGCGGCAGCTCAAATAGGAAAGCCCCACCAGTCAGGGAAAATCCGGTACGTATAGGTGCATATGTCTCCCCCAAAGAAAGGTTCTCTATCCTTACCGACCTCGACTTCACCACAAAATATAGCATTGAAGCCTTTCACCCGACAGAAAACCATATCCATCATGTTTGACTATCCCTGCTGAAGGCCTGATCTCTGGGATATCTGATGGGCAGCGTAATCCATATACTTGTGTGCAGTGTGGATCCTGGCACGCTTACCATAGACCATGAGTAAAGCGGGCATAATCATAGTAGCGAGGGATATGACTCCGATGAGAATGAACATGTTTTGGACACCCATCCCGTCCAGCCAAGCTGAAAATGGAAACTTGGTGATCATTGCGAGAGCATTGCGAATAAATACCACGGACACAAGGGTGTCATTAAGGATCTGAATTCGTTAAAATGGTCCCTTTTGCCATCTTGGGGTTTAGAGTGAACTCACCATGGGATAAGAATCTGTTAGGTACGTCAAAGCGACATCTGCAGTGACCATGAATCCAAAGCCGAATATTCCATTGCCAACGGCAAGGATAGCCCAGTGCCAGCCCTATGATTAGATGTTAGCCGCGTCCATTTTTGAATGGAAGTAAAGAAACAACATACCCGATTAAGTCCGATACCGTAAACCCACGAGCCAATGGAGGTAAACAGAATGGCAGGGAAAAGTAGCCACAAACGCATCTCTGGCTCGAAGACACCCTTGTTGCGGCGTGATTGCCAAACAGCAAGCCAATCGCTGAGGAAAGATACAGTGAATGTAGCGATAAGTGAGCCAATGAAGCCTCCGATATTGTATAAGCCAATCTCGTTCGCTTTGAAATTGTAAGGTGGTTTTGGTAAGAGTTGGGCTCCAGCCGTTGTAGTGACAGAAAACCATGCCTGGATAATGCCGTATTGCAATGCGGCAGATAAAACAGCAGGAAACATGAAAGGTGCAACCAGAGGTCGGTAAAGGTTCTTCAGGATTGGAATATCGCTCTTCGTCACCAGTGCAAGGCGTTGAAAGTAAGTTTTACGGGGGTAGGTCTGAGATTCCACATTTGAGCCAGATCGGGACTGCTCGTTGCCGTTTATTCTCTCAACACTATCAGATGATGAGGCACCACTGACATCTGAATGCCCATCTCCTTTGTGCAGTTTGTTGGCAGTCGGCCTCGATCGCGGAACGTACTTGGATTCTTCAAAGAAGAATACAACGAGCAGCAGATTGACACCCAGGATGATCGCGGTGATCCACCATACCCATCGCCACTGCATAGACAGCAGTATGTATCCCGCGGCGATGGGACCACCAAGTGCACCTAATGCCTGCATGAAGAGGAAGAGGCCGTTCATACGAGCGTGTTGGTGCACGAAAAACAGGTCAACAACGGTGATCATCACAATAGCCTCGCTTACTGAGCCTCCAAGACCAGCCAGCAAGCCAATGGCGGCCATTTCGCCGGCAGATTTGAATTTGGCATACCAGATTGCGCAGGCAAATTGAAGCACCGCGCTTAACAGGTAAAGAGGTCGCCGGCCAAATTTGTGCACACAGGGAATAGTGAAAAGACATCCTAGTGCGAGGCCTGCGTATGAGGCACCGCTGGCTCGAGTGACTTCACCCAAGCTCAAATTCAGTTGCCCTGGCACCCCTGGCACCTTCCCTTCGTAGAAAGGTAATAAGACATTGCCGAGGTCAAGCAGAACAAAGGTGAACAAGACATATGTACAAGTGAGTCCGAAGTTCAGTGTTTTTCTCAGGGTGGACCAGTTCTAGATTCCCGTTTAGCTCATGCCAACCTTTGATGTTGTCGCTGAAGCAGGTGTTGACCTACCAATGGATCTTCAGGGTCATCTGAAGGTGTAGGATTGAGAACAATATCCTTCCCGTTTCCATTACTGTTGTCTGTATCAAAGTTAGATCTTGTATGAAGAAGCAAATGTATGAGGGTCATACGGTCATTCAACAGATGCGTCCCTGGCGGAAAGTTGGTGTAGTCGTTGGCGGACATCGTATGCGCCTGGCTAGTAGGATGTAATGGGGACACTCAGGATTTGAATCTTTACTGATTCTCAGCTGGGATGGTTTTTGCTTCTTATGTAGCGTGGGCAGCAGGAGATCTGCACCCGTTCACGATGATTTCTGTCCAGTCAACGAATATTTCCCATCAATGACCCCCGGGGCACGGCCTGTAGCGTCGTTGTATTTGCATCATGCAAAGCAACCATGACTCGAAGCCAAAGATGCGTTGGGCCTGGGATAGAAGGCTGAGCTGTAAAAACAGCAAAGATCATCAGAAATTTGATACTTATCCTTGTCACTTTATACGTCATGACCAGAGAGCGTAGTCTACTAAGTGCTTCGCTCTAACCTATCATTGAATGAATTTAGGTTAAGCAATGCCCTACGAACACTGCCCGGGACCGATGGGCTCCAGCATTGGCCTCTCAGTGGGCGGGGGCCAACGCTGTGGGGGCGGGGAATTCGAGTCACGATCGGAACGAAAATTTAGGAGAATTTGAGATGCACTCTTGCATCAGAGGCTTGGAGAATGCACGCAAAAGAGGTATCAGTACTTTGTTGGCCCCTGCCACGCCTGTTAACCTCAACGCACAAGCTTCTTGCAACTCATTTACCACGTAGGGCTGCCCAGATGCATCATGTCAAGGGCGTATATGTCGACCCAGTGGGGCGGACGATCGGTCCTTTAAAGCATGGCCTAAGCCTAAATTGGTAATTCAGTTGCAAAGGTCGAAAGCAACAGGTCAGTTGCAGGAAGCTAAGGCCTAGGGGTAAAATTAACAGTTCAGTGTCATATCAGAGAGGCTATATTAATAGAAGCTGGACCCGCTCAACTACTCTGGGACCCCGATGCTTTACGGTGCAGAGTGTGTTTCTTACCTACGGAGGTACTGTTACCTAGTGTGGTAGATACTAGCGGAAAGTACTGTTGATCAGTTGGTATCTGTCAGAATCACAACTTAGAAGGGGCAGATCTCTGCTCTGGTATCCATTGGTCTTTCAATCGCATTCCTTGAGCTTAGCGTGAGCCTTGCGAGGCTGATTCCTTCCCTATACCTTGAAGGGTCCAACATGCAAGTCCTCGAATCGACAAGACGGCATAGTTGAGCGCTACAGCACTGGAAGCCCTCCAGTCCAACCATGACGTCTTTTCACCGCGAATGTAAGCTAATGCATGGAGTACTCCCCGTGTAAAGGCTGCAATGTGACGTATCAAAGCGACAACCACAGTTCGGCATTGTACAAACATTCAGAAAAGAGATCTGGTGGGGGGCTTAGAGACATGGATCTATCTAGAGAGCAAAGAGCAAAGAGCAACACTCAATAAGCACTAGAACAGAGTGTGAGAAGAAAAAAAAGATACTACGATCTACAAACCGACATCAATGGAGAAAATGACAGAATTACCGACTGGACCCAAGTCAATTTAAAGCTATGCCCAGGTGCAACTATAGCTTCAACATCGTACATTCCAACCGTAATTAGGTTATGGACTACATCTATGCGCTAGTCATGAAGAAGCTATCGACAGTTTCTAGCCCTGGATATTGAGAACGACATCGAATCACATCCGAAATCGCAAAACCTACCTCTGGATATAGTATTCTGGTGGTTCGTGGAATTACTTGTACCTTTGTTGTCAGGTGTCCCATTTTAGACCTCTTCTCTTCGGTCTTGGAAAATATCCGCCTCTTTCTCTTTCCCTGTCCTTTTTCTTTATTTCTATTTGAACCATATCTCTTTGAACACAGACACTTCTAAAACACTGCTCAACAGCCTCTCGCAGTCAGGCGCCAAGGCAATAATTCTGCCTCAGGCTACCACGCACATGACTCAAGTGGAGGCATGCCACCCGTAGACCCGGAAGTTAGGTCAATCCACATCATGAGTTCATTTCTCCACCTGACCCTCCCTGCTTTCGCATTCCCCTCTGCTTGCTCGTGAAGGCATTTGCGACCCTTTTGTCATCAGCCGTCGTGCTGCGCAATACTCGATGAGTGGCCGCCTGATCGCTTGCCGCCAACCTTTGGATTGGTCATAAAGAGAAAAGTACTGTGATACAACGGATCCGCTGGCATCGTGAATCCCTCACTCGATCGACATCCATATCTTGCTGTGAACCTATCCGATAAAACCCCTCCTTCTGGAAAAGCGATACAACTCTACCACCATGCGACCACCACGACTCCTCATCGTCCTCTTCTGCCTAATCTTCTTTCCGATCCTCCTCACCTTTTTCTCTGCGCTTACCTCGCCAAGTGTAACCGCCCCCAATACGCTCGCTGGTCGAACAACTGGGTTCCGTGCTCTTTTCTCCTTTAGCGTACCATCTTCTCTTTTCCCGCCGTCGGCTATAATCAGTCTCACCGATGACAACTCGACTTTCTTCCTCGCCCGACCTGCAGCATTCGGGCCACTCCTGCCGACAAAAGGCCTCAGCGGGCAATTATGGGTGGGCAGTGGGTTTGGTGAAGGCGGATTAGCTGCGGGCGCAGAAGGGGAGCTAGGGTGCTCTGATATCCCCGGCTGGGGTGAAGGCACCAATCAAAAGAAACAAGAAAAAACTGCGAGGGGCGTGGAACCAAGTTCCGGCACCTCCGAAGGTAATACGCGCAATGAGTTATCCCAAAACCGCCCGCGGTCGGTGTCGCAGGCCGATATCACACCGCCGAGCGATAGAGATGATACGATGCCCCCACTATTAACGAACGACGGCACCGACGATCACCTGCATCATCCACTTCCCGAATCGGGTGCGTCGCACCCTGGGATGGGTCAAAAGTTTGGAGACTATGTTCAAACCAAGCCATCCGCGCATGCCGATATCCAATCATTGCAGGAGACTGCTGAGATTCAGGGTAAGGTGGTGCTCTTGAGTCGCGGCGGGTGTGGCTTTTTGGAAAAGGCCAAGTGGGCCCAACGCCGAGGCGGGACTGCGTTGATCGTTGGCGATGACACCCGGGGTGGAAACCTGGTTACTATGTATGCACGAGGCGATACGTCAAACCTCACGATCCCCGCCCTGTTTACATCCCACACAACCGCCCACCTCCTATCGTCATTAATGCCAGGGCATACCGGAGGGACCACTAAGCTAGGGGATGTGCTAGGATCATCCCAGGTGAAAATGGCAGGACAGGCAGACGCCGACAAGGAGCGAGTTGCAACTAGCACAACAGCACCGGCTACTCAAAGTCCAACGGCCAGCGGCCATATGGCCACCAAGGAGAAATCCGCGACCGTATCTCACTCCAACGGCGGATTCTGGCGTGCCATTGGATCAGCATTGGGGCTGTGCGACAAAACCAAAGGCTCAAGTCATTTGGAGGACAGCCGGCGCCCACCCAGCAGTGGAAACATTGACTGGATCAACCTTGGCTCGTGGGATGGTAAAGGGCCTTCGTCGAGCACCTGGAAAAGATCCACTGACTTCAATCGCCGCGGTCGGAACAAGGTTGACGAGACTTTCGACAGTCACCGGGCGGACATGTCTCCCGACAGTTTTGAAGAGGATGAGTTTGTCATCGGAGTCCAGGACTGGAGAGATCCTGATTTGATGCCTGCTAAAAGCAGCATTTCACCGACGCCTAGCACTTCTGTGAAGGGCAAAGACTCTAAGACTGCAAGTGCGGATAAGGATTCTGCTTCATCGATTAATGCTTTGCAAGGTGGCAGCATCACACCCGGGAGTGGAGAGTATCAAAGTATTGAGAAATCCAGTGTCGACGCTCATGGCAAGGACACTAAAGCACTTGACAAGGAATCTATTGGAGCTCAAGGAAAGATCAATTCCTCCAACAAGGGCTGGCTTTTGGGTCATTTCAGCTGGGGCAGCGAGAAGCAGACTGCCCAGCCCTCTTCGGCACCCTCGCCCCAGAAGCACATTGTTGGAGACCAGAAGGCGCAGACCAGTGGTCCCTATGCATCAAGCCGACCATCCGCAGAATCTCTCGGGCATGAAGGCCTTTGGGTTACTATGACACCTACCAGCATGTCTACTAGCCCGTTCTTCGATACCCTTTTGGTTCTCGTCGTCAGCCCTCTGCTTACACTCACGGTCGTGTATGCCTTACTACTACTCCGTTCCCGAATCAGACGTCGCCGATGGCGCGCCCCAAAGTCGGTCATCGAACGTCTCCCTGTTCGGACCTATCACACCATTGCAATTTCCTCGTCTTCATCCTCCAACTCAACGCGACCTCCTAGCCCCGGACCCGTGTCACCCACTTCCCCGCTTCTCAGCAACGAAAGCCAATCAACAGATGCTCGATTAATTAGATCGCGATCACAGACTGTCTCAGGCACTTTGCTTAGCTCTTCGGACCTACCCAAGGAAGAAAAATGCAGCCTGCAGGCAGGATCTACACTGTGGCGGCGAAAGTATACTGGAAGGCAGGTGGAGTGTGTTGTTTGTCTTGAGGAGTACATCGATGGCGAAAGTCGGGTCATGAGCCTGCCATGTGGCCATGAGTTCCATGTGGAGTGCATGTAAGTGACACGACACTATCATATGATTATCTAGGTAACACTTTGCTAACTTCCTCTCCAGTACACCATGGCTGACTACTCGTCGGCGGACCTGTCCGATCTGCAAAGGCGATGTTGTCCGTTCCATGTCCCACGTCCAGTCGGGTGGCTCTGGAAGCCACCATGCACACACCAGCGACGATGCACAGACCTCGGAGGCCATGTCACGATCCGTTGCTTCTTCCGCGCCAGTTTTGATTGAAGGCGTAACCGATGATGTTCCTGATCCTGAACAAAATGCCGGTCTTAATGACCATGCAAGCTCTGCACCACAGTCAAGCTGGAGAAACTTGGCTACACTGAGTTTCTCGGCCCTCAGCGGTGACACCATTTGGCACCAAGCCCGTCTGGACCGCAACCGCTAATTCCTATAGTATTTCCACTCATTCTCATTTCCTCTCTATTCCCCCCTCATTTTGTCCGTGTGACCCGCTCTCTTTGTATTGAAGCATGCTGTATTAGCGAACGTTTTGGATTTTTTTTATCGACTTGAGTATATCGGGTATTCAAGGTCACTGGCAATCCCATTGGTTTGACTACATCACCACGCTGAGGGTTTTGTGGACGTTGGTGCGGGTATCGTTACTTCTACTATCAATGCCAATATATCAGGTCTCACTCAAGCAGAAGCATTCTCAGTTAATATCTAGGGATCGTAGTCATTTTTCAAAAAAAGACATTCCTGCCACCAGACATGATCGATATGGTCTCACCGTGTGGCGGAGTCCAAAGGATCAGGATACAATCCAAAGTTCCAAAACCCAATCCCACTCAACGTGTCAAATAGACATTACCAGCAACGTCTCCAAAAACATCAAGCGAATGATCGAGTTGATCACGAACCAGCTTCACACGAGGAATCATATCTCGGCCCAAAGGCAAGAATCGCTCACTTCCATGTCCATTCCCCACACCCTCACCTTGAACAACTTCATATATCACCTTTGCAGCCTTCTCCTTATCACCATCAGCAACAAGCTTACCCTCCGTAATAGCCTCCAGCATCTGAGCCACAACCGATCCCTCATAATCCCCAGGCAAGGGCTTCTCAGCTGTAAGACAAGCAGTCCCAAATGCCGTATCAAACACCCCCAACCACACAGTCAGAAGCCGAACATTGAACGGAGCCACTTCTTTCGCAAGAACTTTCGACAGCCCTGTAACATCATTCCAGTAAGTAAAGAGCTAAGTATAACAGAAACAAACATACCATCCATAGCAGCCTTGGCCGCAGCATAAGCACCCATACTCTCCCTCCCCTCCAAACTAGCCCCAGAACTGATATTCACCACAACACCAAACCTCCGCTCCCTCATACCCGGCACAAACTCGTGTATTAATCGACTCGGCCCGAAATACACTGTTTCCATCTGTGCACGTAGCTCCGAGTCTGAGAATTGTTCAACGGCGCCCAGAATGGCGTATCCGGCATTATTCACTAGGATATCGATCTCGTGGCCTGCATGCTCGAGTATGGATAGTAGCTCCGAGGCAGCGGTTGGATCGTTCACGTCTAGGGTATGCCATTCGCCGCCGTTTTGGGTTATCTCCGTTACTAGCTCTGGGGTGCGGGTTGGTTGGCGGGATGTGGCGATTACGGTGTGTTGCTTGGATTGGGCGATGCGGGCTATTGACAGGCCTAGACCAGAGGAGCAACCGGTTATCAGCCAGGTGAGGGGTCTGTTGGGCTTGGTGAAGGTTGTTTGGGATGCCATTGTGGTTATGTGGTGAGTATTGTTTGTGGTGGGGATGACACTAGATAGAAGGGTGCTGGGGGTTTAATATAGGTTGGGAAATAGATATGCTGCATAAGTACAGCTTTGGAGCCATGCTTAGTGGTTTCATTGGCTCGAGAAAGATGGAGTTAGGCCCATGGAGTTAAGATATCTGTAGCCGCAAGTCAATGTCGCGTTGGGGTATTCTCGGCGAAGTGCCCTATCTCCGGGGTATTGGAGTAGGAAACGAACAACTCGTAACAAACCTCACGCCGTGGCTATCTCCATTAACCCCGGGTCCTGGGGGTTGATTACTAGGCTTCAAAATAAGTGAGAGAGTAAACACAGTTGTCATAACTTATTTGGCGACCGTGACCAGTGACTCAGGCCATACCCTTAAAAAATATTGTACATAAACATAAAGTCAAGCAAGTACAAGGTAAAGTCTCACAATCGCGGAACACACGACAGGCTACAGCCCTGTCGTCGGAAAGGAAGAGGCCGGAGCATGTAAGCACGCGAACGAATCTCGCTACTCTCATTTGTCCAATTCCAATCTTGCCCCATCTCGAAATGGGAGACATCCCACCATTCTGTCCATTCAGTGCAGGGCATCACATACTCGCGCCCGCATACAGAGCAAGACTGCCCGCCTGCAATGCAGACTTCTCTCGCTTTTTTAATGGCGGGAAGGAGTGTCCATGGGAACTCAGAGAAGTCCTCGTCGGTGGCTTGATCAAAATATTCGAGCTTGGTGGCTTGACGAAGAGCAAGTTCTCGCAGCGAAGGAACGTTTTTGGAGGGTGCCTTGGCTTGCATCTCATTGTAAAGGGATGAGTTCGGATTAATGACCAAGCCATTAGGGTTGAAGTATGTCACGGGGCCGTTGGCCATATGGAGTGGATAAGCCCCAACGACTTCTGGCGGTATTAAAGGGGAAGGGGAAGCAGATTCATCACGGAATCTCTTGAGCCACTGCACTTTTTTTGAGTCCATTTTTGGGAATTTGTTTGGATGCACCGTGAGGTGCACCAGATGGCCGTCTCGCATAAGCGTGAGCAGTTCCCAGGGAAGAAATTCCAGTTGGTTGACGGCGAGATTCAGAGATCGCAGATTGTTCAGTCGGCCAATGGAGGATGGGATTTCTGTTAGCCTGTTGTTTCGCAGGCTTAGAACCATGAGCTTTTCAAGCTCGAAGAGATCCTTGGGGAGGGTTTCGAGGGAGTTATTAGGGAGATAGAGACGGAGGAACGGCGTCAGGGACGTGAAAACATCCTCAGAAACCGGTGTCTCTGAGACTGAGGGAAGCTTCGTGAGATGCTGGAGAGGTTTCAATAGGCCAGGAGGAATGGTTTCCATCTGGAAGTTACTAAAAGACACGTGTTAGAGCCAATACTCAGCATGAAAGAGAGTTGGGACGACAAGACATACCCCAGATCAATGGTTTCATGGCCCTTCTCCAGGCATTCATTGACGACCTTGCGTGCCGCCTGGTGCTGCTGTGATTCCGCCATGCCTCTGAAGAGCACACGTACTTGCGTAGGGGTTTGTTCAGTATCTGTTGCAGAAGCTCTTGGAGCGATTGGGGTACTTGGAGTTGAAGCGTTCTTTGGGTCCAGCACCGACTTGCGCAGGTCTTCTCCCCATGCCGGGTCCGACGACATCATCGATTCCACGGACGACTCATCGCTCCCCATCCATACTCCACTATCGACATTCCTTTTCTCCTTGAATTCTCCCCTTTTGCGCTTGGGATCCAGCACCTGCTCTCCCCACCAGGTGCCACGATACCGCCGCTTCCTGCCCGAGCCTGGCGTGGTTGCATGGTAATTTTCTAGTCCAGAAGCTGGAATATCGTCACTAGAAAAGAGGGCAGGGTCACTGGACGGCTGGCTTGAGCAATCATCGAAACGCGACAATCTCCTTGTACGGTCCAGAGAGGAGGCTGCATTTGTCGCAGAGCGTGCAGGCGCGGGCGAGCGGTGACGTATCCGCCGCGGTGGAGGGAGAGGAACCTCGCCGTCCATTATGAATTGATATTTATACAAGGAAACCCGGTCCTTCAATTCACCTCGTTGGGCTAGGTATTGTTCATCTCATGTTCGATTTTGGGGAGTTATTGCGCGACGCGATTGTGGGGTCCCGCGATAGATCAACAAACGCGTTTCGTAGCGCGTTTGGCAAGATAAGTGACTGGTTTCTTCAGGGCCAAGACCAATTGGCACTGCAAAATGACAAACTGCAATTTTACACTGCAAAAGGACCCAAAGAATGAGAGATCAACAAAACCGACAAAAAAAAAGGAGGGCGAAAGATAAGATGAGATCAAGAATGTGCACGGGCATCAGTTGACCCCGGAGTCCACGGCTGAAGTGCCGCTCCACTGGAATGTTCGATCGTCAGGATCTCCTCTAGATATTGTACTTAAGTATATTCTCAAGTTGTACTTTGATATATGTTTGATGTATGTGAGTTGTAGAAGAATAATAAAGTGTCTGTATTTTGGGAATGGTTTGTGACATAGTAACCCGCCATTAGGAGTGAACTATACAGCCCATCCACCAATGGAAATATAGACAAACGAATTGAATCAACAGGGTGTCCAGAAGAAAAGAAACATCAACTCATATCGGTCCACAAAGTCGTGAATGAAACAGAAAAGGGGGTATTTGGAAAAGCGTAAAACCGTTTCCTCTCAAGTAGGTTCTCCAGATAACCGAGAGGAATAGAAAAAGTGAAAATATAAAGTGGTAAAAGGGTAAAGAATATAAAGATCCCGGCTCTGCTGAAGATAAACGGCCGGCGAGATTGAGCAGAGGACTTGCGCCGGAGGAACTGGGTATGTCTTGTCAATGGACCCAATCCATGACTGTTGCTGGCGCAAGTGCGCCCTGGTTCAAATGCCGCGTCGCATATGTGATCATAGGGCCTGGCCCACAATCACAGCGATGTAGCCAGCGGCTGCCAGGGCAGCTGGCATGCCAGCGCCAACGTGGGCGGCTGCGCCAGTAGAGGGGGTGGCAGATGCGACGGCCGAAGTGGTAGAGGCTGCCTTGGACAGCGGGGTGGAGGTAGAAGAAGCAGGAATGGTAGTCATGCTGGAGCTGGGAGTCGGTGTCACAGAGTTGACTCGGAGCAAAGTCTTGGTGATGGTGGTGGTAGAGGTCATAGTGGTGGTGGTCTCTTCAGCAATGGCGAGCGGGGCCAGCGCCAGGCAGAGAGAGCCGATGATAGTGGTGAACTTCATTGCGAATGAGTCAAAAGGATCACTGGGGATCAGGTGGGATGCAATAGCAAAGATATAAGAGCTAATAGGGCGGGTAAAGAAATTGCTGTATGGCTCGAATAACTACGAGACAAAGGCGTTTGAGATGTGTTTCGACTTAGGCGAAGTAAAGATCGTGGGGGAGCACTGCTCAAGGTGGATAAACGAGTGACTGGGTAAAAAAGAGTGTATACGAGGAAGGAAAATCCCTAATGTGCCTAGGAGAGAAAAGGAAAAAATTAAGGGCGTGGCATGCCTTAATACCCGTTGAACCTGGGGGACAAAGAGGGCGTTTGTTTGGTTCAGTTAATATTTGTTTTTTTATTTTCTTATATTTCTTAAATTAATATTGATTTTCAGGTGAAACTCTAGCCTGCAATTGGTCCAGAGGAGGCGCGAACACACTATTCAGAATTGGGTTCCATCTAAGACCAGTCGCCCGGAGCCCTAAATCTCACTAACCTCAACTTCGCCAAGAATCCAGGAACACGAAGGGTCTCGCACAGACTCTGACGCCAGGGGCGTAGAAATCGGCCCTGACAGGGTTCTTTGATGTTTTGCTTCGGAGAGCTCGTGCTCAGGCCAATTCCAATTGAACCCGAACTTCCCCTCTATGTGACCCGGTCACGAAAATTCTTCCTACGGCTCTCGTACTCCGCACTTTGTGACTAGTGACGGAGTTTTCGTACACACCTTTCCCGGTATAGGTTGGATTTCGCGAAACCACCATGGTCTCGATACTCGTACATGGTCTCGATACGACCATAACTAACCAGACATTCCTTTGCTTTGCTGGCCTTTGCTACCTGATCCATCCAACTCTGCCCTAGATGAAGTTTCTCCCTGGGCATCACTGCGGTATCACCTCCTCACCTCCGTCGGTTCCGAGCCCCTGGCGTCATGCGCAGGGCCCTCGGCTATGACTTGCTGTGATTTGGCCGCATAATGTCGCCTTGAGCCACTTCATTATTAATTATTCCGAGTTAAGTACAGTCCAACTGAGGATAAGTAATGCGAAAGTCGAAATGGAAATTTTCACAGATCCGCATGGGTTGGAGACCCGTGGTTCCATTCAGGTACGAAAAGATGAACCACTCCCGTTAGCGATCGCCACTCCGCCTTACCCAATTAGGCATATGTGTTGGCAAAGCAGTTCGAGGCTCTAGACTCATCAGAGCCCTAATTTCGGCCTTATCGGTTAAACAATGTGAAAGTTTGCTGATCGAACTGTCGATCGGAATCAAAATGAAGTCACCTGCCACGTTGTATACTTCCTTCGGAAATATAGGGGTCAATATTGAAAATGGAAATCGAAGGGGGATTGGTCCCTACTAAAGTATCATTGCATTTTCTTTCCGGCTTAGTGCTGACTGGGGTTTTGTTGGGTTCAATGCCGTTTTTCATATAATCGTACACCATGAGAATCTAACGCTCGTCGTAGTGTCTCTCCACAGCAGGGTAATTCAAGGATCTGAACGATTGTATCGTAGGGGGTTGAACGGTGGTCGAACGACTCCTGAATCCATGATATTGTACGACGAACATCATAGTCGCTCAGTATTGGATTTCGTCCACTTCGCTTCTTAGGGGTCGGGGTCCCTCTTCTAATGGTATAAGCGACCTGCTGGTAGGTACAATGACCAATTTCTTGCTGCATTTGTTTGGCAATATCGCTCATAGAATGACGACCTCCTCGGTGGAGCGTAAGGATATGGTTTCGATGGTCGCGGGTAAGATGTCTCCGCTGGGGGGTTTGGGGTGGTTCAATAGCCTCAGACATGGTCAAATAGGTCAAATAAGTCAAATTTGGGTCGAATTGGGGGTTTGGGGGCCTGAACCGTGGAAATGGTAGAATTTGGGAGGTCCTGAAGTCTGTCTACAGGTATGTAAAGCTTGGTATGGTGATAAAATCCTACGTCATCAGCGATACATAGCGGATATGCCTACATTGACCATATATCCCTCACCGCCCTGTACTTAGTATATTGGAGATCTTTACCTGGGTCTGATTTCGGGGAATTGTCACTATACGAGATGCCGTTCAGAGTACCGACTTATTTGCTTGGCTGCTTTCATGACCAGCTGTCATGGCTTTATATGCATGAGTATAGTCCACGAGTGATGCACGTCATGTCCTGCATATATATCTCGTGCATCTACACGAGGACTTAAGGACCTCTGGATATTCTCGGAATAAAGGGTTAAAACATTGATGCGGCTCTTAGAAGGTTGACCGAGAACATTGGAGATTGATTCGTACTTAAGTATCTTCGGAGCCGCTTCCAAATCCTGAAGTCTTAAAGTTCAAAATTGCAAGGTTTACCTAGTAGAACCTGTGACCACGAGACCGAATCACCAGGGTGAATGTTCGACCTTGGAACTTTAGAATACAACACCTGAACATACTAGTTAGATAGTGCTCAAGTGCCCCCGGGAGAGCTATGAGTCACCTGGCAACTCCAAGCCCTGGAGGTTGTAAACTACCTGGACGTGGAACTTCTAAAGTTTAGAATATACCATGGATCAACCTTGGAAGCCCCGAGGGTTTCACAGAAAAACTCCGGGGTAAGAAATATCTGGTTTCAACCTTGAACTTTAAAAAGGTCTTTTTCGCAACTTCTAAGTAGATCTTCTAAAGCTCAAAGTTGAAACCCTCCAGGAATTCGGGACTTCAGGGCCTCACTCGACTGTTGCAACATTGGAACTCACAGTCCACGGGTGCAAGCAGGATGATGCGATAAACGAGTGGCAGTAACTTTCTAAAGTTCAGGTAAACAGCGAATTACCTTGCTACTTAAGTACTTAAGTATCAGTTCCATTAAATTATGACTCTGAACTATCTCTAGAGCTGCAGAGTACGAAATATTGCCTTATCCCTTGAGTCCAAGGTTGATATCTTCCTCGCCCAGCCATACCTACAAAGCGGACTTTCTCATCTTGTCACCCCCAAACTGATTTTGCCAGAGATTCTGATATCGACCACCTTCTTTCTTCAGCAGCTCTTGATGTGACCCACTTTCTACAACCTGGCCCTCGTGCAGAACAAGGATGCGATCTGAGCCAACAATCGTAGATAGTCGGTGCGCAATGACAAATGTAGTGCGCTTAGCCCTCAGTCGGTCCAATGCAATTTGAATTTCTGACTCCGTATTCGAATCCACAGCACTTGTTGCTTCGTCCAGTAGAAGAATTGGAGATTGTTTGAGGAATACCCGAGCGATGGCTATTCTCTGTAATTCACCGCCAGATAGCTTCACGCCCTGTTCTCCTACTTTCGTGTCATATCCAGATGGGAAAGTAAGTATCTTTTCATGGATGGCTGCAGCACGGCACGCATCGTAGATTTCTTCATCTGAAGCCGAGGGCCGAGCATATCGCAGGTTTTCAATGATAGACGCATTGAAAAGGACGGGATCTTGTGGGACGACGCCAATGGTTTGACGCAGCGAACTGAGCGTGACATCTCGAATATCCTGGCCGTCGATCTCGATCCGCCCAGCAATAACGTCGTAAAGCCGGAGTAGTAGTCGGAGAATTGTTGTCTTTCCCGAGCCAGTCATTCCTACCAAGGCCACTGTGGTTCCTGGATCAACAGAGATGTCGACGTTTTTGAGAGTATTGAGTCTCGTATCGTAAGCAAAGTCAACATTACGGAAAGCAACACGGCCATCTCCCCGTTTCAAATCCATGGCATTGTCTTTGTCGGTGACACTGGGCTTAGATTGGAATAAGAAGAGCAGACGCTCAGCGTCGACCAGGTCCGATACAAGCCAGCGGTACTGCGCAGAGAGATATGCCAGAGGCGAGATAAGCGAAGACCAATACTGAATGAAAAAGACAAAGTCTCCCGTTGAGGCACGCCCCACGGATATTTCTTGCACAATCAGGGAGGCTAGACAAACAAATGAGATTGGCTTGATGAGGTCCAGGAGTGCCTTTCCAACTGCCCGGCGTCGGCCAAACCGTGCGCTTGCCCTGAGACAAAGGTCAACTGCTTCTCCAAATCGAGATCGTTCATACACAAACTGATTAAAGTATGTGACAGTTTGCCAGCCTTGAACAGCTTGGTGCATGATACGAGTTTCATCTCGCTGAGTCTGTGTGAGTTCACGTCGATGCTCCATGTTCCAATTTGAAGTAAAGACCTCGGCTGAGACGTAAGCGATTGCAGCAACTACCACCAGTAATGATGCATAGGCATTGAATTTCATGTAAAAGACGATGCAGGCGATGAACAAATCGGCTACTGTCGGGGCAATATCTAGAATGGCCATCTCCAGCAGATTGTTCAAGGCTGCACCCTGGTCAATAGATTTCATGACCTCGGCTGAATCATTATCAATATGGAAGTCCATCGATAGGTTCATGACATGGCCAAAGGCAGCATTGGTGATCTGGCGATAAGAAAATTGTCGAATTGGAATCTTGACAAATGCCTCAATCAATCCCAGTCCAGCTCCACCACGAATAAGCTGTAGCAAAGCCCATCTCCCCAACGAAGCATACGGGGCTTCATTTGCAAAGATGTTGTTGGTCACATCTGCTAGTTGCTGGGGAATCAGGATATTCAAAACCCGGTGACATGCTAAGCATATGACGCTGATGATAACGCACAACTGCACTGGCCGATTATTCCTAGGAACCAGGTAGGGTAGAAAGATCGAAAAGCTTTTCAGATAATCCCACCAGCCTCCGTATGTCTGCAACTGTTCATCGCGGAGCTTTTTGACCCGTGCAGCTCTACCATTCTTTGTGTCTGCGTCCGACTCGCTTTCGCTTTCGGAATTTACACTGTTATCTGAGTTGTGCCCATTGGCTGTACCATACGTTGTGTGGTTCCCGTTGAGAAAGGGGCGTGCTTCTTCGGAAGTCTTCTTCTTTTCCCGTAGCCTGAGATCCAATAGTATCACAACTGTGACGATGAGGAGCAGCAAGATGCGAACCGACGAGATGGTAACTTGAGCGATTGGTTCCCACTGTCTCGGTTTGTGACACAAGGAGAGCGCAAGGAGTGGAATTTCGAAAGCAGCGGTGACCGAAGAGGTACCAGCCACTTCATACTTGGAGGTATGTTGTTGCCGGAGCGACACCGCAGACCATACAACCGCCAGAGAGGTCATATGCACAAGGAACGGCTGGGAGCGGTCCAGATCATGAGTGGCAATATTCAAAACGATTTGGCTGACATATGTGAAAACGATCAACGCCGTCACAGCAACTTGAGCTCGACCCTGATGCTTGGAGCGGCCCTTTCTCCGATCCTTCTTCTTTTTCTTTGCTGGGCTTCGCTTTAAAAGACAAGAGATCACAATAAACAGACTTGCCAGAAATGTACAGCTGTAATGAAGGGCCCGAACGGCTAGCTGTGTAGCCATAGCGAAAGAGTGGGGGGGAGTAAGAAGTGAAATCAGGAGGTTGTTTGTCTCGGAGCAGACAGTTCTTATAGTTGAGCCGCACTTATTCTCAAGCCTTGTCTGCGTCACCAACATCCTATTGGATGTGATCCGCGTGAGGAGGAGAAGGGGGGCTGGAGAAGCACCTACCAACCGGGGCTGTGGTTCTGGCCTAGACCCGAAGCCCTCATTATTGGATGTGCTGCAGATCAGAATAGAATCCAACCGCCTCACCATACGGGCTTCTTTTCGTATTTTTGATTGAAGGGGCCTGACCACAGGTTAACACTTTGCGAAGCATCTGACTGTATCTCGGTGACTCATTTGATCAATTGCCCGGGTTATTCAACCACTTGTCCTCCCTGAGGATAAGACTGCTGATATTTTCTACGATTCCAACGCGACCGCCTGTTGCAGCATGTCGTCTCCACTACAATACCATATATTTGACACAATGGTTCCCCCTTATCTCCGCAGAGACTCAAAACGATGGCTCTAACCCTGCATATATCACGTATCACCACCCATGCCCCTGGTGTTATACCGTGTTGGCGCCCCAAGTCCCAGTGGCAGCTGGAACGATACGTCTACTGATATCTACAATCTGTTTCGGGATATCTGGTTGGACAAGCGGAAGCGAGCATGGATGGGTGGTCCAACGCCTGGTGCTTGCTGGCGGATGCTCGCTGGCGGGATATACCCATTACATACTACCGGCGAGAGCACCAAGGACAAGTGGCATCTTTGCATGCGTGGTGGGCAAACATCACAGGGTCTAAAGTCCATGGCCGAGAAAGTGGACGATAAGAGAATCTGAAGGCGCTCGTCCTTGGCAAGCTGGCGCAAGTTTGACATCTCCAAAATGCATGCAGGTACTTTGGCGCGTTGCATGTTGCTGCTGACCCCGGATTTACGTCGACATTCCCCGCTGCTTCCAACAGCTTCCAACCGAGCCAGTCCTGACACAAATTCAGCACTTGCCGGTCTGCTTTGAGAGCCAATGGATCTAGCGACAGGGATGTGGCTGTATCAGACTGCCGTTTTGGGAATATTTGTCTCAGCGTGGCCATGCAGGAAACGTAGACATTGCCGATTTGGATACTTTATATGCGGACCCCCGGGCAATTAGCCCATGATTTTCGCTTTGACATCGGGCGTGGATCTCAAAATAACTAGTTCTCGCCACTTGCAGCCAGGCAGCAGCAAGTTCGGGAACATCAGCTCGCAATGAGGCTCAATGCATCTTTCCGAAAGCTACATTGCCACTCTGCCACCCATGTGGTCTCTTGGCACGGAAACTAAGGAATGGAGTAGTGCAAGCAAGTGAATTAGAACCCGGGAAAATAAAACCTAGGATGGCGCCACCGAGGGAATGATTGAATCCAAGACGTTCCGGGTACCGCAAGTTATGTACATCGCGCACCGAATGAGCGAGCACCCAAGAACTTGCTCACCACAGCTTCCGCACAGCTATTCTGGGGTAGGTTCCTTCACACTTGAAACTACCGAAATGAAATAAGGTATCTCTCGCCCATAGAGATTATATCGTACAAGGGACGTCGCCGGGGGGTCATGTCGCATGTTTCCCGATAATAGTCCTGAGACTGCGAGAAAGGGTTGGATTTATTGGCGCATCGGCCGGAGGGGGTTCTGTCGGGGGAGCATCATTGGGGGTCCTCGAGCACGGAGCCAAGCGTCGTTCTTGGGTCCTTCGTTGCGGATAACACTTCCGATAGACATGAACAGACTGTTGCAGAGGAATTTCGTTAATTATCACTGCTGAAATGGAGGTACAAATTGAGGAAGTCAAGCTTACCCGAATGTCGCACCCGAGCCCAGCATGTATTTACCGAGTGTCCGCATGACACCGTTGGGGCCAGCACCGTACTGGAAGATCGTGACAGTTCCTGTTTGAGGTGAGCTTGTGATCAACCCCTCTGTTATTGAGCGTTATCGGGGGCAACTAACCGACAATGAAGCCCATGATACCTCCAACAGCTGTGAGGGGAAGTATATTAGCAGGAGTTCTCGATGAACCACCTTGAGCTTTTTGGCGATCACATACTGGAGCCCATCATGCAGCCCATTTTCACTAGATTTACGTCAGTTCATTCATCACTCAATGCGGAGAGGCTCTGAGCAGCCCGATCAATGCGCAATGATCCATCTTGCTCGGGGAAGTTGACATACTCTTGTCGAAAGTCGAAGGACCTCCGGGACCCGCCTGAGCGGGAGGACCAGCAACCACAGGCATTTTCAGAAGTGAGGAAGAAGTAATTAACTGTAAAAAAGGGCAAAAACGACACCTGCAAGCTGAAGATGAGATTGATTGTCACTGGAAGCAGCTCGTTTTGCTGCCCCGTAGCTTCTCCGCCTTGGTCACGTGAGCACAACGGGCCTCGCACACGTGCCCCTAGTGCACGTGACTGGCCGTCGAGGGAGCAGCGAATACCCTCGCTCTCGCCCCGGGTTGTCCAGTGTGGCAACTATCCCCCTCTCTGATTTCTCCTCCCGTTGCATCTTCCTTTGGGCTCTTTGAAGCCTGCGCCGAGGCGGTAGTCCCGTCTTGTGCTTGTTCATTGCCTTGGCGTGAGACTTCCGATCGATTCGGACCTCACACGCCTCCTTGGCCTGACGCACTTGTTGATTTCCCACATAACTTCTCCATTCACAGCGAAGTGAGTCCACTAGCCTCTAGATTTTATTGTGGGGTCAAGTCGAGACCTCGACGTAGGGGTCAATTTAATTGTCTCTCCCCTCAAACAGCACTAACGCGACCGTCTTCATTTTAGTCGGGCGACCCTTAAGTGCAACCACCCTTGCGCGCACTCAATTTCCCCAACTCTCGGACATAAACCGATCTTTCTAGACGTCCTCTTTTCAACATTCAGACCACCTCAACCCCACGACCCCTTTTACAATCCGCGATCGTCCACGCGCTCCGTCTAGACATCTCACATCGTCACAACATTCGCATCATTCTCCATGACTGCTGTGGCATCTCCACCTAGTGTACAATCGGGGTCTCGCTTGGGATGGTACAGTTCTGGTAACGGAGGTCAAGGAGCCCTGTCTTCAGTGAACGCGGACGACGTCTCACGAATGTTCATGCCACGGAAGCACGTTCAGCGATCGAACTCCTCTTCCTCTCTCGGGTCGAACTCGTCGACCACCTCCACAGCCACCGTAACAGCTTCCCCACAGGAAACGAATACCGCTCAGAGTTCCGCCAACGAATCAGGAACTTGGTCATCAAAAAAGAAGTCAGCCAAACATCCCTGGCCGAGCTCCAAGTCAGAGCCGGTATCAGGGGTAACGAACGCGCGATCCCAGGCAGTGCCTGCGTTTTCGTCGGGACCCAGCGCATCCTCGACAATGTCTGCGATGCACCAGCCTTCAAACATCGTCCCATCCCAACATATGCCTTCTTCCTCGCAACAGAATGGCGTCCGTGCGTCAAACGGACAATCCCCCGAGTCTCCGGCCATCCTGATACTTGTTCCTATGAATGGCACATTTGACAGAAAACAAATCAATGTGCCTTATTACCCCGAGGTCTTACGGATCGGACGCCAAACAAACGCCAAAACGGTGCCCACATCTGTCAATGGATATTTCGACTCTAAAGTTCTCTCCCGACAGCATGCCGAACTGTGGGCCGACAAGTCCGGCAAAATCTGGATTCGCGATGTCAAATCCTCGAACGGTACCTTTGTGAACGGCCAGAGACTATCCCCCGAGAACCGAGAATCAGAGCCACACGAGGTTCGCGAAAGTGATACACTGGAACTTGGTATCGATATCGTTAGCGAGGACCAGAACACTATTGTACACCACAAAGTCTCGGCCAAAGTTGAACATGCCGGCTTCTATGGCTCCACCCCAAGTATCCTCGACCTGAACTTTGGTGACTTGGACCCTGCTTCCGGGGGTGGCCTCTTGCCTTCTCCTTTGAGCCAGCCTCTCTCCCACATGCGTGGCCGAGCTGGAAGCAACGCCAGCACCCGAAGCACCCAGAGTATGGCCAGCACCCAGGCCAACGCTTTGCATCAACAACGACAGATGAACTACTGGAACTCGCCCATCTCTATTGAACAGGTTGTCAAGCGGCTTACCGTATGTGCTCATGATGACAACTACTTTGACCACCCAACTAACAATTTTTAGGGCGAATTAAAAGCTGCAAAACAACAAACGACAGACCTTACCCAGAGTGATGATTTCTTGACGACGATCATGAAACCGGGTTACGCAGAGAAAGAAAAGATGATGAAGCCATCCCCTCTGGAAGGCAGTGCTGCTCACCGGCAATTAAATGGACGACCCAAAATGCCGCGCGTTGACTCCTTCTCAAGGTTCTCGGAACCTCCTGCCCCTCCTCCCCAACAGCCTCTTCCAGAAAAGCCTGACGCGCTCTCTCGGAGTGCATCGGAGTCTTTCTCCTCTTTGAAACGCAGTGATACAGAAAAGCCAAAGGGCGGAACTGGTTCCCCCGTGTCACGCGATTCTAGTCAAATTTTGTCGCTGATCGAGGCCCTTTCCTCTGCCAAACGAGAAATTGATACCCAAGGAACCCGGGTCAAAGAGCTTGAGGGCATGCTCTTGGAAGAGCAAGCAGCTCGCAAATTGGCCGAGGAGAGAATCAATGAGTTGGAAACACGTCCCGCGGTCGAGAACAAAGAAGTAGTCACAAATGGCACCGTCGCGTCTCCAGAGAACGGTGTCGATGATGAAGTGAATAAGGAAGCAGAAGATGCCGTGCAGGTCAACGGCATCCACCCCACAGAAGCACCCGTTCCAGGAGAACCACAGGCAGAAGTTCCCGTGGAGGACAAGACTGCCGAGCTTCAAGCTCGCTTCGATGCCATGATGGAAGAAATGGCAGAGATGAAAAAGCAAATGGCATCTTTCAAGGGCCGCGCAGAACAAGCTGAGGATAGCACCACTCAGGCTCGCACATCATTGGCAGAGATGGTGGAAACTTTACGCAAGGAACGAGCCGAAAAGGCGTCCGCCGAAGCAGCTGCCAGCAAAGCTGCTACGCATGACCATGACTCTACCAAGGCCCTTCCAGCCCCCGTTGGATCATCGGCCCCAAGTGAGAGCTCAACGGATTCAAAGACAAAAACTTCACCCGAGCAATCTTCGGATTCAGTCCACTTGCGAAACAAGGAGGTTGATATTGCTGTTGCGAACGCCCTCGCTACCCAGCAGCAACGGCTAAACTATGTGGAAGAAGCAAGCCCGTATGCTTCCATCTTTGGTGTGGTACTGCTTGGCGTGGGCCTAATGGCCTATCTCAATGGTTGGCAAAAGATGGACAAATAAACCTACTTTGGTTCATTTCTAATTCTGGGGTTTGGTGTTTCTTTGACGGCTATTCCTATTGCATACGTACTTTGCATTACTTGACCTTCTCTCCTGTTCTTCACATCAGATTTCAGTTCCCGCCAGTCATGACTCTTTGGCGATGAATGTCCTGGTCGTTCCTCCTATTGGTTGAAGATGGTTTTGTCTTTGTCTTCATACTCGGAGCCTCGTCCGTTTAGCCCACACTGTCTCTCTTATCTCTTTACGAATTTCTTGACGAATCTCTTGAATCCCCTTCCCAGGGTTTTCACCGTGGTCTTTTTGACTTCCTCTTACCCCCTTCTTTCTCAATGTCTCTTTCTGGTTCTTTTCTTTCTACCTACAATGTTACTATTAGCCTCTTGCCCTCTGGGCCCGGCATCTCTCTATCTCTCTCGCTCTCTCTTTTGTTTGTACATGATGGGGAAAATCAGGATATGTTCATGAATTGCTGTCGCTCTGGGAATGTCTCATTTGACGAAGGTCATTGTCGTTCTTCCTGTGTCAGCGTAATGTTTTGTTTGGCGTAACTAGGAGTTTCATTAGTGCTATTTCGGTCTCTTACCCATGTTATTTTGTTCCTGCTGGCAGACACGGTCTTGGGCTTCATTGAGCTTTTGTTTTATTAGAGTAGCGGTTCTGCCTGCAGTCCTATACTCAGTTGTCTTTATCCATTATATGTCGGTTTGTTTAGTGTCTCAAGCGCATATGGGCGATTCTTGTACGCAATGAGAAACAGTTCATCTCGAAGACGATACCAATGCACATGTTTGTGTTTCTGTCCATTCACCGGAAAAGTATCGAGGAACGTTAAAGCTACTTGAGTAGGTCATGAATAATGTACATTTATTCTTGGTTGCACGGTATTCCCAACGTGGATGATGATAGGCTGGTGTCGGGCCATTCCTATCAGAGAAGGCACATTATGCTGAATACTTGCAGCTAAACTGGCAGTACCACAAGGCTGGATGTGGTTCGATGGAAGCCCAGTGTCATGGGATCCCTGCTTCAAACTGGGTCTGGTTCTCAGCTGAGCTTCCAGGTCGCAGATAGCCAAGATAGCCACAATGAGCACGGTGCTGCGATCGTGCAGATGTGTGCAAAATGGTACACAAATATCCGATAGAATTGTACAATCGGGGGTTTGGAAGGTCTGCATGATGAAATGCCGTGGGCTTGTAGACGTTGACTGGGCGATAGTCATAGATCGTTGTCGAATTCATCTTGTGGATAATTGATTCACTTTAGGGTCACAGCAACCTCGACCATCTTGATCCAACGTGTTCGACTCTCCGGTAATTCGTCCTCACTCTCCGCAGGATCATCTTGGTGCTTTCTCTTCGTCGCAGTCGACTGTGACTCTGTCTTGGAAGGATCGGTGCTGGGACCAGATTGGCTCTGCTTCTCTGACTGCTGTTGTTTTTGTTGCTCTTTCTGTTTCTTCTCTTCGTCCTCAACGACATCATCCACGACAAGTACGCTTCCTGTCTTGATGCGCACCACGTACTGTGTGGCCTTTTCCTCGAACCATTTGCCAACATTCAATGCCTTCTCAATCGCGCGTCCGGTTGCCTTGACGAATACCTCCTCTCGCTTCTCTGACACCTTGGACAGTTCCTCAAGGATCTGCTGTTCGCTCTTGCGTGTGTTTTCAAGGCTTATGTTGGCAGTAGCACGCTTCTCGGCTTGTATGAGCAGTTTCTGTACGCGCTTTACAGCGCTCATGAACGGGGTACTACTGGAGACGTAGACAACTTTGGGCACTGAGGCGCCTGCATAGGGAGACGCGACTGGCGCATGTGGTATAGGGCGTTTCTCAACCTTGGCATCTGTGTCCAGCGTTAGCGTTGCTAGTCGTTGTGCCTATCATAGGTTTGTCGCGAGTATATCTGATAGGCGGTTAGGCGGAAGAGAGCTCACATTTGGGAAGCTTGACGAGGTCTGTGTTCTTCTTCTCAAATTTGAGCTTCCGCTCCAAAGGACCCTTGCCCATTTTTGTAATGCTCTTGACGTGTATGCGAAGTTGCGGAGAGCACCTGGGCAATCGGAGTTGCTTATCGTCTGCCTTTTTCTGCCGGGCGGTACTGATCCGTATCTATCGATTATGTCATCTTGCTACTCTGTATATGGTCACATGATTGGCTGTAGCCCTGGACGTGGACCCACGACAACATTGAATCGAAAGGATATAGATGAATGTAGCAGAACTATAACATACTATCGCTGAAACTCTAATGTATACCTTGCTCCATCTGACTCGTGGTGCGCCGTTGTAATTCCATAGCTTGGCCATCAATTTCTTGTCTTGAGGAACCCCTCAGATGAGCAAGACTTGTTCTGATCAGTCGAAGTACACTTTGCATAGATCCCACGACCATTTTTACCGCCCGCACAGGATGCAGTATCGCGTATACTGGGAGTACTGGGAGTACAAAGACCATCATGATATACAACGACCAGGGTTTTTGTAACACAGCGAGTGGTATAGCAGAAACAACGACTCGGTATCCTCTCCAAAGTACGCGACCAAATGATATAATCGCAAATTGTAAAGGTATTGCCAAGAGAAGAAAAACTGCGGTAGCCAATGCAGCGGCCTGATCCAAATCAAGAATGCTAGCAGAACTTTTTGGAATCGGCGGTCCAGCGTGGAGAGTCCAAGGAATTTTGGGTATCTGTAGGAATCTCCGTCCGCTTGAAAGAAGCGCCAATGCTTGTAGTAAAGTGCACAGGAAAACCGTCCCTTGCCGGAGCTCTGATACCGATTGCGCTGGTCCTAATCTGAGCCAGGTAAACCTTCGAGCAATCCATGACCTTGTAGGTTCCACTTCCAAAACCACCAAAAAAGGCATTCGGTAACACAAAAGTCCTAGGAGTCCAGAGAATTGGGCAGTGCCTAATATACTCGCTATACCCAGCCCATCTTCGACAAAATATCCTCGACACAGCATGACAAACCAAGCATGAAGATAGACTACCATCCAAATGGAGGACCGTAGCGAAGTTCTGGATTTTCGAGAAGATTCAGGCTTTCTGGGATGCGATGATAACAAGGCCAAAGTTGATGCTCCGTAGGCAACTTGTGCCACACAGGAAGCGGCATCATCTTCTGGTCTCCATGTCTTGGATTTGCACCTGCCATGTTCAATGAGACACACCCAGCAAGATACCAGGGCATACAAGGCCGCTGCCCATGTATTAGCATCCATTTTGCGTGGTATTTCTGCCTCTGAAGCTTTATACTGGTACATCCAAAATTGAACGCGATTGCGAAATTCCTTGAGGTAGTGAATGAAGTCTGTCTCATTCAGCTCGAACCAGGAACAGGTTGCTCTCAGATTCCGCGGTAATTCATATGTTCTTTCCATCCGGTACTGAACACGAGGACTCTTTGACGTGCTGTAGCGCATGAGGCCCAGATATGTTGTTCTTTCCGTGATGAACAAGGGTAGAGAGTCCATGACGTGATCAGCACACTCCGCTTGCAGCAGAAAGTTGTCCGAGTGTTTATCAAAATTATACCCAAAGAAAAACGACTGGTTATTCAGACGCAGCTGTGAAAGCCAAAGGTTCAGTTCTAAAAATTGTCCCACAAGCTCTGGAGACCGCTGCATGTCGTCGGTTAACGCGTTTTGCATGACTTTCTTCAGGAATTGTCGAATACAATCCATTTTATCCTTTTCCAGCACGTCATCTTGTCCGGAATCATTATTGCTGACATCGGTGGTGCTTTCGCCTGGCTTCTTCTCAGCTGGCAGAGGGGGCAGCTCAGAAGCATTGTCAAATGATAACGGATATTCCCAGGGCTCTTTCCAGATGACTCGCATCAAGTGCAGACCCTCGTTAGGGCAGAAGCCAGTAAGCAAGCTAATCACCCACGCCCAAAAGGCACCCGGCCCAAAGAAGCCGGAGACATTGGAGTAATCGAAGCTGATAGGCTTAAGATGGAGAGCGAATGTGTAAGTCATCACTACGGCAGAGCCGATGAGAATCGAGAATTGATAGGGCCATATTGATGGAATGGATTGCCAGTGCGATCGGATTGAACGAAGGGTTGAACGAAGGAACAGTATGATTTTCCCAAACATGGTGTACCTGAGGAGTCATTGGAAATTTTTGATTTCATCTCAAAAGAGACTCGAATGGATTCAAGTTGTGGCGCAGCAGTATCTATGCACAGCCATGATGTGACGTGTTCATGCATGAAGTTTCACCTGGGTTCACGGGACAAATTGGTCCGTGATGAGGTTGCGTTTGCGAACTTGCATTTTGGCCCCCATTGGTGCCTTGATGCCTGGTCCTCGGGCCTGAATAGCTTCGTCCAAGGGTAAATCTTGAATACTTTAATCTATAAAGTCGCTGTGGTGTTATTCAAGTATCTTAGTTGCTGTCCAGTCTATCGTCACTTGGAATCTCAGAATATTCAGCCCTCAGCAATGATAAATTTGAAAGAAACCAATCACATCAGTGGTCCAAGCATTGACAATGCATCTCGGGCGTACTGTTCACGTTCAGCAAGATTAGATCCTGTCGGTATTTCGACTCCTTCCTCGATCGGTAATGCGTGATGTAAAAGAAATTTGACAATCCATCTGTCCGCTGTGTATATACTGTCCATGGACTGCATGCACGCCTTTTGGAATGTAAACAAACGGCTCATCTAGTAATGTTAAATCAAAGGTTCGTGAAAGGCCCGAGTACGGATTGGTACTTACCATAAGCTCCACTCCAGACCAATATTGCTTCAGCTTCAACAGTAACTCGAAATTGAAGCATAATCGTTTTCGTGTATTCTGTAGTTCATCTTGACTTCCAAACAACAATGTGTGTAGCAATGCAGAGGAAGACACAACGGTCATGTGAGCAACGATCAGATAAACCACTTCGCACTCTTCAATTTCCTCAGAGATACTCAGTATATCACTAAATGAAGCTGCGTGGTGTTTGCAGCGAGCGACGAACAATGTGCCATTTGCTGTCTTGCCAAGCTGGATATCGAGGTACTGGAAGTAAAGCAGAGTAGCATAGTGGTGATACCCCAGATGAAGAGCCACAAATCCCCGACCAAGACCTGCGGCGGCGTGGGACCTGAGGTTCTCTCTTGTAAAATGTAGATCCGACGGAAGCTCTTCCAAGAATCTGTCAAGCTGACCAGCTAACTCTCTGGTGATATCTTCCACCTGGCTCTCATTCAACTCTCCATTGGCGAGCTTGACGTGGAGATCCTGGACTTGGCTAAATATGCGCGCAAGCATGACCATATAGCCCCAAAGGCCTATCCCGAATCGAGTATCACTTTCGACTTTCTGTCCTGCTTCAAGGTCCCAGAATCTTCTCTCGCTCATCGGAAGTCGATTGCACCCTTTGTCATGTATCTGACGGGGTAGGTTGAGACCGGCTGATGACCAAGTGTCGATCATATATAAGGACCACCATGTTCGTACCTTGATCTCTTGGGTTATGGCATCATCGGTAGGATCAGGTTTTGGTAGATGAAGAACGTGTGCCATCCGAAATGCAATCCCTTGATGTCGCCAGAGTGAGCTGAGCAAGTGAATAATCAATGAGAGCCCTTACCAAAAAACAAAGCTTCTCCTGCAGTCTCCCCTTCAGCCCCACATAGATTTCCAACTAAAATACTTGCATGAATTGTATCGAGATTGACATTCTCAATTTCCATTTTCAATGAGAGCTTGGCAAGCTGAAATAACTCTTTGGCCTGTTTTCGCACTTCCTGGTTATCGGAAAATCTAGCACATAGTCTCAAGTCAGCCTCATGAAGTTCGCATCCATGGATATATCACACTGCCATCCGGCCAGAACTTAGGGACCGCTTACCTGGCAGCTAAAGCCATGATGCTATAAATTACCGCCTTGGGTAATTCTCCATTTTGACATCGCCTTCTCATCGACTCTGGGTGAAATAAAGTGTGCGGTTTGTCATGAATCAGGGTCAAGTAGAGGTCAACCAATTCGACTTCCAGTTGGGGATTGAAAACCGCTATCGTAGTTCGAAGACATGATGCCGGTGAAGAAACAATTGATTTCTCCCTTGGCGCACACGGAAGAAGGTCTGGTGGTCGTTGTAGAGATCTTTTGAAAGAACAGTGTTTCTTCAGTTTCAAGCAGTGCTGACAGGGAAGACCTGGGTGCTCCACCGTACACTTTCGCTTGCTAGTCCTACATTGAATGCAAGATGTCGAAATCTTCATGCTGAGATCGATGCACAATGTCTACTTCCAAACTTTAGAAGATATGTTTCAGTAGCCCGAACGGGAAGTGAGGGGTATCACGTGAATAGGACTGGTAGTCTTTATGAAACTGAGTATATATCACTGATCAAGTGCTAATGAGTATTTAAATAGCCATTCTTTCTCCAGCATTGGCTTGATAGATTCAAAATTACTTTACGTTTGTTTGTCTTCGTGATATCTCCAGGGCTGACTCACAATCACTACAAGGTTTTTGGGATATTCACTTGTACTTGACTATCATTGATCCAAACAATCTTCTATGCCTAGGTAGCTCGACCTTCATTCGCAATTTTGATCTCCTGTTGAGCTCGACCATTGCTTGCCACATTAGCACTCTCACCATCGAATAATGCAGCAATCTCCTCGAGTGTCGGACCCTTCGTTTCCACAAAGAGAAACCAGATACAGGTACATTCAACAACAAGAATGGCAATATACACAAAGTAGAACCGCCACTGCAAAGCTTCTAGACCAATCGGGTTGACATATTGATTGAACACAGAAGACGCAGCAGTCAAAGTCATCCCAATGGCTATACCTTTTGCACGAATATTGAAAGGAAGAATCTCAGCCGGGTAGGCGACAGTGAGACCGGGCCAGGCGAACCCGGCAACACCATAGAAGAGGAAGATCATGGCAATGACGGCAGAGCCAGCACCAGAGTTCCCGGTCTGGGCATAGACCGCAGAGCATCTGCTCTCATTAGCTTTGATGCCAGTACCGATAGGTGCAATGATATTCTTACCCTGTCCAGATTGCAAAGCTGATCAACATTCCAACACCAGCGATCATGAATAAGGGCCGCCGGCCGAGGACGTCCACAAGGAAAGCAGAAAATCCAACTGCAACCAGCAAGGACCAGATCTGTAAAGCCCCGTTTATCATAGATTGGTCGTAAGAAGATGTAATACCGACTGATTTGAGGATTTCGTGAAGATAGTATGAGACCAGTCCATTACCAGAGCATTGCGAGAAGAAAGAGACCAATGCAATGAGGAGAAGACGCTTCCGATTTCCGGGAGTCTGTATCAGAACCTGCCATCCATCATTTGAGTTGATTTTCTCAAGAAGGATTGTTTGCTGGATCTCGTGGAACTCGAATGCACAGAAAGCATCATCTCTGTTACCAGCCCCATGATACTTGAGTCTGTATTAGCGTGTATTTTTCAAACAAGAGGCCGGTGATATACCTTGATTAATACATCGAAAGCTTCATCTGGTCGATCCTTTGCACAGAGCCAGCGGGGACTCTCTGGGAGGAACCATATTCCAATGACTTGAATGAGTGGCATGGCTGCCTGCATACCCACTGGAATTCTCCATGATGCCTCAGAGGTATACTTTATCGTTCCAAACACTGTCCAAGCAGCGATGATTGACCCGAGATACCAAAGTGTGTTGTACATCGTAGTCAGCTTTCCACGATGCTGAGGGTAGGCAAGCTCGGTAATGAGTAGAGGAGCAGACCCCTGGCTCACATTGGATCTTTAAAGAGATGATCAGTCACTATCTTCAGAAATTCAGGGAATATGTACCGACCCTAAGCCAACAAGAAATCGACCTGCCAGAAACATGTTGGAGTTGACAGAAGGAACGACTTGAATGATTGTCCCAACGAACAAGACCAGTAATCCGATGGTCACGCCAGCTCTTCGTCCAAGGGAATCGGCGATATAGGAAGCTGTGAGGTATACTGTTAGACTGAATCTTTCTGCAAAACCTGGCTTGGCAACGCACAGAAAAGTAATGCACAGACGCCACCAATGTTCTGAATTGCCGTGAAAAGCCCAAGTGTAGAACCAGTTGGATTGTTGAAGTCTATAAGCCATCAGTACTCAAATATGAAATCAATTGAAGATACTGACAATCCTGCCAGGGAGTCATGGTCTGTAGCCCATTCAAAAGAGACCCATCGTATCCGTTGATTGTCGATCCAAGAAACAAGATAGGCATCATCGGGTAAAGCTTCCGCAAACCTCGATGTTTCCACCAAGTAACTTGAGGAACGTCCATCGGAGCAGGTTCAGCAGATACAAACTCCGAGTGAGCTGTACTGGTTCCTCCAACCTCCATATCTTTCAAGGCCCCCATATCGTGATCTGTCGATGTCCCGAGCAATGCGTCTTGGAATTGGAATATACACACAGAAAGCCATTCTCATCATGGGCAATTCCTGGCTTTTATATACCGCGGCAACGACATCACCCGACACCTTCCAATGCTTCAAAGAACCAGATATAGTTTGTATAACCCCGGATTTCTACCTGATCAGGAAAGGCGGCTGTGGAGAAGCGCCACGCTTAAAAGTGCGGGATTTCAGCCAATGACCAGCCGTGATTCCCGCAACACATCCCACCCCGGATCACCACGCAGCCTTCCCAACTGCGGGGGTATCGGAGTATAGCACATGATGTTGCGGCGTATCAGTCCAATCATCCAGCATCAATGCCGCGCAACGGCTGTTGTCCGGCCTGTGTCCGGCCGATCTTCGGGAAGAACATCAGAGGACTCGCATGTAGCTCTTGTACCATGATGTGGCCCAACGAGGTTGATGAGGGGTAGAAGGATGCTCGGGGTATAAGAAGGTACCTTGAGCATGGGTTAGACTCAATTCATTTAGGACATTCCTTCCCCTGGGTATTACACTATGCACGTTTCTTCGCAAATTCCACATCTTCGGAAGACGGAGACTGGCCAGCAACTTGTTGTTAATGGCCGGCCCTTTCTTTCGCTAGCTGCTGAGTTGCAGAACTCTTCTCTTACCTCTGCTGAGTATATGGATACTGCTTGGCAGAAGCTTGTTGATACCAACATCAACACGGTTTTGGGATGTGTCACCTGGGAAGATATCGAGCCGATTGAAGGCCACTTCAACTTTTCTGAATTGGATAAGGTCATTCTAGGAGCACGGAAGCATGGGCTGCATCTGGTGCTGTTGTGGTTTGGGTCCTTCAAGAATGGTATGTAGCTCTTCAAACAGCTGAAGCTTGTCTTCTGCTCAGAGATCAAACCACTAACACTCTTGTCTTCAGGCATATCGACTTACGTGCCACCATGGGTCAAGACAAACACCAAGCGATTCCCTCGGGCCAAACTACGCAAGGCCGGGGGTATACTGCAAACCGGTGATCTGCTGTCAATCTTCCACGAGGAAGGATGTCAAGCTGACGCCAAAGCCTTCTCCACACTGATGAGCCACATCAAGGACCTCGATGAAGCTCACTCCACCGTCATCATGGTGCAAGTTGAGAACGAGACAGGATTGCTGGGTGATTCCCGGGATGGATCAGCCTCGGCCGAGGCCCGCTTCAACGATGCTGTGCCCGAGGACCTGATACACTTCCTGGCCCAAGACTGGGAAGCCCTTCATGTGGATCTGCAGTCAAACCTCAACCATTTCAAGACACAGGATAGTCCCCGCGGGACTTGGGAGCAGGTTTTCGGCAAGAGTCCCCACACAGACGAGCTGTTCATGGCCTATCACTACGCTCGCTACGTGAACACGGTCGCTACAGCAGGCAAGAAAGCGTACCCTCTTCCACTGTACACCAACGTCTGGCAGAACTATGTCGGCGAAGACGGCGACAATGACTTCCCCGTTGTCGTCGGGGGCGGCGGAGCACCGGGCGATTATCCCTCCGGGGGCGGCACAAGCAACGTGCTAGACGTGTGGCAGCGATTCGCACCCTCGCTGGACTTCATCGCGCCAGACGTCTACCTGAACGATTATGCCAGTTCGTGTCGCAAATACCGCCACCGCAATCAGGCACTGTTCATCCCCGAGCAGCGACGCGACGAGTACGGCGCGAGACGTATATGGACCGCGTATGGTTCATACCAGGCGATCGGAGTCTCGCCCTTTGGAATTGACACGTTAGAACCCAGCACGAATCCATTCACACGTCATTACGGGCTGCTGGATTCTGTTTCGCAGATTGTGCTGGACGCACAGACGCGCCCGGACGCATCGGTCGGGTTCTTCTTCGATGAGTTGACTGATGGAATTGACTCGTGCAAACCCGTGGTCAAACATTGGGGTGGGTATGAGATCACTATTGAGCGGTGCTTTGTGTTTGGCAAGGCCGGACCGGGCGCAGGCATGGTAATTCACCTCGGTGGACCGAAGTTCCTATTGATCGGATGGGGGTTCCAGGTCCGAGCGCGTTCTCTATCCCCTAGCAGCACATTCACCGGGTTCCTGCGGTTTGAGGAGCAGACGGTGAGCAACAAGGAAAGTGGTGAGTTGCGGACATTGCGGGTGTTGAACGGGGATGAGACGCGCAGTGGGATCTTCGCTATGATGCCAAATGAGGATCCGGACTACGGTGGTTTCCCGATTTGTGTGACTATCCCTGCACGTACCATGATTGCTCAATTGGAGGTTTACTCCTTTGAAGAGGCTGACGATGTGTAAAAGGGGCAATTGTCGTTTTGAGATTTGGTAGGTCTGGGATTAATTACGTTGGACGTGTCGATCTGACAATGAAAATGACATGAATGAGATACTCATGTACGATATTCGTCGACTATGGGGAGACCCCATGGTCCAACAGTTCCTGCTACGAGTAGTTAGTCCGAGAGAGCGTGCCCGGCGTTCACCCGAGTAGCCGGTCGTTGGTAGATAGTAATCTTGGAAAAGGACCCGTGTCTTTGATGATGAAATGATCGCCAAGATTCAGGCACTCAGGATGTTTTTCCCCAGGGGTTGATTGGCGAAGCAAACAAAGATATCGACGATCACTGCATCTGGACTCGGGGATCAATCCCTCGAGCTGGACGCCGATCGAAGTGGATGGAGACGATACCCTTTTGGGAAGGTCAAGGGACCCGGAAGTTGGGCGACATGTCGATCGCACATGAAAGAAGTCGTACTTTACCTGTAGACGGAGTAGTACGCATAGGTGCATATCATGAAGACAATGACAGGTCAACAGGCAACCGTAGGGAACTTTACGAGTCGAAAGGCCTCAGGCAACAGAACAGGCATCAGGTGACCGATTATGGCTGTTTATTGTTCTTTTTACTGCGGACTACATACCCCCATGCTTTCAAAACGTCCTCTACTTTTTGGTCAACGGCTGTTTGCCCTTACTGAGTTTGCGCCCGTGGGATGTACGAGTCCTCCGTACTTTGTGCTCAATTTTGGCCTGTGACATATCTCCTGCACCAGCATAACGGTGGTTTCACCGGGGCGTTGCGTATTACTCCACACGATCGAAGCGAGACCCTCTCTGTAATTGGGTCTAAGAATACTTTATGCTGGATAGATTAATGTCAAACTGGATAATTGACTCCTCAAAATAGACAGGTTCGTGGCAATGTTCGACATACACATCGTGGACCTCGGGAGGCGAACCACAAGTACGTGGCCACAACTGAGCCACAATGAAAACTCAGATGCATGGCATGGAGTACGGAGTACTCCGTGCTCCTACTCTGTACAAGACAAGCTGAATGCAATGTATGAGTACTCCATAGCTGAGGTAGATCTCTACTCGTAGTACTCGTACTCGTAGCAAGGGGTTTCAGTATTTTCCGTACTCCGGAACTCACATACGAGTAAACTCCTATTTGGACTGACAAAGAAAAGAATCTGACAGGCTCTAGGCTGAACGGCCACCTTTCCGGGTCTAAAAATTAGTTCCGCGTGCGCTACTCCCTTTAGAGGCAAGTAGGGCATGCAAGGTCCTAAGCCGGAAAGGTACGGAGCGAGACTGTTTTACAACCTACTAGAAGAGGCAAAGCGTTATGCAGAGTGAAGCGTAGGACAGTGGAGATGTCCGGAATCACGGGAAACCAACGGCTGTCGCCTCTGTCACATACCAATGGAAATGCACAGAAATGAAGCTAATGACATGGCCTTCCACCGGGTCGGTACAGGTGGAGATGGGCTTAAAAAGTAGAATCTCTTATTTTCTTTTTCTGTATTGAGTACGGCTATATTATTATATTATTATATTTATTTTGCGCAAAGAAAAGGAAGAAAAGCGATTAATTTGCGACTCCACAGTTCGATTCCGGGCCAGACTCGACCATCTTGTCGCGCCTTTTAGTATGGGGCATTTCCCCCTCCACGGCACGATTCTTAACTTTCATTACTCTTGAACTCCTCCTCCTCTCCTCCTCTCCTCCTCAACTCTCCTTTTTCTACACATTCGCTCAAGGGTCTAAGACCTGTCTCACGTTTCACTCGGAAGCTACTTGGGCTCTTCCGCTCCTTTTTGCATACATCAGATCTGGCGTGCAGGAGATCGTAACGATCCTCCGTCGTGATTGGACCCCTCGTTCCCAAGGGATATCTCCGGGAAACGCACTCGCCAGCCGCGAAAGCTTTATTTTCTTTGTTCTGCGCTGTCTCAGCTCAGGTTTCGGTTCAGCCAACCGCGCGCCTCTCCCTCTATTGCTTCCTCGGAGCTCCTGTGCCCGCTTTGGACCTGTCCCAGCCGTCCACTCTCGACCTCACTACCCCATAACTACCAGGTCGCTCTGCTCTTTAATCTTCCATCTGTTGTACTCTGTACTCTGTACATTCCACTCTCTCTTACTTTCTCCACTTTCTCCCCTCTCACTTCCCCACAACCTATAGCATGTCTCAAGACCCCCACCATCAAATGCTCGATACGCCTGATGGCTCAGCATTGACGTGGATCTTTGACCATTGCTTGCGCTACTCGGACAGTTATGATATCTCGCTCCGTGCGGCATATGAATTGAACTGCCAGTCCACCAAAAATATGGCCTCCTCGGGTGCTTCCACAAGCAGTCATTCTCGTTCCCCCTCGGTCTTCTCGCGCAACTCCACCCTCTCGAAGAATTCCAGCTCATCTCGTACCTCCTCCGGTTCATCCTATGAGACCAATCCTTGGGATACCAACGCCGAATTCCGTGCCTGTTTGACCCGAACTGTGTCCGAGATGCCTTCCCAGCCGTGCGCCCTCCCCCCGACCTTTATAGCTTCTTTTGTTCGCCGCGTTTTCACTAAAGAGCTGCGCTATGTCACCTTCTCTCAGGCCTTGTGTTCTCTGGATTATCTGAAGGGCCTTCAGGGTCGCTGGAAGAAGGAAGTCGATGGTGCCTTCCGCCGAATCAATGTGAACCCGCAGGATGTCATCGATCCTCAGAACTCGGAGGTCACTCGCAACTTTCCGGGCGTCATGGTCTGGTATAAGGATATCAGCCAAAAGGCTCGTGTGATTGATATGCTGTATACCCAAGTTTACGTTGGCTTGCGCCGCTGGATTATCCTCAACGAGATGATGCTTACGCCTTACAACAAAGCCAACTGCATTGCTCTTCTCAACACACTGTTCCCCCCTGTCCGCTACGACTCTCTTCCTCCAACTCAGCACTTGAGCCACAAGCACCTGGAGAACCACCGCGAGTCGTTTTTCAAGTTTATCACCTTATTTGATACCAAGCCCGAGATCCTGGAGCCAGTTATGACTCAGGGCGCCCGGCCCGGCGATGCGACCTCCTGGCCTGCTCTCCGCGATGCTTTCGACCGCTACGTGGGGATGGTCATGGAGATGATCGACGAGTGTGCGCTGGTCAACGAACCCGCTCAGCTCACAAAGTCTGGCCACTCCCGCCGCACCGACTCGGGTATCAGCTTTGAACCTCAACCTACCTTGTGCCTCGCTACACTGTCCCGCTCTCCCCCGTCTCGACCCACGACCTCTCATTCGTCGGGTCAAGCCTCGGATATCGAGAAGCCCCTTCCCGAATTCCCCGCTCCCACCGATGGCGCCAGCAAGCATGGCTCCATCCTGGAGCGACTCGCCTTCTCTGTCTCAACATGGGGCAAGAAGGACGGTAAGAAGGCGCGCAGCTTGAGAAAAATGCAATCTTGCAAGGAGCTCAAGGACAGCTCAGAAAAGCACAACGTTCCCGACTTTTCCAAGATGAAGTTCGACCTGACCGATGAGAAGCGCCGTCGTTTGATTGACGAGGCCCTGGCCCGCAAGGCTACCGAGGCGAAGGCTGCCGAAACGCGGCCTATCGGCCTGGCCATTTAAGTTTTCCCAAAGTTTCATCTCTGCTTCACCAATACCCAAAACGAAACCGAAACCCATTCCCAACAATACGACCGAAGCAGACTCCTCACTTTCTTCCCTGTATCCTTTTCATCCGACATACCCATACTTATCCCTCGCTTTCATCCCACCTGGCCGCAGACGCCCCACCTGCGAGCCCGATTTCCCAACCGAGCTTTCGCTCCCGAATCTACCAATTCAACACCCGTGCCTCCCTCCATGGAGCCAGCCGGCCTGCATATGTGATTTGACTTGTTTGCTTTGCAACAAGTGGCGTTCAAAAATAAGGAAGCATATGGGGGTGTTCATTTACGACTAATGTGCTCATGAAAGCGTCCACTCAGCTGGATCTGACAACAAAATATTTTTTATCGTTTTATCATTATCATTATCCCATGGCGAGATCCCCATTTTTATCGAGATGATCATTATATGTTTTACAGAGATCATCATTATCTTTTACCAAGATCATCATCATTATCTTCTTATCGAGATCGTCAGGAATACATTTTTATCCATTATCACACCAGGTCTTTTGTAGATGTACCCCATCCTACTTAGTAGGTATCCCCGTCGATAGCCACATCAACTCCGTAGGAAGGTCATCGGCTGCCAGTCGTCGCTGTGGTATGCGAATAATGGATACACGGATCCCATACTGCCCGGTAAACACAGGTGGTTCATGGCATGCATCGGCTCGTAGGCTCAGCCTTGTGGACCTCAACGAATGCCCCTTGTGGAGGAGAACGATGTATATGCGTGTGATGCAGAATGACCTGTTAGATATGACGTACTATTATACAGCCAGTTACTTGAGTACTCCTTACTCCGTATAGTACTCGATTATCTTCCTCCACGCGACCGCAGACCACAGTTTGGAACAAATAAATAGGGAATGGAACACTGGCTCCAAGAAATGAGCACCCAAGTGTTTCAATTTTGATTCGGTCGCTGCACCTATGTGTGTGGTAATCGCCGTGGCATTGATTGCAGGAGTCATACTGATAAGTGATGTCGGGGAACAATGGTTGCATTCCCCACCTGCGCAGCAGCTGGCGGTCCTTTGTACAATAACAAATTGCCTCTAAACCATTCCCCTGGGATCTCCAGGTCACTGACAGCTTGCCATAAGCTTTGGTAAGAGAATCCGGAGTCTCTACTCCAATATCATGGTCTGCGAGCTTCCTCTCAGGATCTCACCAAACAAATATTCAGCAAGAAAGCGATATTTCGCACCAATATGCAGGTCCATGCTATTCCAGAGTGTCTGTTTCAAATGAAAACATGCAGAATTCTTACACAATACCAAACTAACAGATTAGAATACCCATCATGACCATCGCTCTTTAGGATTTAGGGCTTTTTTACGGAGGATGTTGATGTCCGGGCGAAATGCAGTAGTTGCCGCTTGGCTTGCCGTAGCAGCTACGATAAGGAGAAGCGATAAGGGAACGCTCCAAGTGTCCAGATCAGCCGATTCAGCCTCAATCCCACTACGTTCTTTATTGAGAAAGCTCTGGCTAATCTGGCCCGTGATGATTGCCACTGATTCAACCTAGATATCAACTAACTGAAACCCTAAGACTGACCAGCTCACCTCACAACACGGGGCTATTCCCCACACCAAACAACAAAGAGGCTCGACTGCTGCCCATTGCATTGCCTAACAATGACGCTGTCTATGGGATCTCGCACTCCTTGGCGGTGGTATGCGACCCTTGTGGCTCTGTTACCAGGCTGTATTGTGAATGCTAGCCCATCTGTGAATGTGGCGCTCAAGGCCTCCTTTGACTCGGCACCTTATCTTGTTGAGCTCTTGTAAGTTGCACAGTGGATGATGCACGGACCTGTCTATTTGATGGTAATTGATTCAATCTAGGGAATCTGCTGCCGAAGAGAACTCTACCTCCTACTTCCCATTGCTGGATCGCGTTGCCGAGGGTGTGTTCGAAGACCTTACCACCGAAAAGGAACTATACGACCGCTTCTTGACGGTTGTCCAGGATGATGGCCATCTACAGAGTCCCGAGAGCCTGTCATCGCTTAAACTCTCGCTCTCGCTCCGGTCTTCAGCTCCTCGGATCGAAGCTCACTACCAATTCTATAACACGTCTGTTCAGCAATCTTTGATGGTTGCTCAAGATGCCGTGTGTCCTGTCTGGGTCCACTTGGACGACAAACAGTACTGCTCGTCCGCAATGGAGCGCGCACAACAGGATGTTCAGGGAGAACTGTAGGCATTCCGATGAGCTCTTCATGTGCGTTAAACTGACATCACTCAGGGACCCTAGAGAGCTACCCTTTGACCGTGTATTGGGCGATGTGTCGCTCCCGCCGGCCGTTTTATACGCGGACATAGCATCTCCAACATTTAGAGAATTCCACGAGACCCTGAGCCACATGGCTCAGCAGGGACAGATCTCATATCGTGTGCGATACCGCCCTCCACAACATTGGATTTCTCGTCCCTTGTTTATGTCCGGGTATGGAGTTGAACTCGCTTTAAAAAGGACGGACTATATTGTTATCGATGACCGTGACGCCGAGAAGCTTGAAGAACAAGGCTCCAAGGGCCCTACCAATCCCGAAGAGCTGAAGGGTGAAGCTCCCGATGACCTACGGCCTCTTTCTGCATCGGAAGTGAATCGTCTGGGCTTGAAATCTGCAGCCTACGTAATGGACAGCACTAATCCTCTGGAAACATTGATCAAGATGTCTCAGAATTTCCCGAAATATTCTTCCATTGTGGCTTCTCATGACCACTCGGGTGAGCTTGCCCAAGAAATCCGGCACAACCGGGTGAAAATGCTCCCGGGAGGCTACAACGCTATGTGGATCAATGGTGTTCAGATGGATACACAGCAGATTGATGCCTTCGCTCTACTCGAGCATCTCCGCCGCGAGAGGAAATTGATTGAAAAGTTCCGCAGTCTTGGACTATCAGCTGATGATGCCGTGAAATTGCTGTCTCATCGCCTCCTCACCGAGGCCCAGGCTGATGATGATCAGCAACGGTATGACTTCCGGGATAATCTGGAAGACAACCAGGCCATCATCTGGCTGAATGATTTGGAAAAGGAATCCAGATACGAGAATTGGCCCAGTGACCTTCAATCTTACCTTTCCAGTAATCCTGGACAATTGCCTCCAGTGAGACGAGACCTGCACAATGTCATCCTGCCCCTGGATCTGTCTAGCCCAGAGGAAATGATGCTTATTGCCGGCAACATCCAAACGTTCATCAAGCGGGGTATACCTGTGAGGTTTGGGTTGGTGCCTACCAGCTCATCTCCCGAGTCCATTGCACAGCTGAAAGTGGCCCATTATCTCTTCCATGCCTATGGCCTGGAGTCCCTCACCCACTACTTTGAACAATTCGCTTCACAAGGAAAGCGTGGACTTCCAGATAAAGCATCTTTCCAATCCGCAACAAATGACCGTGCCATTGCCGATGGTTTCGAATCGATGTCTTTGGATCAGCTTCTGAAGAGCGAGAAATACAATGCTCAAGTGCCACATACAGATGCCTACCATCGCCGGTTGAGCCTCAGTGGTGGTTCACCTCAACTGTTGGTGAACGGTATCACTGTTCCCCGTGAGGGCAACTGGATGCAGGGACTGAGCATGCAGATCAGCAGAGATCTGAAACTTATTCAGCAGAGCATTTTTGAGGGCATTCTCGAAGAAGACGCCTGGCTTCCAGAGTTCTTCCTAGCTGGTGCATTGGAGAGACGTAACACATTCCTCATGCCCGAAGATCCTAAGAGTGTTCAGTTCGTGGATATTGCAACCGTACTTTCAAACGAAGATGCCTTGAACAAGATTCCTCGCGTTGCCTCGGATCGAAGTGCCACAGAGACCACTCACATGGTCGTTGTGGCTGATCTTGAGTCGGAGGAGGGATTGAAATTACTCACAGAAGCTGTGGCTCTTCGAAAGGAGCGAGATGACATTGAATTCCTTGTACTGCACAATGCAGGTCTAGATGTTGACACCGCCTCTAAGAGACTGATCGCACTCTCTAACGCCCTCGCAAAGGGTGCCAATCTGGATGAGGTCTTATCTCAGGTCACCGCATCTGATTCCGAGACCTACGACGGGGCCGAAGAGCAATTTACTCTGCACCAACGCCTCTCCAAGGAGCTTGGGTTGGAGCCTGGCACAGAATCTCTCATTGTCAATGGAAGGCTTGTGGGCCCTATCGAAAAGACGGATGGACTCAGCGTCAACGAATTGGGCCAATTGATTGATTATGAGCGGTCCAAACGCCTCGAGGTCATCGCACAGGCTGTCATCCAACTCGGGTTTGATACTAAGGTGTCAAGCTCACTCGATTTTGCCAAGTTGACCTCGCTCGTTGCTCTTTCTACAATTTCAGACATCCCCGAGGGTATGTTTGAAAATACTCCTGATTTCAGAATGGATGTGTCCGAAAAGTGGAGGACTGAGCTCTCCGTCATCACTGTTTCTAACTCGAATGACCCCGCCATCAACATTGCTGTTTCCCTTGATCCGGCGTCCGAGGTCGCCCAGCGATGGCTCCCAATCCTCAAGGTTCTTTCAGAACTTTCTGGCGTTCAATTGAAGATCTTTTTGAATCCAAAGGAAGAGCTGAAGGAACTTCCTGTCAAGCGATTCTACCGCTATGTGTTGGAGTCAGAGCCACTATTCACTGACGAAGGTGCTCTGGCTCGTCCTCAAGCCTCCTTCACTGGCGTGCCAGTCGAGGCGTTGTTGACCTTGGCCATGGATGTCCCTTCGTCTTGGCTTGTAGCACCGGAGGAGTCTGTACATGACCTGGACAACATCAAACTGAGCTCGGTCAAGAACGGCGGAAATGTCGATGCTATCTATGCACTGGAGCATATCCTCATTGAGGGCCACTCTCGTGACCTCACAACAAAGACCCCACCAAGAGGAGTGCAACTCACTCTAGGCACAGAGACCAACCCCAATTTCGCAGACACTATCATCATGGCTAATCTGGGATACTTCCAGTTCAAGGCGCAACCCGGCTTATGGCAGATCAATTTGAAGCCTGGTCGCAGTGAGAAGCTCTTCAAGATTGATAGCGTGGGCGCTCTGGGATACCGGCCCCAAGCTGGAGACCAGAACAACGAGGTTGCTTTGCTATCTTTCCATGGCCGAACTTTGTTCCCGCGCCTCTCGCGCAAGCCAGGCCACGAGGAAGATGATGTTTTGGAGACGGGGATTCAGCCCGGCTCAGCGACGGACTATCTCGCTAAGGGTTTGAGCTTCGCATCCGGTGTTCTCTCTAGTGTCGGGGTCAACTCCAAGTCTGCGGGCGAACAGCACGCAGACATCAACATTTTCTCGGTGGCAAGCGGACATCTCTACGAGCGCATGCTCAACATCATGATGGTGTCAGTCATGCGCCACACGAAGCACAGCGTCAAGTTCTGGTTCATTGAGCAATTCTTGTCCCCATCTTTCCGGGCCTTCCTCCCATCCCTTGCCGAGGAATATGGCTTCTCCTACGAGATGGTGACCTACAAATGGCCCCACTGGCTTCGAGCCCAGAAGGAAAAGCAACGCGAGATCTGGGGCTACAAAATGCTCTTCCTGGATGTTCTTTTCCCCCTCTCTCTGGACAAAGTCATCTTCGTCGACGCCGATCAAATTGTCCGAACGGACATGCACGATCTAGTCACCCACGACCTGCAAGGCGCGCCATATGGCTTCACTCCAATGGGCGACTCCCGCGCTGAGATGGAAGGCTTCCGCTTCTGGAAACAAGGCTATTGGTCGAACTTCCTCCGCGGTAGACCCTACCATATCTCAGCCTTGTACGTCGTCGATCTGAAGCGCTTCCGTGCTCTTGCTGCTGGTGATCGTCTGCGTGGACAATACCAGATGCTCTCTTCAGACCCGAACAGTCTCAGTAATCTTGATCAGGATCTGCCCAACCACATGCAGCATCATATTCCCATCCACAGTCTACCGCAAGAGTGGCTTTGGTGCGAGACTTGGTGCGCGGACGAGGACCTTGGCAAGGCGAAGACTATTGATCTTTGCAATAACCCACTTACCAAAGAGCCTAAATTGGACAGGGCTAGGAGGCAAGTTCCTGAGTGGACTGTTTACGATGATGAGATTGCTGCGTTGGCTAGTCGAGTTGCTGGTGAGCAGGCTGATGGTGTTGAATTTGTGCAGACCGAGGACAGGAAAGATGAGCTTTAGCTTATTCTGTATAGCACATTTGATTACTGGAAATTAGACTCTCAAATTTCTTTCATTTCTGACGCTTCTCATGTAACGAAATGGGTATCACAACAGCCCTGGAGGAACCGAAACAGGCTTCGTAACAGTATGAGGTATCTTACAATTCTTCAGAGTCATACTCATTCTTAATATCCATGACATCGCTATTCCCATCAGACTCGCTCTCGTCTTCGTCTGTTTCTTCATTGATGGATTCTTTGGGCGGGTTTGGTGAGCGAGAGTTGGATTTAGAGCGTTCGTCACCACTGTGTTCAGCGTTGGAGCCATCGGAATCTTCATTCTCAGCTTGTTTGGAACCTTTCTCAGCCTTCTTCTGTCGTTTGGCGTCCTTGCGTTCCTTCCTGCGTTCCGCTTCTGTTTGCTGCGGAAGCGAGGGAAGCTCTGGTTCGTCATCGGCATCGGATTGCGTTCCGTTTTCCGGCTGAGCGTGATCATCCATGTGCTTGCGCTTTGACTTGGACTTCTTGGACTTTTTGGACGTAGATGGAGGCTCGAGTAGCTCAGCCTCGGGGGTTGGCTCAATCTGGGTTTCAGATTGTGGTGACTTCGTAGCCTCTGGGGCATCACTTTGATTTGAAACCCCATTTGCTTGTCCATTCACGTCATCTTCATCATCCTCAGTCACGAATTTCGCACTCTTCGACGAATTCGATCTGATAATCCGTCGACTAGACTTCTTGGCAGACGCCTCGATATCGAATTCGGCATCCGGTATGCCGTTGGCCCGCAGCGTCTTGACCTGCCTAACAATCTTCCGCCATTTATCGGCACACTGTTGTCGAGATCGTTTGTGGTCCATTGCCTTGCTGACATTTCCCCAATGGACCGATCCATCATCAAGTTCATAGACATCCTTGGGTGCCTTCTCTCCGAACGTGGGCTTCATGTTCGCCCACGTCGATTGCATGGCTTCGAAAAAAACCTTGCTCTCCTCAACACTCCAGGGACCTTGGTTCATTGTGCCTCTGTGCTCAAGCTTGTTTTTCCAGCGTTGAGTGACATCGTCATCACTTCGACCGAGTTGTTTCCCAATGAAAGTGTACTTAGGGCCATGCTTGTCAATAAGATCGACAAGCTCATCATCTTGTTCCTCCGTCCAATCGTGTGCTTTCTGTGTTGAAACTTGGAAGTGCCGGCGCATGAAGCGATACACAGATCGGCGATCACGTTCGGGGATTAAATCATAGATCTCATTCCAGAAATCACTCTTCGAGATTATGGATACATCCACGGGGAAGTCACCACACTCACTCTTGTTTCGGTCAGAGTGCTGTACCATCTCGTCGAATGTGGAGCCGGAGAGACCATGCACAGTACAGAAGTCAATCTTGAAGGTTTCGATCTTCCGTATCTCCGCAGGCGTAAAGAACCCGATCTTCCGGCTATCTTTCTCTCTTGTCCGGGAGCCACGAATGCCTTTGGGTCTGCCCCCAGGCGTGAGAAGGCCTTCGGGGTTGGGTGTAGCCGGGGCCGAAGAATGATTGGCGACTTCCTGCTCAGGGACTTCCTGCTCGGGTGCAGGTTTCGCAGAGGGAGTTGAAGGTGCTGTTCCATTTTTCTTGATCTTGCGAGCTTGTCTCGCTTTAGAGCGCGCGGATCTCGATGGCGTGGGTTGAGTGGGAGTGGGAGGGATCTCTGTGTCCATCGCGTCCGGTGTTGCAGAGGGTGCCTCAGTGACCTCGTCTTCAATCTGGCTTGACTTGCTCTTCTTCTTCGATTTGGGTTTGCGCTCGGGTTCCGAGTCGCGTTTACGTTTCGCGGGTTGAGACGTGTCGGAATTCAAATCTTTCTCTGACCCATTGGTTGCTGGAACTTCTGGTGAAGCTGAGTTGGACTCTGGAGAAGGAATGGATTTCTTCGTATTTCTTCTGTTGGCAGTTGGGGTTTCAGGAACTTGAAGAATGTCAGAATTAGAATTGAGAGCTCGAGCATAGATTCCAACTGACATACCGGTGGGTTGAGAACTTTCAATATCATCTGCATTCACAGGCTGAAATGAATTGTTGCCCATTTTACGGGATCGTAAGAGACGAGGACGAGGCATGATAGGAGAAAAAGATATTTGTGACGAGTAGTAAAACAATCGCGATCAAACTTCATGCACAAAAGTTCAGACCGCCCTGGTCACCGCCCACCACTGTCCTGCACAAACGCATTGTTCAACGGGGCACAGAGCCCATACAATGCAGGATGATTTCAATGTTGTATACACTCTCCTTACATGATTCTATGAAGTGCGGAGTAACTACGGGGTAGTCACATGTCGGTTCAAACGGAGTATTGTTAGGGCAATTTTCTAGTCTCTTGGGCCAGTTATACAATTTTAGTCGGCAATGGCAGACTCTCAAAGAGACCTTCAAGCACACAATGGAGCTAAATTCATGATTGCATTATTAGTGTACATGCTGACATAGAAAGCATAAAATCAAATGCAGGTCCTTGGCTCGAACCCTTCCATTCCATTTGACCGTGTTCACGATACAAGCTTCATATCCCGCAGGATTCTTGTCACCAGTTTCTTTTGATCATGGGGATGGAGATTGTGTTGATCAGTCTCTTGCAGACAACGCCCAATGGCAACAGTCACAGAGACGGAGCCCTCTCCAGCGTTGGAGCAATCCACCCACACCTTCCCATTGCGACCGACTGCAAGTTCAAACCCTCCCAGGCTCTCTAGCTTTCTTCCAAGTTCACCAAGAATAATCAATCCGTCGACTGGATCTGTCTCATCAGCGGAAGCAGAGCTTGCGCGGATCAGCCTGGCAGCCATGCCGGTGGAGACATCAAACACCATTCCACCAGCCAAAGGACCCAAACCTCCATCAGCCTTTCCAGTTGCTGGATTGACACAGGTGAGCTCCACTTCGGCGCCGGCGCCGACTCCCACAGACTGTACTCGAGCATATACTAGCTCGCCTTGCTTCAACATTGGCCTCGTCTTCTTGGTTGCGCCCTCGAAGGATAGTTGGCCCAAAAGGGCATGTGCTGTGTTGGGGGTCACTATGCAGTGGAAGAAATCAACGCTGGAATGGTGGATTTGAGCGATGATCAGGTCGTTTGTGGTTGGGATGTATCGGCGGTTGGGGAAAGAAAGAAGTGAGACTGTGTTTCTCTTGGCATCTGTGGTCAAAAGACCTGCTTGTGTTGCCGTTAAGACATGATTGGAATCACCGGCTTTCGATGAGGGCTGTGAAAGGAGCCGAAGGCCAGGGCCCAGTCGTAGAGGGTTGGAGTTTTTGGTGGGGAGGCGGTCGTGAGGTACCTCGTCACCAGGCAGTAGGACAACCGGTGCACTCATGGTACTTCTTAATAGGTAGTATGGTGGTAGATAGCAAGGTTCAACGCAATATCATGCGATTATTGTGGTTTCAATCTTGAAGGTCGATATCTTCTGCTCGACTCCAGGGCTGCGAAGAAAACCGCGATTCTTATCAGCACGTGATCGATGTATGTGGATCACGAAATTCGGTTTGTACTTGCAGTGAAGGGTTTGAACATGGAATTGATTGTGCTTACATTGTAAAGTGATCTGATATTCCTTACAAAACGTCCAGGATGTATGTATCAAAGTCATAGCCAAGTAAAAAGGTGGAATATGAGAACCTTGGAAGTATATCGAACGCCACAGGACTATCGATAAGGCCTCAGCCACACTTGCGGCAGACGAAAATCTTCAAAATCTTTTTTCCAATCATTCCCCCTCAGTCAATACTCCCATCCATACACCGGATACCCATATTTACCTTCACGCCGTGACGTGAAGCCTTTCTTTATTTAATCCTCCAAAAAAACACATCCTCCCAACTTCAACATGGGTGACGCGGCTAACACCCCCGCTGAGGCGGAGCGCTATGCTATTGGTATCTCATTCGGTAACTCTTGCAGTTCAATTGCCCGTATCTCACCTGTATGTTCGAATATCGGTCACTTGAGATGTTCGATAGAGACTAATACACTTGCAGGAGGGCAAGGCTGAGGTTATCGCCAACGAGGAGGGAGGTAAGGACTTTTGCAACCCCACGCTTTGAGATCTCAAATTAATTTCTTTTTTAAGACCGTCAAATTCCCAGCATCCTCTCTTACATCGACGGCGAGGAGTACCACGGCACACAGGCTAAGGCCCAGCTCATCCGCAATGGCACCAACACTGTCGCATACTTCCGTGATTTCCTCGGCAAGGAATTCAAGTCTATTGACCCTACTCCCTGCCACCAATCTGCCCACCCCCAGCAGAAGGACGCCACCGTCGCTTTCACTGTCCGCGACACCGCTAGCGAGACCCCCAACACCATCACTGTCTCCGAGATCACCACTCGTCACTTCCAGCGCCTGAGACGGTCAGCCACTGACTTCCTTGGTAAGGATGTGAACGCTGCCGTTATCACCGTCCCCACCGACTTCACAGACGCCCAGCGTGAGGCCCTCGTTGCCTCCGCCAAGGCCGCTGGTCTCGATGTTCTCCAGCTCATCAGCGAGCCCGTTGCCGCTGTCATGGCCTACGATGCCCGCCCCGAGGCCACCGTCACTGACAAGCTCGTTGTGGTTGCTGACTTCGGTGGTACCCGCTCCGATGTGGCTGTTGTTGCCAGCCGTGGTGGTATGTACACTATCCTCGCTACTGCTCACGACTACGAGCTTGGTGGTGCCACTCTCGACCAGATCATCATCGACCACTTCGCCAAGGAGTTCATGAAGAAGCACAAGACCGACCCCCGCGAGAACGCTCGCGGTCTGGCTAAGCTCAAGCTTGAGTGCGAGGCTACTCGCAAGGCCCTCAGCCTGAGCAGCAACGCTCAGCTCAGCATTGAGTCCCTGGTCGACGGTGTCGACTACGGTTCCACCGTCAACCGCACCCGCTTCGAGCTTCTCGCCGGCAAGGTCTTCAGCCAGTTCACTGGCCTGATCGAACAGGTTGTCAAGAAGGCCGAGCTCGATGTCCTTGACATTGACGAGGTCATCTTCTCTGGTGGTGCTTCCCACACCCCCAAGCTCGCCAGCCTGGCTAGCAACATCTTCCCCGAGACCACCAAGATCCTCGCCCCTGCCTCTTCCACCACTGCTATCAACCCCTCCGAGCTGTCTGCCCGTGGTGCCGCCTTCCAGGCTTCCCTCGTCCAGGAGTTCGAGCACGAGGACATTGAGCAGTCCATCCACCCCATGGTCACCGTCACCCCTCACTTGACCAAGGCCATCGGTGTTGAGTTCACCTCCCAGACCGATACCACCTTCCAGCCCCTTCTCGGCGCCGAGACCGCCCTCCCTGCCCGCCGCATTGCCCAGTACTTCGCCCCCAAGGAGGGTGGTGATGTTCTGGTCCGCGTGTGCGAGGGTGCCCGTGAGATCAAGGTCACCAAGCCCGAGCCCAAGGCCAAGGAGGACAAGCCCGCCGCTGATGAGGATGACTCCGACTTTGACTCCGAGGATGAGGAAGAGGAGATCCGCGAGATCGTCTGGAAGACCGAGAAGCCCGTTGCTGAGCTCGCCGTCAAGGGCGTCAAGGCTGGTGGCAAGATCGAGGTCATGGTTCACGTCAACCCTGACCTCGGCCTCCAGATCTCTGTCCGTGAGGTTGGCTCTCAAAACGCTGTCCGTGGTGCCGTCAACGGCTCCGCTTAAGCTTTCTTTTTTCCCTGTGAATTAAAAGACTTTATTTATGGTGTGATGATGCTTGCATGACTGATAGAGGCTGTGCTTTTTCTTTTTGTCCCCAACGTTTTATATCGCAGTGATCATGGTGTCTTTTCCATTGGTTTGCAAATACATATACAGACTTAAATGAAAGTGACCGATTGGTTTCCCTTGTTTCCATTCAAGTGCCTTGGAACTGATGTTCCTGAACATTAAAATGGCCATCAAGGTCCAGAGCCTTTACCCCTGAAGTCGAATGTAAATTTAAGAACTTAAGAATGACCTCGGGGTCTTTTGCGTATCAAATTGAATCATGCACTTTAAAGCCTACCACCAATCCTCTGAACCAACAACATAGATTATATTACAGTAAATTAGGTAGATTTGCGACTAGTCACTCGTATCTCAGGAAAATCTTCAGTCGGAAAATCATTCGAATCAGCAGATTCATCAATAAATCATCAAAAACTTGCATGTGTGCAGTCGATCAGAACCATATGGCTAACCGCACGGCAACCAATCCAGATCGATCATGAAATTAAGTAAAGATCGTAAAAGTTTCGTAAAGCATGAAACGAGCGTGGGTAGTTTGTTCCTGGTGTGTCCGAGCAAGTCGAATACAGTCCAAGACCAAAACCGAACAAGCAGCCTCCTGGAGAAAGAGCTCTCAAAAAGGGGATATCCGCGAAACACAAATCGTATTTGATATGGCCCGAAGATCGACGGTTTAGTGGAGATCTCTGCTTCGACAATTAAGTCGGAGCGGAAAGCTCGCGCAATTCGGGATGTCCGTTTAAGCGTAGTTTGTGGTTTCCCTCTTTTGGCTCTTCACGCTGTTCGAGCGCTGGGAAGAGAAGAATCCACGACGGCGCTCTTTGCGGCCACTGTAGCCTTTGCTGTCTTTCCGTCCGACGGCGCCGCCAAGGCAGTACATCAGGCACGCCAGGAAAAGACAAGCGGAAGCAGTCCACATGAAAGCGAAAGCCTTGACGCCAACCTTGGCGGTCTGGCCGTTACTCTTGAAGGCATCACGGCCCTGGACGAAGACGGCACTTTGCAATACAGTTAGCAATGGATCGGGAAAGAGGGCACTACGGCACATACGTCATAAGACAGGTGGTGATGACTTGGAAGGTCAGACCGAGCCAGGCCAGGAAACCAGACAGGTAGCCGGCGATGCGCGTGCACATGGCCAACAGGCCAGTGAAGAGAGAGAGCACGGAGAAGAACAGGCCGATGATGAGGAAGGGGAACATGAACCGCGACATCAAGAAATAGTGCTTGGTGCTATATTTTCTTGATTAGCGTGGAATACAGGAGATATTCTTGTTAGGCAACATACTCGATGAACTGATCAGGGATGTTCTCGGTTGTATCGAAGTTACGGTGGCTTGGGGGGTCGAATGGGAAATCGACATGGGATTTGCCGCAGTCATTCTTGCCATCTGTCACTCCGCAGAGATTCCAAAAGGTCCAGCGCGATGTTGCCGCGGCGCCTGCAATATTGCTTGTGTCGACTTGGAGGAAGTAGACCTGGTTCAGCGGCGTGGTGTTACGAGTACCGGCCAAAAGAGTCAGGAAGATTAGCAAGATGGAACCCGCCGTAAAGAACAGGCCCAGAAAGCCCAGCGACGCTCCTAAAAATTCATTAGTTCAAAGAAATATAGAGTTGACGATCACAGGATCAACATACTGCTGAGACCCATTATGTCGGTAATGCGAGTAAAGTGGGAGAGGAAGAGAGTTGAAGAGAGCACAGGGACTTTTAAAAGTAGCCGGGGGTATCCGGCAGTCCTTCCGGTGATATAATGACGAAGGACATGGTTTTTTTCTTCCTTTTTCACTTTGCAAAAAGCAGTCTGACGATCTTGATGTCATAGGCAGCGAAGCTGAGGTTGATTCTCCTTCTACGCTAAACCCGATCGGGCCGTAGTGGCTCACTAGTCTCGTGTCCATGACGAAGTCAACTTTCTCCTCCAAACAACGTTGCAGCGACCTCCTGAGTGACGTGGATCATTTTTAACATTTCTGCCTTACCGATCTCGTATCTCGGAGTTGGACTTGGTCATGGCTACTTGGGCATATCCCCCACTGCCTGCAGAGCAGATCAACCGGGAAGCCGATGCTGCGTTGGTACGTAAACCACTTATGTGGAGCCCGAAGTATATGCCAACCTTACATTTGTAGGCCCATGAGCTTGAGTGGCTGTTGCATTCGCTCCAAGATTCGCTTGCTTCCTTGAAGGAAGGTCTTCAGGAATGCGCCGCCCTGTTAGCTCCCCAGGAACCGGGATCAACCTTGGTGTTGTCCTCGGTACGATCGGAACATGTGAAGGGCTACGTGACGAGAGTCGGTACCAAGGTGGTGAAGGGTGTATGTATTCCAGGCCCAAGTATCAAAGAGAAGATAACTGATTCATCTAGGATGTTCAATTGCGCCTGGCATCACTCCCGCCTACGCGGGGGGCTTCCAGCACTCGGTTGAGCTTATCGCAGTCCCCTGGGGCTCCGGAGATGGTTCTCCGTCAGCTTGTGTCAGTTCGTGATCTGGTCGCCCAAAGTCTGGATGTCGTGGACGTTAGCACGTGGACGGGCGACCCCCTGAACGCCGGGTTCATTTTCAGTCAACTGCATCTCTTGCTTGAGACCATCAGCGAAGCGCGACTGATGCTGAAAGGTGAAGGGAACGAGACCCGTGGCCAATGGTGGGATACAAGTGCCACTGAATCTGTACGTTCTCCCCTTTTCAAGGGCGCGGGGTGTGACCCTATACTAAACATGTCACTTGGCAGATGTTCGACCCTCCACTTCCACCACATCTATCTTTTCATCTCTCTATTACAGACTCGGCTCTGGTACTGGTACTTAGGACGTTGGAGTCCACTTCACTTACCCACACGCCTACTCCGTTTAACTCGGACATCTCTCTGACTGGGTTTTCCATTCGGGATCGACTCTTTGGCTCACGAGCGCCAACACATGACGAAACTGGCCTCTCGTTCCAATGGCAAGGTGAAGAGGTACGTGTGAAAGAAAAGGTGCGCGTGGAGAGTCAAGACCCTAGTCTGATGGCTGTCATGGCGAAACTCACAGCCCTTGAGCATGAGGTGATGCGATGTGTGGGTGCACTGAATATTCTCATGGGTAATGATGACACTGAGAGTGAGACTTGATCATTAAAAGATACCCCAAGGCGTTTATATAGATTCTTCAGGTCATGTGCATTTCCATTCTGTGAGAATGGCATCTTCCTGAAGTCCCAGTAAATTCGAGACTCCAGGGCTAGCCACAGAGTTGCTTTATGGTAGAACTCATAGCTAGTTTACAGACACTGGATATATCCCACACTTATGCAATAATCATGATGAAATACACTGTATATCAAGGAAATCGTCTAAGAATCGGTCAAAATCTGCGTTTACAATGTACAACGCAAGAGGCTGAACGAGGAACCAGCCAATGAGAAACCCGCAGTTTGTGATGGCGGTCTTGGCATGGATTTTCCAGTTGTCTGGGCTCCGACAATTTCTGGCCCTCGACCAAATTTCCCCTTTTCCCTCGAGGGTGACCAAAAAATATGTTGTCCAGATCCTCAGTCTCGGGGACTAGCCGGACACAATCGCGCGAATTGTTTCGCAACTTCACTCGCCCTTCTGGGTCGCGACAGCTCCGCGGAGCTCTTAGTCAGTTGACTCTGACACACCAGCGCACACTTGCACACAAGACACCACTTTTAATCGCATCGAAAACTCTCTCCCCTCACGGAACCACCCTCGGACAATCGAATTCACAATGGCGGTCAGAGCGAAGATTTGTGTCTGGCCCAGCATCTGCATCAGCGCAGTCGCCTCAACCTGTTGAGCCTATCGAATCGGACGAACTCACTATATTGGTTAATCGCGTCGGAGATGGCGGTGTTGAAATCAACGAGATGTTGGACGAACTCGAGTTGATGAGCCAGGAACCGAAATCAGCACCAGCTGAAGCGCCTGAGGCGCCTGAGGTCAGCGAACCCGTCGAAAAGGACCAACTCACTCTCTTGATGGAACGGGTATCCGATCATGGTGAAGAAATCAACGAAATGCTGGATGATTTGGAGGCGATGGAGTACGAACATGAGAATGAGGAGGTTGCGGAAGTGCTTTCTCAGCGAGAGAATCACACAGCCGAGTCATTCGTACACCTGGTCAAACAACGGTTTGGGGATAGCGTTCCTGATGGGCTTCTAAGCGAAGAGGAACTTCAAATATACATCCGGCTCTACGATAATCCACTCGATCGATTAGATTTCGACGAAATGGCCGAGGAAGAAGAGCCGAGCTTACTCCGCGAGGATGGACAAGGCGGATGGGAAGAGGTGGAAGTGAACGAGGAACCTGCCGATCAAACTGATACCGTCTATGCCTACGATATGGAAAATCCACCACAAGAGCCGGAGACCCTTGCGATGCAACGGACAAGAGAAGTGACCGAGCAGCTAGGTGGCAAAGAAGCGCTCGAACAATTCGAAGATGAAGCAGTTCCCGGTCCTACGATGAGGGCTGACCCAAATACCCTCGTGGGACAATTCGGGACAGACCCCAGCACCATTTTCCTGCCCGAAAAGACCATCATCAATCCCATAACGAAAATCTTGTCGGGATATGCCAACAAACATCTCAACGAGGTTTCCAACCGTCTATTCGGAGGACCGGGTCTACCCCATTCCACCGCAACGCCACGCGGCGGCTCAGATCTTCCACAGAAACCCATTCAACTTGATGCATCACAGCGATTCATGGGACAAATGGAGGCCAATACTTATTTGGCAGTTTTGTACCCAGGAATCTACGCATCTACGCTCAGTGTACTAGTCGAAACTCGAAAGCGGCTGGGTGATGAATGGATCCGAGGACTGCTATCGCAAAAGGGAGGCCCCAGTGTGCTTGATGCCAGTGGTGGCGGTGCTGGCATCCTGGCTTGGAAGGATTTGGCCCGCACAGAATGGGAGAAAATGTACCCAAGCTCTGGAGGCATGGCCACCCCTCCTGGCAAGTCAACTGTGATTGTAGGCTCGGACACTCTTCGTGTTCGTGCTGCCCAGTTGCTGGAGAACACGACCTTCCTTCCTCGGCTTCCTGATTACACAAACCTCCGGCAAAAGCCGACCATGGAGGACTCGCGCGAGGCACCGAAGCGCAAGCAGTTCGACATTATCATTGCGCCGTACAGCATTCAAAAGTGGACAGAAAATCATGAGCGCAAACGGCACGTGGAGAACTTGTGGTCCTTGTTGAACCCTAACGGCGGTGTTCTCATTCTGCTCGAGAAAGGCCGTCAAAGGGGTTTCGAGGCCATTTCTGGTGCTCGTGAAATGTTGCTTCAGCGCCATATCGCAAGCCCTGGCTCTACTGAATTCGACAATTTCCTCGACGACCCCGATCAGCGCGAAATTATCCAGAAGGAGCCGGGAATGATTGTTGCTCCCTGTACCAACCACTCAACCTGCCCGATGCACAACTTCTCAGGCACATCCCACGGCCGCAGAGAGTACTGCAGCTTCGAGCAGCGTTACGTCCGTCCTTTCTTCCTGCAAAATATCTTGAAGGCCAAACACCGCAATCACGAAGATGTCAGATTCAGCTACCTTTCCGTACAGCGTGGTGTAGATCTTCGACAAGATCGCGGTTTCAAACAAGACTCCACTACCACAGAAGCCGCATTTGAAGGATTCCCCACACCCGAAAACCTCAGACAGAACAATGAACCATCTGTCGAAACTCTCGCCCTCCCTCGAACCGTCTTCCCGCCCTTGAAGCGCGATGGCCACGTTCTCATCGATGTCTGCACACCAGCTGGCAAGATCGAGCGCTGGACTGTTTCGCGTGCCCAGGGACAACAGCAATACCGCGATGCCCGCAAAGCCAAGTTGGGAGACTTGTGGGCGCTTGGAGCTAGGTTCCGCAGAGTCCGCAACCTAGAGCTTGGAGGCAAGCATTTCGAGGGCAAGAAAGAGCGTTTGGAACGTCGTGCCGCTGAACGTCAGCTTGATGGGGAAGAGGACCCAATCGAGGATGACGACGATTTCGAAGATCCCGATGAAGGCTACAGGGCCCGGGACATGCCTCAAGACGTCCAGAAGAAGAAAGGACAGCGCGTTCCTACCTGGAAGAAGGCTCATCACAATAAGAAACTTCGACAGGCCTACAACAGGCGCGATACAGACTAAACGCGGGGAATGGCTTTGTGGGATTTAAGCACAACTGTTTCCAACGTTTGAGCTCTTCGATTTGAGCATATCATGTACTATATACTACCATTAAAAACTAACAGCATTGGGCATTGGGCATTGGGAACGGTGATTGGATTTTGTACATTAGATATCACTCTGGCGCTTCTCTGAATGTGAAATCACATCTTCTCTCCAAATGTATTGAATACACATCTGTTAGGCATAGTAGCTAGGACCGCGGGCGTTGTAAGCTTCCAACTTGAATTTGGTTGGAACCCATTAGCCAGGATCTCAAGGGTGGGTTTGGAAGGTGGATTATCCGTTCAAAAACAACACCAAGGATCAAATTGGTGAGTGATGTGATCGGGTGCGTGCTGTGTTCGGGGGCTCGAATGCAATGCAATGTCTGAGGACCAGATATTCGGGGTTCCGGGTGTGCACTGGTCCATCGGTTCGTCAGAGCGTGGCCTGCTCACTGATGTCTGGATTTGCCTATCATTCATCGGGTGGTTTCGAGGGCTGAGAGTTCTTGAGAGGTCCATCATTTTCTCCAAATTGGCGAATAGTCGTGGGTGGAAGGTCAATCCCTTCTACATCACTGCACGGCCATGCTCTTTCTCAATTGCCTCTGTTTCTGCTGGCTCTGCAGCTCGAGTCGATCAACAGCAAATTTGAGTCGCTCTTTCTTCTGCACGAGTCTTTTGTATTCTGCTGCTTTTGCTGCATTGCTCGATGGGCCAGCGCTAGACCCCGCCATGCGACCCCGCAATGCGCTGCTTTGAGCTTGACTGCGGGAAGCAGAGGAGCGACCCTCTGCATTGGAAGACAGTCTTCCCTCTTGGAGATCACATCGTGCTTTTAGACTCTCCTCGCGACGTGCGAGCTTTTCAACATGGTTTGATGATAGCGTGAGAAGATGCGCAATGCTAGGAGTAATCTCGTTGAGGAGGGACTGCTGTGCCTCGCGCAGTGTTGGCTCAGGAAGGAGCTCGAAGTGCTGTAGAATAATAGACAGTTAGACTTCTGATCTTCGTGGTAAGTTCCAAACAAGGCCAAAGATACATACTCGTGTTGTCGAAAGGACTTTACACAGGCGTGGAAAGTCGTTCACGCCTGCATCCAGAGTAGTGATTGAATTATCCAGCCGCTGCAAAGACGACTGTAGCGAAGTAACTGACGAGGACAGTGAAGCAGCCATTGTTGGAGATGTTAATAATGACGATTGTTTATTTCGGGTCGGGATAGATCGGGTAAAAGCGGCGTGATACCGCCTTAAGGCGGCGTGTCACGTGTCCAGCGGTCCCCAAACCTCTTCTCCTCTTCCGTCCTCCTGCCTCACTGTCTTCTTGAATATCGAATCCCCCGCGCATTCAATTCACCTCACACAATGTCTCTCCTCGGAAAGAAGTTCCCCGGCGCTGTCGGTATGTGTTTTCCGGACTCTTCAGATCCCCAAATTCGCCTTGTGGGAGTGCAATATGCGGACCAATAAGCTAACCTATCCGTTCACTTACAGCCAAGCCTTTGACTCCCTTCTTCGCTGCCGGTACGCATATCAACTAAATATCGAGTGAACCTTGACTATCCGAAATCCGTCGGGCTATCACTTCGCGATATTTCCTTCTCAACCCGCTTATTTATTGGGACATAAATCTAACGACTCGTGTCCAGGCCTCATTGTCCTCTACGGCGTCAACTCTCTCCAGAACGCTCTGTCCAACAGTGAGTCTATCCCGCGCATCTATACATGAACCACCACTTTTTCCGGCACTTGCGACCGCATACCCAATACGATACTTGAAACACCTACCGGACCATCCGACTAACCGCTTAACCCCTATAGCTGCTGAGTTCAAGAGCGACCCCCGCAACCCCAACGCCAAGCCCGCCGGCAAGGCTGACCACTAAATTCGGTCGACAATGAATGCACGTTGATATTCCGCTTGTCCGAGGAGCGGATCGCCGCGGTGTGTGGGAGATAGCCTAGGTCATACACGGCCAACTATGTCTTTTGTGATATCTCTGTGGACAGTTTGTCACTGTCCAAGCATATAGACCATACTCATCTTGCGGGGTGACTTGGATCAATTCACAAGCTGTACCAGTATCAACTTCGCTCAGGCGATATGGCCAATATCTCTTCGTAGTAGTGTTCCGAGGTTTGATTTGGGAGGCGATTTCTGGTTCTCAGGCGGATGTAAAGAAGTAAACGTCGAACAGTATGGGCTGGGGGAGTTGTCGACAGCTTCAAATGTTTTCAAGATTGGGGTTTTCTATTGTCGACTTCGATTCAGTCGAGTCATGTTGACACTCACTATGAGGCATATACTTGGGATGACCCTCCAATCACACAGTAATTTAAAGATATCCAGCTCACTTTCATGGTTCATATACGGTAGAAATCCTAAACAAACCATGTTCATCAAAATACTAGTATTGACAGGACCGACAAGAGTGCGCGAGCTGAGAAACTTAGTCCCGGGAGTACACAAGGTCAGCGACTGCTCAATCATTCAAAGTCATATCATTTCAGATAGAGAATACAATTGAACAGAACACATGAAGCAAGTCAATTGTAACAAGGAAACCTCGACCTCACTGCGAGCAGCACATGAAACCACAAAAAAGTCCAAGGAAAGCACAATCAGACCCATTGTACAAGGAAACCTTGAGCTCGTTGCTTCTGGAGCAACACATGAAACCACAAAACAATTCGAGCAAAACACGATCAGGCCCATTGTAGTAAGGAGACCTTGGCCTCGCTGCTTCTGGAGCAGCATAAAAGAAACCCACAGATAACAACGGGGTTTCCACCATTCCACCAATTGAAAGGAGCTGCCTGGTGTGAGGAAGGCTTTGTGGTAATCGTGTGGTGGAATCATGTGTATCCCCCGATCTATGACAAGATCTTCGGTCCCTTTGCTTGCAAGGCGGCGGCACGGTCGTTTCCAGTGAGTGCAAGGCTTGTACAATATCAACTTCCTCATTTGCAATCAAATGATCAGTTCTTTCGCCGATTTGAGTTTACTGTGGAAGAATCCAGCGGGTCTGCACTTGTACAAGAAATCGAACAAGACCACTCTGCAGAAGAGTGTGGCATGGAAGAATGCCTTGGGCGAACTCATCACAACGCCTCGGCAAGAAAGGCTAACGCCGCAAACTGATCATGGCGCAAGTTGATCAAGCCTCTGATCATGGCACAAGTTGATCAAGCCTTTGATCATGGTACAAGTTGAATCAAGCCTCTGATCATGGCACAAGTTGATCAAGCCTTTGATCATGGCACAAGTTGAATCAAGCCTTTGATCATGGCACAAGTTGAATCAAGCCTTTGATCATGGCACAAGTTGAATCAAGCCTCTGATCATAGCACAAATCGATCAAGCCTCTGCATGGCACAAATCGATCAAGTCTTTGATCATGACGCATAGCGCAAATCGATCAAGTCTCTGATTATGTCGCAAATTGATCAAGCCTCTGATCATCGGAAGAACTTGGACTTTCTGTGCAAGAGTCCAGCGGGCCCGCGAGTGTACAAGAAATCGAGCAGGGCCAACCACCCTGTACAATGAGCCAGAAAGACAGATTTGGGAGCATGTCTCCAGTTGGCAGTTTTTTCTGCATCAAGTAGTTTGTCACTCCTTGAAACAGGATTTCTTGTAATGTCCTTTGTCAGGACAACACACATGACCCTTGCGATAGTAGTGACGGCTGTCCACCCTGTACAAAGAGCAAGAAAGACAGATTTGGGAGCATGTCTCCAGTTGGCAGTTTTTTTTTCTGCATCCAGTAGTTTGTCACTCCTTGAAATAGGAGTTCTTGCAAATGTCCTTTGCCAGGACAACACATATGACCCCTGCGATGGTAGGCTGTCCACCCTGTACAAAGAGCAAGAAAGATAGCTTGAGCAGCAGCTCTCCAGTTGGCAATTTCTTCTGCCTCAAAATAATCGCCCGGATGGGTGCTTGGTGAGGTTTTTCTCCGTCGCAGTGCAGTGACACGCGGCACCTCTCGATAGTGGTGATGACCACTTTGTACAGGGAATCAGAAAGACAGATTTGGGATCACACCCCCGGATCGGCGATTTGATTTTGCATTTGGGCGTCGATCACCCCTCAGGTGGGATATCCCCCATGAAACCCCTCTTCCGGTGCAACACAAAGGACCTCTTGATGATGGCGGCAGCTATCCATCCTGTACAAGATGTCTGAAAAACAGATTTGGGGGCAGCTCTCCCGTTGGCGATTCTTCTGTATTAATCCATCTCCCGGATATATGCTTTCTTTTTGCGAGGTTTTCCTCTGCCGAAGTGACATGCGGCCAGCCGGTTCAGCAAACCAGAGAGGCTGATATGGGATCACATCCCGGATCGACAGTTCCCCTGCATTAGGCCGTTGAACATGCATTGAGGTGGGAGCTCTTCTTGCGAAGGTCTTCTGTCAGGTCAACACAGGACTCTGAGCCCATCTGTAGAAAACACATCCGGCAAAGAAGATGCACAAGATTCGCAGGGTTTCTTTTGTGTCAATTCATTGATCTTCTCCCCAGGTGAAAGCCCATTCTTCCAATCTCCCCAGGAGCGTTTTCCTTTCCTTTTTGTTTTTTTGTTTTTTTTGTTTTTCCAGTTTTCCGCTCTTTTTCCAAGTGAGAAGAATCTCCATCGCCTCGTAGTCAAATTCCTCCCCATGTATCAGAGGGGAACAATCCCCCAAATTCATCAGGGATAGGACAGCATCGACGGCCTGGGGACGCAGAGTCTGGCTGGAGAACTGGGGCTGGGTGAGAGGTCACCAAGAAAAAGTCCCTTTTCTTTGCCAAGTCAGAAGATTCTCCATGGCCTCTTTCCGCTATTCACTTTTTTTCTTTTTCTTTTTTCTTTTTCTCCTTTTTGCGAAAGTCCACAAAACCACCACATGAACAGCCTCATGGTAGCGACAACCATCCTCACATAACATATCCAAGAACAACATGTCCAAGAACAAATATCCAAGAACAATATAGCCGGGAGAGGAGACTCGGGGGATTCTGGGAAGCATTTGTGGCATCAAGTCGTCGATAATCTCTCTCGAGCGCCTTTTTCAAGCGTCTTTCTTCTACCGTAGCAACAAAGCGGAATGAGCATCCCTCAGTACGAGCGGTTGTAGAGGCTGCCAGACGAAGTTCTCTTTTTTTGCCAGGTCCAGATCACCACCAGACTGTCTGTTTGCATAGCCTGGAGATATTCCGTTGACATGTTCGTGCACTCCTGCGCGCGAGCGATTGCGCGATTGCGCGAGGGTGAGAGTCATAGTGAATGTAATTCCGCAATCGTAGGTGTCTTTCTCGGTTGTTCGGGACGGTTCGAATCTGGAGCCCACCAGATGAAAATCCCGGAAGATTTCCCCCTTGAAGAGGTTCTCTTGGTAAGAACCTAGAAACAAGACGATCCCCGTTTAGAGAAGAACCAGAGAGATCGAGCGCAGCCTGCTTTGGCAGGCTGTCGTGCTGGACAGCAGGCGCACGGGGTTTAGTGACATGTTCCAGATCACCACCAGACAAGACTATTACGCAATTGGAGGTGTATGTCCAACTCGTCTGGGGCAGTTGTAGAGTCCATCCGATGTAAATCCCTTTTCTGTCAGGCTCAAGTCACCGCCAGACTTTTTGCTTTGTATAGCCAGCAGAGTTTCCGCAATCGGATTCAAGGATAATCGAAGTAATCCCTTGGCGTAGATAATACCGCCACAATGCCAGGGAGCATCAATGTATGCCTTTTGGTGCACCACTCCTCTGGGATGATTGTTGTGTTGTCCACCTTTTTCCACGGGTATTGGACTCCCTCCTGTAAAGGACTCCCTCCTGTAAAGTCCACCTGATGGCAGACCCTTCTCTGTCAAGTCACCAACAGACTTTCTGCTTTTTATAGCCAGCAGAGTTTCCGCAATCGGACTCAAGGATGATCTAACACAATGTCCTTCCTGTCTCGGACGATTGTAAAGTCCACCCGATGTCAGACCCTTCGCAATCGGATTCAAGGATAATCGAAGGAATCCATTGGCGTAGAGAATACCCCCAAAACGACAGGGAGCATCAATTGATGCCTTTTGGTGCACCACTCCTCTAAGATGGTTGTCGTATTGGACTCACTCCTGTACAGTCCACCTGATGTCGGACCCTTCTCTGTCAAGTCACCAACAGACTTTCTACTTTTTATAGCCAGCAGAGTTTTCATAATCGGATTCAATGTCCTCTCTCGGACGATTGTAAAGTCCACCCGATGAAGCTTATTCCGAGATGACCGGATGACCCTGCCGTCTGTTTGCTTGTAGTTGGGTGGCTGGGGTAACACCTGAGTGTGTTGTGTTATCAAGGTGTGACCGGTGAGATGGGCACATTCCACGGGTGTCGCGCCAGAAGTTTGTGGGCAGTGCATCCCCGCATTCACAAAGCAGAGCATCCCACAGGAATTTTAGGGCTGAAGGCAAACACTTGAGTGTATAACTGATCATTGAAACATGACCGGTGAGATTGGCAAGCTCCCCCGGGAGTGTTGATCAGAAGTATGCGAGTATTGCATCCCCATTGTATCCCGTGAATCAACAATGCAGAACATCGTGTAGTTGTAGGGCCCAGGAAAGACAGATGTCCTATTGCCCATCGAAATGTGAATGAGATACTCCATGGCCTCATAATCGAATTCCTCAGGATGTGTCAACGGGAAACAATCCCCCAAATTCACCAGACAAAGCTTTCCTCTTCTTTGCAAGATTCTCAATTGACTCATAACCGAATTTCTCGGATGTGTCGACAGGAATCGATCCCCCAAATTCACCAAGAAAAGCTCCCCTCCTCTTCTTTTCCAAGTGAGAAG